GCACAACTTATCAAGGTTGATACAAGACACTGACAGCTTTGTGTTTGAAGTAATAGAGTTTTTAGAGTTGCGGCTCGATTCCGAAGAAAAAAGCCGGACAAAAAAATATATTCAAACTGGCCGGCAGAGGTGATTCAGGAACTATTTCATGAACAAACAAAAATCATCCACAAACAGCCGTCGTAAATGCTGTTATTATCCTCGTCCAAGATGTTCAGATTATTTAAAATGTTGCGCAGCTGTTCAACTTTCATGATTTTGATCATTAGTTTATTGCGCAGCTGTACAACAAGTCCTTCGCATGGCGTAAGTTTACTTGCGCACTAGTTCGTAAAATCGGCCGCATGTCCATAAGATTTGCTTTGTGTTCACATGTGTTCCTTTCACATTGGAACTGTCCCTTCTTGAAGTGGCTCAATTTTATAAGCTTGGTATAACTGTCAGGTCTAAGATTAAGAGTCTAAACTTGGAATGTACATTAGAAGTTCTTTGCATTTGGGCAGATAACATGTAGGTCAATTCATTCTTTGTCTTTTTCACTCCTTAAAATTGGAACTACGGTACAGTCACTTTTACGCATACGCATGTGTGACAGCTGAGTTGAGGCAAAAGAAAAACAACTCACTTTTACCTTGGTGTACTAAAAGAGGAAAAAATGGTTCTGCGAACTTCTGTGAGAGTAAACTTTTCTATCTTAAACCCAACATTGGATCATCTTGTACTAAATTGAAAAGGTTTTGTACAATTTAGCTGTGCCTTATTCAAATGGATTTTGTTTTTCATTTTTAAGCGCACAGCAGAAATTGTTTTTTTTTTACAAATTTTGATGGTTACAAGCACATTGATGTAATTAATTGAAAGGAAGGGAACAAAAATTGTCTTGTGCATTGATTTGGGTAATAAAAGTTTACGAAAAAGAAAGAAGTGTTTTATGTCTCGTTTGATTGCCTATTACTGTTTGACTGCAGAATGACCTAACCCCTAATCGGATAATCCGATATTCTATTTAATTTAGAATGCTAGTAGAAACATCCAAGCTTTTTATGCAGAATTTTAGCTCAATCGGACAAAGCTCAAGCGTTTTGTAATTATGGTCATAAGTATTCAAAGACATCGGTCTAAAAACTTGATCGGTTCGGGGGATAAATAAGGGGATTCCACCCACCCTTCCCACACATCCTCAACTCCACCCCACCCCATCCCACCCCACCCCTGCCCCACCCCAAAATCAATCAAATGCCTGATAGCTGGACATCACCTACATTGCATGATTTCTTCTAAATGATAGCAAGCCATGCAGACAGAATTAATTCATGAGGTGTTTAGTACCAGTGTTGTAGTACTCGAGTACTACGTACTATCAAATTAGGTTTTGCCCTTCATCGACGTTTAAACACTGTATACTCGGTGTGTGACCTCCCGAGTGAAAGTTGGAGTGGTAAGACATCTGCACTAGAAAGCAGGAGGTCGTGGGTTCGAGTCCCACCCGAGTGATTTTTCCAACTTTCACTCGGGAGGTCACACACTGAGTATACAGTGTTTAAACGTCGGTGAAGGGCAAAACCTAATTGATTTATATCACCCGACGCAAAATTCCATCCTATACTACGTACTACTCGGGTACTTTTTTTGGAGTACTCGTACTCTTACTCGAATGTCAAAGTACTCGTACTCGAAATGACGGTACTCGTACTCGGGCAGCAAAGTGCTTGTACTTGACATGTCGAAATTGTACTCGATCATTAAAGTACTTGTACTCAAATAGCAGAACTCGGCCAGGGAAAATGTTATAGCTTCACTTACCATGGCCTTATTTTATCGATACTCTCAGTTTGAAATAGTTGAATTGGCTTGTGGAGAAATCGAGATTTCCTGATTTTCCTCTGTGCAAGTCCGGACAAACACATTTAACAGCTAGCCGTGAGTGGGTCTGTTTATCGGTCTGACTGGGCCTGGGCTAATTACGCACAATGAACCATTTGCTGTATGGCCGTATTCCAAAATGCTAGTCCTCGTACTCGGAAGTACAAGTACTCGTACTCGGAAGTACAAGTAATCGTACTCGGAGACCTGTTCTTGTACTCTGAGGTACAAGTACTTGTACTCGTACTCGGCAACCTAAGTACTCGGCAGTACTCGGTACTCGGGAAAAAGTACTCGACTGCAACACTGATTAGTACCAGTACTATATCTTTAATCCACGTAGGCCTCAGCTGTCTTATAATATTTTGATAGGTTAATTTTGAGATAATACAAATGATATTACATGCCTTTCACCCCAACCCCTCCCCCCCCCCAATTCTTTTTTTTAATTATAGTTTGAGTACTTGAATAAGATTTTCTTAACATATGCACCCTAAAGTTCTGAGGTTTTTTCCGCAACATTATGGTTTTACCAAAAATGTAACAAAATTAGTTAGAAGTACATCTTATGAGCATTTTCAATGCATTTATAAGTTTTCTCTCTTAAAGTTTCATTCAAGTTTTGGCACTTATGCGTAAATTGAAACTACTACATTCATCTTATTACTGAGAACAATGAGTTGTTTAATATTCTACTGAAACAATTAAAATTAAAACGTAATAAAAATACATAACAACTACAGAATACCACATTACGTGCATGTTGCGCATGTGCCCTTGGGCAAGGCACTTTGTCATCACTCAGATGCTTCTCCCACCCAGGAGTAATTAATGGTACACATGTGAGGGTAGAGATGGTTTTTGTGGTTGGTTTTAACTGCTTTGTGCTAGCAAAGTGCTTCAATCACTGTGGGAATTTAAAATCTGATATATATTTCCACTGACGAAACCCAGCAATTTATGGACATCTGGAAATTGTTAGGTCAGGGAACCAGACTAGCTGGCTTGCACTAACTATATGTGGTACATTGGGGGCGGTATTTGAAGGGGAACAATCAGTTTCTTACCCAAAACACACTATTAATACCAAAAAAATCCACTTTTCTTGAAAATGACACCGCGTGTAGGTTTGAAGAACTGCCTAAAAAGCTTATCTAGTGGCTCTCCAACTACAGAATGATTTAAAAAAAAAAAATACCTGAAACGTTTGCCTTTGTTCCAAAAACGTGATTTGTGAATTTTTATGTTTTAGGTATCGGATTAAAACTGAGAGCTTTTTCTTTCAAGTACTGAAAAAATCGTGAAAACAGTACATTGGGTTGCTGAGAAAATGCCAATTATGTAAAAGAAGTGATTTTTTTTCATCCGTTCCAATGGCATTACCACAGTTAAAGGATTTACACGGTACCAAGTTGTGCCCTAATCCTTACCAACAACACGGCACATGATATGACACCAGTACAAATGAATTTGATGGAAATACCTTTTATTTTACAACTGAACTGGTACCTTATACTTTTTTTATACTAAACCTTTTCAGCATCATTAATATGTCAAAATATTAAAGGGAATATACAACATTTGCAAACATTGGAAAACAAAACTACCAAAATTTTTACGAAATAGCTTACTAGGATATTGGTAAATGAAAGTCTAAAGCATCCTGTAAAATTATGGCACCTGGGGTGAAGTCATTTTCAAGAAAAGTGGTATTTTGTATAAAATTCCAACGGTGGTCGGCCGACCACCGTTGGAAAAACCTAACTATTTTTCAACTACTGCTCCAAATTTACCTTTTTTTTTTCAGTCCAAATTTTGTTTGCTATTGGCTTTCATGTTCATGAACGGGTGCAGGCCAGCTAGACTGGTTTCCTCAATACCTTACAATTTTCCGGCATCTATAAATTGATTCATTTCATCTTTTGTGGAGTCAGGGAACCAGACTACTTGAAGATTTTTGGTTTTTTTGGTTTTTCCAGCATTTTCGAACACAAAACTTCAAACTTGGCAGTGTAACAATATTTGATCTATTATACTTAAACCCCTCAAATAGTTCATTTCTGAAAATAACAGCAAAATCCAATGATGTACATTCCCTTAAAGAAATTGTGCAAATGAAAGACAATTGCACAGTGGGCTCACAGTAACATGTTCCACTGTTTGAAGCACCTTTGGAAAGGATGAAAATCACTTCTTTAACATAATTGGCATTTTCTCAGCAACCCAATGTGCTGTTTTCATGATTTTTTTTTCTCAGTTTTTGAAAGAAAAAGCTCTCAGCTTCAATCTGATGTCCAAAGCAAAAAAAAATTCCTGATTTTGAAAAAAAAGGCAAATGTACTTTCAGGGTTGCATTTTGTTTGGGGTCACCCTGTACAACGATACGATTTTATACAAAAAAAATCAACAATTGCAAAAACACCAATTAACATCAACAAGGAGAATAAGAACCACCACAACAACCACGACAAACAACAACAGCAACAGCAGCAACAATACACAAATTCACACAGATAAACAGACAGACCCCAGCACACAAAACAAAACAGACATACTAACCAAAAAACAAACCAAAAAAAGCAAGAACAACAAGGACAAACATAAGACAAACACACAAGACATACATATACACAGATTAAAAAAATTCAATATAGCTCCATATAAGCCTACACATAGTAAAAATTTAATACGGTTAAAAAATAAACAAATACAAATGAATATAAAAATATTTTAGAAGCTAGAATGCTCTCACTGAATACAGTAAAAATCCATTGACGTATCTGAAGTAAACATTTACAGTACTGTTAACATCCACAAAACCTCCACCTTGTTTTAAAACAGTTAAAATTAGAAATTCATTCCCGACTTGTTCGGGTAGTGAACTCCATGTAATAACACCAACTATAAAAATACAAATAAGTTATATCAAAAATATAATATCGTTGCAAGTTACACTATAAACAGTACATATAGCTAGAGAAATTAAAATTGGGAGAAAAACCTTAAAATTGTGATAAAAATATAGCTATATTTATTATGTCATAAAAATCCGAGACACCTATGAAAGCTTGGACCTGCCGGTTGTTAGATAACTATACATCCACAGTAAAGTTTTGCCACAAATGCCAAATTGGTGGTCAACCTTGTCAGAGGCCCGAGACCAATCTAAGAAAACATCGGCAACGATGTGTGTAAAATGGAAAAGTCCAGATTTTACCTTGCGATGATATTCCTCCCATTCCACGCTGATGAGCCACTCAATATTTGTATACTGTCCCATTTATGTGTAGTGCATATATGCTTTGCCCAACTGTCCACCATGCGAGCAAATGACCTGACCTTTGTGATGCACTCATTTTTCGTAGGTGATCAGATACTCGGGGTACACCTGATTTTGATCGAAAATGACAAAGATCTTGGGGTTGGAGGGATCGTCAACGCAGGAATCGAAAAACAGACCATTCGGTTCCTTCAGTGGGGGCCAGCAGTACTTGGGGTCCCCGCGGGTGTAAGAACCCACCAGGACTCGAACCAGGAACATGTGGCCGCGGCCTTTGTAATCAGGGCTGGCGTAGGCGTCCGAGTACTTGGCGCTCTTGCTGAAGTAGCTACCTTGGCCGTATTTGGCGCCCACATTGGTGCCGTGCAAGCTGGGGTCGAAGTTCTCCTGACAGATAGCCTCGATATTTTGTTTCTCTGTGCCGTGGAACAACATCAGTTCCACTGGCGCTTTGCTGGAATCTTCTTGTCCATCTTGCATAAGATCCCGCCTTCTATTACATGTAAAAGCCAAAAAAAAAATAATAATTTGTTGGGTACCCGCTGCTGTATCAGATTTCAAACAGCCAGTTGACCCGCCAAGATCGAGTGGTGAGATGTCTGCAACTAGTAAGCAGGAGGTCGTGGGTGCAAATCCCATCCTAGTCAAAAAAAAATTTCTCACGAGCCCTCCAAAAACACTGAGTATATATAGTAATCATACAATACGTCGGCCAAGGGCAAAACCTGAGGACAACAAAGAAGTTGCAGACAAAGAAAGTTGACTGATTTCAACTCAGGGAGAGACTTACTTTGAAAACTCGCGCCACAGCTCGATGTTCTGCACCCGCTTAATTGCCAGGAATGAGTTTGCGTCAATCTCTTTGGCAAAGTGCCCAATGACCATCCTGCACTCTTCTTCATGAAGTCTGGGGTCAAGCTTGCGCCGCACAAAGTTGCTGAGGGGGTCTGCGGATGCCAGGTTGGATTCCCAATATTTGGGCAACTTCAGACAACTGGGTTGATAACATTTTTTTTGGGGGGGGGGAAAGAAAGAAAAATTATTGTGAAGCTAAAAATTGCTGGACTATATTTCTTTCATGGCAATGCCAATGCAACGCGAGACCCATATTAACGATACCTGTCATTGAACATTTGACGAAGGATGACCTGAACTACTCAAACTTGCAAGATTTCTATGTTATTGTTAAGTCATAAAACGGTGGCAAGTATCTAGGAGCTACACTGCACAAACTTTTGAGTTCTCTGCAACTTTTTTTCGACACCACGAACAATTTCTTCAAGATCCTGAAAGCTAAGCCTTCAGCGCAGCTTCCTTTCTTGACGCACCTTTCACCCATGTCTTCGGTGACAAACTTGGGTCGTCTGCGCACCTTGCGCACTGTACCAACATTCTTGTTCCTCTGCACCATGCGCTGAAAATACAACATGTAGCGGTGGGACCCAACTATCCAAAACTCAAATGTGGGATCTTGTCCCGTCGACAAAAACATTTGGTATGCCTCTTCAACTTTCTATAATTAAAGGCAACAAAACAATATTAATAGGTACATTGTCTGCAACAAGATGGAAAACTGAAATCCACAGGGATAGAACAAAATTATCCCCTATGATTTTTGGCACAATTATATTAATACATAAATAACGATAAATGTATTTCGAAAGTTTGTCAAAAATTTAGAGTGATAAAGTTTTCCGAGGCATTTTGAAAGTGTGGCAAGGCCAAGTTTTAATAGTCTTAAAATACAATACAATACAAAACGATAAAGTCATTTATACAGCACTTTTACTCAAAGATGGTTTCACAGTGCTGAACAATAAATTAATCACACATAAAAAATATGCTGAACATTAACAAGAAAATGTTAGTGTTTTAAATTAGCTCCTCTTAGAAAAAGAAAATCATTTTAGTTAAAAGTTTAGGTGTCCCTTTCCCATTCCCAGGTTTATACATTTTTGTATAATTCTTGATAGAAGATCGGGGTAAGGAATATGGGTTTTTTTTAGTACAAACCTTAGCCAATAATTGTTTTAAAAGGGACTCAGGGGTACTTTTGTAAAAGGTTTATTTTTGTCATTGGTGGTCAGTTTATATTAGTCTGTCTTAGTGTCAAAACAATCACAGTGTTGTATAGATCTGAAGAGTGCATGATGGCTACTATCCCGACTCCCCTTAAGCTGAGTGGGTTCGACGCATTGCCCAACAGCTCTGACCAGTGCCGTAAGCTGAACCGCAGTGTGTCGTTTTGCCAGATAACAAATGCAGTGTGTCCCCTTAAATTTATATCCCACTTTTACGCTGAAATCTTCATATTTTGGACGCCAATTTCATAGAGCTCACAAAGTTGAACTAGGCACATACAAAATAACTTCAAAGCCAAAGGAAAAATTACCAGACAAAATTACAGCAAATAAGTTTGCTAAGAGTTTGCCTGGAGGTATCAGAGGGTCAGGCATTCGAATCCTGCCACTGCACAGAAGTTGTGTCCTTGGGCAAGTTATTTCACACCCACTTGCTTAATTGTCTCCACCCATCAGGAGTATGCATGGGTACCGAAATTAGCTGGACATATCTAATAGCTGGACCCCCATCCTGGGGAGTAATAGAAATGTTCTCATGCCAAAGAAACCAGAGACACATGCTGGCCATATGAACTACAAGTTAAATACTAAGATCTTACAGTGTTAATCCTATTGGTGTACTTCATCCAGATGTTTCCGTTGTCAAGGAAGTACCACTGCCACTTGGTTGCCAGGACACTCTGCCAGGAGTTCAAATCGGATGTGTTCGTCAATTGAATTTCTAAACGGCGGACATCCATTTGAGACCACTTCATCGTCTCAAAAAAGAGAGTCCTTTAGAAAAAAAATTAATATAAACAATAGACCTTTATCAGGGTATGCAATTTTGAAAATCAAAACAAGGCATATACTCCTGACAAACATGGCAGCATAAATAGTGTGTGCGATGAACGAGTGACTCTTGGAACAGCAGATTGACACTCTTATAAACGGATGGATAGCTCAAATTCCCCAAGACATCTTTTAAACAAAAGGATCTTGTAAACATAAAGCCCAAAACAAGTATTCATTCATATTCCTCCATGGTTTAATACGCGTATAGCAACCCCGTCATGTCAAGACTTTTTTTTTAAATCCACTGCATTTTTTAAGCTACAATTGCACCCATTTAGTAGGAGGTCCTTGCATTATAACATTATCTGCAAATTGTCATTCGCACTGGGACCTGTCATTTCCCAGAAATAAGGCCCCCCCCCCAAAAAAAATAGTTCTGCTTCTGATTACATGTCGTTTGAAAATAGGGTAGGTAAGTAGGGAAATAACTTTGTTTTCCATTTTTTGTGTGTAAACATATGGAGGCGTCTGCATGTTGTCAAGGGTAAAAGGTAGATCGATTTTTTTTCTTCTCATTTTTCCAATTAAAAATTAGGGTAGGGGCTGGCAGAATAAGGTAGGTAGGGAAACCGGAAGCAGAACTATTATTTTTGGGGGCCTAAAGAGGAACTTGAGCCCCGCAAAACGAGTGAAAATTTTCTCTTTTATATCCAAACGGTAGCGCACTGTACTCTGACTCGTCTATATGCAAAATGGCACGAGCCCTTCGAGATACCTGTTTATTGATTTTAGCAGACAGCTAGATGTCAATGTCTCGTGCCATTTGCAAGGAAATACGTCAGTGCAAAACAGAAATGTCTTGATGAGGGTCCAGTTCCTCTTTATATCTGGGAAATGACAATTCGCAGAAGAACTTCCTACTAAGCAGGTGCAATTTCAGCTCGAAAAAGGTTGCGGATTGAAAAGTGTAAATAGCAAGTCTTGACATTTTTCTGCCGACGCAGCGGTGCCACACATATTAAACCATTAAGGAATATGAACGGAAACCGAAACTTTTTATTGTTCACCGTACACACTTGACGTTCAAATGTTCAACCTCCCCCCCCCCCCCAATATTTTGTAAAGACTACCTTTTTCCATTCAAATGCCCTTTTTTTTTTAACTGCCTTTTCCCCCAATAATTTGTAAAGATCGAGTGTCCTTTTTTAAAGTTCCCTCTTTTTCTGAAAAGTGCCTTTGTTTGAAAAGAAGTGTTGCCCTGTTTTGTGGCATCTGCTGTTTTTGGTGCATTTTTTTCTGAATTTGGTACATGTATGCAAGCCACATATTACAAATCATCGATGTATGGCTTAATTGCACAGGCCGTAATTTCAATGGCTCCATCCTTTTAATTCTAAATTTCAAGACTTGAATTTTTCATGCCTTATAACACCCAATTCCTGGATATTTATGCCTTCCATTCTGATGTTGCAGTATGTTTCTTCAATGGCAACGTTATCGCCAAAATTGGTCCATGTTTGTCCATTATCAGCGCTGTACTGCCACTGGTAGTGCTGCTCGCTGTGCAGTTCACGGCAATTGTTGCCAAAAGCGCACATGCCACGAAGATTGAAGATGCATATCTGTAACGGAAGTACACAAAGCAAGAAAAGTGCGGGTATAGTCTTAAACTAGGGTTGGCTTACCAGCGTTGGGAATTGATACGAAAAAACCACTTTTCTTGAAAATGACAGCACACCAGGTGCCATGATTTTACAGGATGCTGAAGACTGTCGCTAACAGTCCAGTAAGGTATTTTATAAGAATTTAATAGTTTTTTTTTTATGTTTGCAAATGTACCGGTACTATATTCCCTTTAAGTCCCTAAACATACAAAAGTGTCTTTTCGTTCTCTTATAAATTAAAACTTCCACTAATTTAAAACTTTTTTATTTCTTTTGCTCAAAATTCTGATAGTAAGAAATTAAAGAGGTTGTGGAATGCTCGAAGACATTTCTGTCATTTTTCGGGTATATGTAGCCTAAGGTGTGATGAAATAAAAACCACTATTGTTTCTGTCATGAAATGAGTACAAAGGGTACTTTTGAGAGCTATTTTTCAGGTCCTGTTTCGACCCGAACGTGCAATTTGTGTAAAAGTCGTCGTTGCGGGCAGCAAACAAAACACGGTAAATCGTGACGTAATAAACAGGACTCGTTTATGCTACTCTGCATCGGGAGTCCTGTTTATTACGTCACAATTTACTGTGTTTTGTTTGCTGCCCGCAACGACGACTTTTACACAAATTGCACGTTTGGGTCGAAACAGGCATGACAGGACTTGAAAAACAGCTCTCAAAAGTACCTTTTGTACTCATTTTATGACAGAAACAATAGTCGTTTTCATTTCATCACACCTTAGGCTACATATACCCGAAAAATGACGGAAATGTCTTCGAGCATTCCACAACCTCTTTAATTGGCTTGTGATTATATGTGGGTAGGAATGAGTATGGCAATATTGCTGTGTCAAATATACCCAATATTCAATATTCAACCTAATACCAAACAGCATTTTTTTGATTCCAATATTTGAAAAAATGTGAGCAGTCCAAGAGATGATGAAAAATTTCCATGATGTTATTTTAATCGTAAATGTTGCGTGGTTTTATTGTTTGTTAAATACCGAACTTTCCTTGAACGCCACTTTTGCACATGATTTGAGAACTTCCCACAATGAATGTGATCAAGCTCAAAGTTTCTTCTTTAACTTTGGTCAAATATCAGCCATTCTGTTTGCTGTTCTTTATATTGTTGTAAAAAGCTCTTCCTAAATTTTTCGACAAGCATAGGTTCACAAAAATCCTGATCGACGGCCGGTTCAACTTGATCAGTGCATTCTGAAATCAAATATTCGATCACGGTTAAGTTGCAATTATCGAATACTACATGTATATTATTTAAAAATGCACAGCCACATCCGACAAAAAATTGATGGAAATGTCAAATTTTTGTCCCAGATGACATTGATTCGAAACAGTCGCCACAAATATAACTCAAGCAGGGACGACAATGTTTATGATTGTATATTTTAAACATTTTTCCAAAGGGTTCTCTGTTTTAAGACGATGAAGATGGCTTCGATAGTGCTTTTCGTTGGATTTTTACCGTGATTCGAAGGAAATGTCAACCCGTCGCCCTCGATTTTCCACGGCTCCAGCCACCGTCTCGAGGCCCCCAGATGAGCCTCCAGCATCTGTGGACTTCCTAGCCATGGCTACCGGAGAAATAGGAGACGACGAAGGACCTATAGCGGTCCGGGTGAAGGGTCCTCATGCCCGAAACCCACGACTGACCGCCATGCCTCATCACCGTTATGGGCTGATGGCAGTTCGGGTGGAGGGTTATTATACCCAAAACACAATGCAGGCTCCGGTCCAGCTCCGAAGTTGACTCCGTCTAGCGACATGCCGAAACCAGTATCATCTCAACGAGCTGCCGATCCTACTCCAACTAGAGCAGAGCCTACTCCATCGGCACCGCCATACGGTACCGGCACCACCCATGGCCCGTCGTTCGGGCCTACAGGAAACACGGCTGGGTATGTTTCAGCCTGGTCACAGCCGCAGACATTTTACAGTCCCTGGGGTAATCCTCGGTTTCCCACGACTGCAAACTCGGCACCTATGCCGCCATGCTACTACAACTCCTGGGGTATTCCTACCCAGTGGTTTTCACAGATGCCTCCATCGGCATATCTGCAATCGTCAGGCACTGTCCCGACAACTGCATCTACTGGTTCACGAGCACAGTCATCATCTGCTGGTAGCGTGCGGTCTCACACCGACGCCGTTATTACGGTCGTCAGTGACATCAGCGACGAGGAGAGCTCGGAAATTTCTAATGCAGGAACTTCAATGAGTTCCCTTCCTACTTCGAAGGGGATCCTCCGTAACCCCCACAAAAAGGACAAAGGAAATCCCATTTCGGATGAGGTGATGAAATGGTGGGAAGAGCTTAGAACTCATAAACTTTCACCGGAAGACCACAAAGAAGAGTTGTCATCCTTTGCGGTTCCCAAAGAGCAGGATAAATATTTCTCTGCTCCGGAGTTGCCTGCTGGTATCAAGAAAGTATTCAAACAGGTAAATCCGTCCATTGTTGCTCAAGATGACAGACTAAAAACTGCTCAAGGCTACGCCCTGAAGGCAGCTTTGCCACTTCTTCACTTATTGGAGGCAGCTGCCGATCCCGAAGGTCCCAGTGAAATGAACAAGGATATGGTTATGGACGTAATTTTTTCAGGCCTAATTCTGTTAGGTTCTGCCAACCAAGGCCTCGCAACAACCCGCCAACGTGCCTTTGATGACATCGTTGATAAGAAATTCGACGCCCTTAAGCGAAACCAACCTTTCATGGGGGAACTCTTCGGTTCTTCGCTGATGAAAGATATCGAGGAGACGGAGAAAGCCAATAAGCTAGCCGCGAAAGTTACTAGTGGTAAGAGCCATTCTACAAATTCCTACAAAGAGAAGCGCTTCTCGCCTTACCAAGCTGTGTATAGAGCGTCAAGAAACCGCCGATTTTCGACACCCTACAAGCCGACATACAAGGGGTTTGCTGGTCGACAATCTTACAAGTCGTCTTCAAACCGAGGAAGAGCGGGTAGGCAGCTTAATGCTTCAGACAATGCATCCTCAAAAAACTAACTGTGTATAATTTTCCAGTCAGTTCCCCAGCCAGTTCCCCAGCATCTTCTGCAAATCTACTTCTTGCAGGTCGTCTTCAACACTTCCAGCACCATTGGTTACTTGTTACACATGACCCATGGATCATTGATTCCATTTCAGGCTATACCGCTTGGATTTTTTGTCGCAGCCTTTTCAGAGTAAGGTCCCCAGTACACGAGCCCAATCTCGTCATCACGCGAGTATTTTTGATGTAGAGGTGCAGAAGATGCTGGAAAAAGGAGCGATAACTGTTGCACAGCCACTTAAAGGTCAGTTTCTGTCTTCACTTTTCATGGTACCCAAGAAAAACGGAGATCTCCATCCCGTCATTAACCTCAGACCGTTAAATCGGTTCATATTCCATACCAACACTTCAAAATGGAGAACATTACAGCAGTCAAACATCTGTTAACTTCGGACAACTGGTTAACGACCATCGATCTCAAGGATGCCTATTTTACAGTGTCGATTCATCAGTCTCACAGAATGTTCCTCCGCTTCTGTTGGAAAGACGTCATTTACCAGTTTTCATGCATGCCCTTTGGCCTGTGCAGTGCACCAAGAACATTTACCAAAATCCTGAAACCAGTTGCATCGTCACTCCGGGAAAAAGGGATTCGTTGCGTCTTTTATCTGGACGACATCTTTATCATGGGAACTTCAGCCCGGGATTGTTTGAACAGTACCAATCTTGCCGTCAACTTGCTCCAGGACTTGGGATTTATCGTGAACAAGGAGAAATCCAATCTGATTCCAACACAGCTAGTCGAGTACCTGGGATTTGTTATAAATTCCAAGAACATGACTCTTTCCCTAAATCAGGGGAAGATATTAAAACAACATCATCAGCCACTGCAGAGAGGTTTTGTCAGCACACACAACTTCAGTCCGCGATCTTGCCAGTTTGATCGGGAAGATGTCAGCGACCATACAAGCAGTATTCCCAGCCCCGTTATTCTACCGGCACCTTCAGTTGGAAAAGATAGCGTCCCTACGGGAACACTACAACTATGAGATAGATGTCACCTTGTGAAAAGAGGCAAGGGACGAGCTCCGGACATGGACTCAATACCTACAGGCATGGAACGGTCGGGGGATCGTTCTGCAGACTCCAGATCTAACTATCCAAACAGACGCGTCATTGAGCGGTTGGGGAGCCTGCCTGGGAAATCAACGAGTCGGGGGTCGCTGGACACCGCAGGAAAAGATAAATCACATCAATTATCTCGAACTGTTGGCAGCCTTTTATGCACTCAGAACACTACTAAAGGACCGTCAAAATGTGCATGTTCGGCTACAGATGGACAACTCTACGGCGATTTCTTACATAAACCACAAGGGTGGAACACGCTCCGTAAGTCTTGTTCAACTTGCACTCAAGATTTGGTTATGGTGTCTCCAAAGAAGTCTCATCTTGACGGCAGAACACCTGCCAGGCTCGATGAATGTCACAGCGGACAACCTATCCCGTGTGTTCAACGATCGGTTGGAATGGCAGCTAAACGTTCGGATATTTCGCAGGATTATGAACAGACTAGGTTTCTCCCCAGACGTGGATCTGTTTGCAACTCGACTCAACACTCAACTCCAGATGTTGGTGTCATGGCAACCAGATCCCATGGCATGGAGAGTAGACGATCTACTTCTGAACTGGAGGGAGATAAAGGGTTATGCCGTTCCTCCCTTTGCGCTTCTGCCCAGGTGTTTGAGCAAGATCAGCGAGGAACAGGCCACGATTGTGCTCATCGCCCCCATCTGGCGCACGCAGATCTGGTACCCCAGGCTTCTGGAGATGGCCGTTCAAAATCCCGTCATTCTACCTAGGGGAAGAGATCTTCTCCAATTGCCTCATAACCGAACACTTGTCCATCCATTGGCAGATCTAATGTTGTTAGCCACGTGGAAGCTGTCAGGGAAAACCTTCGCTCAGAGGGAATTTCTCAGTCAGTGTCCTTCACAGTCATGTCATCATGGAGGGACAAGTCCAAGAAGCAGTATGAATCAGCTTGGAATCGATGGGCCAGCTGGTGTCTTCAGAGGCAAGCAGATCCTGTTCGAGCACCTATAGCGGTATGTTTATCCTTTCTTCAAGATTTGTTAGATTCAGGGTTGCTATACAGAACTATCAATGTATACAGATCGGCAATTTCCTCAGCCCACGTCTTTGTAGACGGAGCACCAGTTGGACAACATCATTAAGTTAAACGTTTCTTCAAGGGTGTTCTTAATTTGCCTTCTCCACAACCATGATACAATGCAACATGGAATGTGGCAACTGTGTTGACTTATTTCAAGTCTTTACCTGACAATCGTAGATTATCTATCAGACAGTTAACCATTAAATTAACTATGCTAATTGCACTAGTTACAGCTAGTCGCTGTTCGTCACTCACAGCTATCAATATCAATCATATGTCAAGGTCCTCAGATGGCAGTTTTCATTTTTGGTTGGTAAAACCTTCTAAACATGTGTCAGTTAACAAACCCTTCCACGATATAGAAATTGCTCGCTTTCAAGCTAACAGAAACCTTTGCCCAGTACGCACTTTGCAGGAATACCTCAACAGGTCTTCTCATAAAAAATGGGAACTCTAGCATGACTCAGCTCCTGCTGTCACACTCCAAACCCTACCACCCGGTAGTGTCATCCGCAGTCTCCAGATGGTTAAAAGATGTACTCAAAGAAGCTGGCGTTGATACTTCATGTTTCAAGGCCCATTCAACCAGGGGTGCATCTACCTCAGCAGCTGCAAGTGCAGGGGTAACAACTCAAGACATCCTGAAAATGGCAGACTGGTCATCCATGACTACTTTTGCCAACTTCTACAATAGAAGATCATCTCAGACGGAGTTTGGTCAAGCAGTTCTGGCATCGGCACCTTGATGACCGGCTTTGAAGTATACAGGGTGAGTCTCTCCGGAATTGGTGTAATATAATTCCCCAATTATGTAAAGTACTTACCTGCAATATAATTGGAATTATATAAGACAATGGAGGAGAGACTCAGTCTCCCTCCCTTTTTATGTTTTGTGTGCATTTTTACAGGCACTTTGACTCCCGCCCGAGAACTAAATCAGGTCACAGGTCGCCTCCGCCAGTCATCATTGCTCCTCAAGCTTCAAAAAGACGATCCAGCACTCGAGCGAGGGGTACACGTGCACATAGCAAGCTATTCTTCAAGTTTGAATAGAGCGCTATTCTTCGAACTTTGAATACCTAATGAGGACTATTCCATTAGCTTCAAAGGGTGGTTAGATTGCAATACAAGGTACAATTATACAGGGTGAGTCTCTCCTCCATTGTCTTATATAATTCCAATTATATTGCAGGTAAGTACTTCACATAATTGGGGAATTACTTCCCATAACTATGAAATCTTTGGAATCCCAGTTTCAGTTCATTTAATTTGGATAAACTACATAATTCAGTAATCGTTCAGCATCACATGGAAAATGTCAGTGAAACCTTGGAAAAATGATAACACTGACTATGACCGAAGTATTATTTGTTGCATAATAAAAATGTAATTATGAAATGTTTGGTTTTAATGACATTTAAGTGGGTGACATCTGCATAGAAATCGGAGGGGCCATTCAACCCTAACCCCTGAGCACTTTTACTAGAAAGTATCCTGAATCTGCCAAAATCCAACTATTGTGTCGTGCACAAAAATGTTGGTGTTGGCGACTGCTCGATCAGTCCTAATTCCATCAAAATCCTGCAGCAGACGTTGTTTACGGTCGTTATTTTGTCGCGTAGATCCTCAATCCTCCTATTTCTGCGCAGATAAGGCTTTGCAACCACGTAGCTTAAAAATAGCAAAGCGAGCACTCTTTTCCTCAACAAAACCTAGGCCTATATTGCTGGCTTACGCTCATCCACCGTACCGATTAACAAAGCGAAATCCCTTTATTTGTGGTGACAGCCAGGGAATTCCAAAGCGTGCAGTTTTGGCGTTGTAGAAAAAAATTCCTACCTAATTCAACGCAGTGGACATTTCATGGAAAATCTGTGCTGTCCCAGCCATGTAACTCAATATAAACATTTTATTTTAATAACTTAGACTACTTGACTTTAGGAAAATATATATCTTTGAGCTTTTCAAACATGCTTTCTTTCCCTTTCCTTTCTGTTTTCAATGCCAATACACTTTTTTGTAATTTCAAAATTATTTTCAATATCATAATATTTGGTTGAGTCATTAATAAAAAATTGGCAACTTCTACTGAGGCCTATATTTACATATTTACATAAATATATTATACAGATTTACCTATTAAATGTAGATCCCAATGATATTGTTATTCTGATCGTCCCAATCAACAAAGACAATTTTCAAGATGTCAGATTTTAAAAGTAATGACAAAAAAAATTCCGAACTAATATAAGAAATGTGTCTTTTTAGTTGCACCGTAAGTTTTACACCCCTGTAGAAACTGCCAAGTCTTATCTAGTTATCTATGACATCTTAACTATAATACTGACGACAGTGGGAGACCAAGAAAGGTCACCGTACGGTCATATTTTTGATTTCTGCTTACCCTGCCTTTGCAGTTGGTAATTAGCTGTAAAAAGCAGATTTTTTTCATTTTTGCCCAGAATTCCCGGTAAAGCCTTCAATTTCCACATTTTTTTGGCTGCTGGTTAAAGTTTGCACATCAAAGGATATGATCCCAGTGAAAGTATGTCATTTTTAGGATGCACGCCTTGCAAAATATAACTTAAAGACGGGTGCGCAGAAATAAGGGGGTCTGACAATATACTACTGCGACCTTGACCAAAAAACAACGTCTAAAAGACGTCTTTCTCTCGACCTGAAAACACATCCCCACCTGCCAAAATATAACAAAAAACAAGACGTCTATATGGAGTCTTTTACGGTCAATATCTAGCCATGTGTACTAAAACAACCATGACCACAAAACAACGTCTTAAAGATGTCTTTTTATATAAATATAAATTGTTCCGCGAGAAAAGGTATCATTTAGATGAAAATATTTGAATGGTGTTTTAAAAATTGTGCTCTAAAAAAGGGGTGGGGAAGAGCACCGTGCAATATCACATCATGTGCACAACCCTCCCCCCCCCCCCCCCCCCCGGCCCCCCTCACCCAAGGAAAGAAAAGATTTGGGATATGTTAGCAAATCAAACCTGATTAGAAGTTGTTGCAAACGATTTCAACAAAACACCATGATCATATCTTACAGTTGTAGCAGGCGGTCTCCACGACAAAACAGGTGGGTTCTGTGACTGATGTTGGTCTATTGTTACAGGCGGTCTCCACAATGTTGCAGGCGGTCTCCACGACGAAACAGGTGGGACCTGTGACTGATGTTGGTCTATTGTTGCAGGCGGTCTCCACAACGTTGCAGGCGGTCTCCACGACGAAACAGGTGGGACCTGTGACTGATGTTCGTCTCTTGATGTCAATGCTCTGGTCTGCTTGGGCGGCTTCTTGTTTTTGGAGCTTGAGCGCCATAGATGTAGGAAATAGAGGCCGGAGAAACCAATCGCAAGCCAGCAAACCAGGCGACCCTGTCAATTGCAAAAAGAAAAACTGCATTGAAAATTACTGAATGGCAAAGTACATCAATTACTGGAGTACCACAGTGTCAGACATACATAGGGGAAAGTGGGGGTAAAACAGACCGTCGGGGCAAAACGGTACCCCCTTCATATCTCAAATATGGCTGGGATATACTGCCATCTAGCTTTGACTATACATGTACATGGTGTTGTGTAACGAGTGACTGAACTGCACTTGCTCCGGCGATGAAAAAAATCCTTTAAAAAATTTTTGGACCCTAAATTAACTGTTTTATTTTCTTTCTTAAGAAATTGTGCAATATGTTTATAATTTTATATGCAGTGCTCAGTGTGACTGTGAGTCCTTTATAATGGAAGGCATTTTAATAATAATTTATTTTTATTATTTTAATACATTATAAAAACATTATTAAAACAACTTAACCACTTTTGGAGATAATTCTTGAGGAGAAAATAAGATGTGTTTTCTCTTTGCATTTATGTTTTTCCTTCATAATTTCCACTGATGGATACATAAATTTGAAACCTGCCTACTTAAAACTTATCTCATTATTTGAATCTAAGCAATCAGCACTTGAGTCGTGTGGGTTGCATTGCCCTGTATCCTCCCTCAATGTAAATTTGTATTCTGTATTCATATTTCATATGTTATTTAACTTCACAATGAACATTTATCCACCCCAAGCTAAATCAGTATTCACTTCCTGTTTTTGAATAATGACGTCATCAAGCCAGAAAAAAACTTGTATTTGTACATATAGAAGGTTTACTGAAAATTATTGTGCACACCATTAAAGATGCATTTTTTAAACAAAGTACAGCAATTGATTGTACTGGAAAGGATTTAATTTTGTGATCCTTTGTTCTTACATAAACATATTCATAACTTAACTCGGCAGTGTTTAATGAAAATTGCCTGCCCAACCACTCTGCCTTTGTAACTCAACAAACGTGAGTTAAACTATATTAGTCTGTAGTAGGATTGTCACTCTGTAACAGTGACACAGTTGAAATGTTGCTAGGCTTTACTTACAATAACATGCTTTGTGGTGTTTGAAAATCTTTATTGCTCTTCATAGTTGCAGTTTTGGCTGTGAAACTGCTTTCAGAGAACAAGTGAGTGTTTGTCTTAAAATAAGATAATTTCATGTCAAGTGAGAGCTAATTATCGTAATATGTTGAACTTCGTAAAACTTGATATTTGATTTTCAACTAATGTTGAACAAGGATAGTGTGAAGGTTTTTTTTTAACTTAGGCCGAAAAAAAAAATAAGTCGGTCTCTGGTCAGCGCGCGCATCGATTTTAATCATGCGCGTCGATCTTTTTTTTTTCCAAAATGTTCCGCGGTAGCTCCAACAGCGCCCTCTATTTCCGCACCTCCTCAATTTTTTTTTAACCAAAGAGCACCAAGGAATGGGAAATTGCACCAAGGCAAATGATCGAAAGCACCAAGGCAAATTATGGAGGACACCAATGTACATGAGGACACCAAAAAAGCAAAAAATAGTACCCCACCTTGTCTGTACAATCCAAGCTTGAAGAAAAAAAAAAAAAAAGCTGAAAAAAAAAAAAAAAAAGCCGCGTGGCCACGTCAATTCCGGAACTTTGGTCTGACCAGACACCAAATATTTTTTTTGTTTTGGCCTTATATGTGTTGTGATATTTGTTTAAACAGCAACATGTCTTTACCATATCTAAACAATAAGCTTATGAGAGCTCTAAAAGAAATAAACCGTTGGTGTCACTGCTACAGGTGAAATTTGTGTCCCATGCGCTAGTTATCATGTTGCTACTCTAAAAAGGATCATGTTACAAAAAAATGATTATCGACCTGACTGCAAAACCCTGTGAAGCTGAATTTCATTTGGTTATTTTGAAAATTTGACACTAATGTCACACACTGGCCTCCATATTTATGTAGTAAACATAAGTGTAGAGATCAATGAAGATTCACAGTGAAGTCGTAAATAAGGGCGTGGTTTGGACGCTAAACCTGGTTTTTTTTTTATTGTGCCTTAGTGCGTAGAAATAGGATTGTGTAGTTTTAAACGGTCTGATGATAGTATCATTTTAGGCCTTCAGTTTTATTTTATTATCAGCCCTAGCTTTAAATATCCAGGTACTATAGGCCTATTCAATGATATTCATGACATATGGAATGGGGTTCCCCTAGAACTATGGGTCTAGTACTAGCCCCATAGTTCTAGGGGTACTAGTACTAGTAGGCATGGGGTAGACCCTTGAACGTGGCTATTTACAATGCCACGACACATCACAGGAGATTCTCCCCATGTCGGTGACTCTGGCCCTAACCCTGCTGAATCCAACAGGATCCAACTATTTCACATACCCGATGGAGCCTGTTGGATTGAGCAGTTAACCCCTTGTGTACATTCCTCGTGCAAAATGTTGGACTCAGCAGGCAACTGAACCGTATTATACCGCATTGTTGGTCTCCCTTGAATTCATCAGACAACTGAAAATGAGGCACAGTGGATTGAACAGGAAACTCCGGTCGGACTCTGTTGGATTTAGCAGGGTAGTCCTGAGAAAGTACTAGAGCCCGGGTTAGGGCTTAGTGAGCCTAAATGAGCTGGATTATTTCAAGCTAATCAAGCCCCCCAAAAAATTGCGGAAAAAATGTTACAACTGATGTAGCTGGAGTTACCCAGCCCTGAGTTTTATAGACAACCCATATGATAAAACTCAGGGCTGGGTAACTCCAGCTACAACTGATGCCACTTTTTTCTTCATATATCATCTCAATAAAGAAAGGTCAGTCATTGCAAAAAAATATGATAAGACATGAATCTGGGACTGTGGGAGTGAGAAACATTTCCAATTTTGTTAGGGAAATACAACCGCTGAATTAAGTGGCGTCAGGTTGCAACATTTTTTCCAAAATGGCCAAAATGACGACAAAGCTTGGCTTGGTAAAAAAAACAACCAAAATGTCAAAGACGAACTACTGGGGCTTCAATGGTAATTGGTATACTCACGATCATTTTGCGAGCTGTGCTGTAAATCGATGGAGCCTATTCAACAAAAAAGTTCGTACAGGTGGGGGACTACAGGTCACAGTCTTATTGTTGTCTAGCCCATTGTGAACTCGGTATATGACATTGCTGCATGCGCGCTGTACAGCGCCGGCAGGCTACAGTGGAACTAAATCTTGTCACGTTTACCGGCCGCGCGCACCGCACCCAAAATTGGTGGGCGGACGGGAAATCCCCTAATGTGAAATCGCCAATATATTAGACTGGCAAATAAAACAACCAGTCCAACAACTTCAGCACTGCATCAATTGACTGTGCTTAAAGAAACTGATATCGTTACGGAAGCCGAATAGTGCCAGTCGATAAGGGATAAATATATTTTTGGAAATGCGTGATGGGAATACTTATTGGCGGTCGGCCGGGCCGGGCGCCACTTCTGGCGGCCACAACTTCTTAATATCTGGCGGCTGGTCTTTATTTCTACACATTTCTCCGCAGCCTGCCTAGACTAATGAATAGGTCACTCTTCAAACAGGTGGTTCATGGTCATAGTGACCGTTTTAGCCGATTTTTGACTAACTTTGACAGATTTTTGGTTACAAAATGAGTTTGACAGACAATTTGACAGAATGGAATTTTTTGGCAGATTTTTGGCAGAATTCAGCTCATTATTGGTTACATGAAAGTTTAGCTGTTCTTTTTTTTTTTTAAAGCGTAGGCCCTAAAGCTAAAACATTCAAAAGTGATGGTAGGAGTTAGAGTGATTTCACATAAAAGGCCAAATTTATATAGTTTTTTTTGGTCTGAAATCAGCAAAATGAAAGCTTATATTACTATGCATCTGTAAATGTATGCTTTGACAACTGAAAATGACATTCATATTAAATTTTGATTGTTACATCAAATTTACCCATTTTCTAATGGATTATTCTGTGTTCTGATGAGGTCATTAAGCGGTAAATTCCATAGACAAGGTGCAATATAAGAGGTTTATTCCTCATTTTTATAAAATAAACAAAAATAGTTCCTCTCGCATACAACTCTAATCCAATTTGAAATTGTGCCTAATTATAATTTACTGCTCAGACCACCAAGGCCAAATTCAGAGAAAAAAAAATCGACATACATGTATATTGGATTAAACTTGTAGTATCTTGTAATTTCTTCTTTTTTTCACCCTCCAAATTATGAAAGGTTTGCCCACACCTATAGAGAAGGTTTGTCCAAAATTGTGTTTCAGCATGCGATTCTCAATTCAAAATTTTCATTTGCAACAAAATCTTGATAAAAAAGACTCTCCCTTCGGGTTTATTTCGCCAACTTTTCCAAATGGACGCCTACCCACAAAAGGGTCAGGAAAATGGGTATTGTTCATTTCGACTCAAAAACAATCCCTTTGCAAAAAAATAAAAACTCCTCAGGGTTAGGGAAAAAATGGCATCGAGTGGATTTGTGTTTCACAGAGTTTCATCAATAATCCCTGAAGTTTTCAAAGAATGTATCCGAAATTGCATATGGGAGATGATTTTTTTTTACCATAAGCCAACTGACTACAGTTTGTTTTCCGTTTGTCGGTGCTATTTAATACATTTGGGCTGCTTGAAAGTTAGAAAATAACCTTAAAATTGGCATTTTTTGTTTCTCACCACAACATTCCATCCACTCCTTCCCCTTCACCCCTGTCCCTCCCCTATACCCCTTCAGTGACCCCTGTCCCTCCCCCACAGCCACCTGCCCCCATCCTCCCCCCGCACCCTCATTGGGCCCCTCCCCCACCACCAGCCTTTAAGGTTTAAAACAGAGGTGAAACGCAGTATAATGTCTTTTGGCACTTGAGGGTTTACTACCCACCACACACTGTGTATATATTGCTGTTCCTTTATTAACGGCATAAAATATACTGAGTAGTTCACCATAAAATGTTAAATATTCTGCTTATGAAATTGAAAACTGGGTTTAAGGCTTGCCATTGAGTTTCAGGTCAGAGGATAAGATCACCCTGTTACAAACAGTTACAAGGTTACCGTTACTTACGATTACTTTATAATTATGAAAAGAACAACAGTGTAACAAAGGATAATTAGTGCTCCAAGTTAAAAATTGAGATGAAACTTGGACGGTAGAAAATGGTCCGGTGTACCAGATAATTCTAGTTTAGAAAAGTCAAATGATGCAGCTGTCGCTTAATTAAAGATGTAGGCCTACTGAGTTTCAGCTAGAAGAAAATGTTCATTTTTAAAATTTATATTTAACTAGCAATACAAAAGTTCTTGACTTTGAAAGAGACAGTTAACCAAAGAATCAGGCCACATTTAGTCATGGAGTAGTTTCTTTACAAATTTCGAATGATTTGCAGAGCGATAATATTATAATTCAGTTCTCAAAGGAGACTGGTTCCTGCCTCCTTTCAATCGATAATATAGGGATCTGTTTGTGCACAAGAGCAACCAAAGCCCATTTTTGTAGATGCCAAAAAAATTGAAAGATTTTTTTTTACTATAATTATTATTTTTTTTGCAACATAATACACTAAAAGTTTAAAATTCATTATAGGAGACAAGTCATGTCAAGTCACTCTTTATTTCCAAAAATCAGTCAAATTGACCGATCGCTGGGCATCACCTACATGACTTGACTTCCCTTCTTGACTTCTTCTAAATGACAGCAAGCCAGACGGAATAATTTCACAGGGTGCTTAGTACCAGTTCGATATTCAAAGCAAGTTAGTTTTTTGATATATAGGTTACTTTTGGGATAAATGAAAATGATCCTATATGCCTTTAACAAACAATTCAGCATACAAAAAAATGACAGTTGAAGTACTTGTATATGATTTTCAAATTACACATACCCCAAAGTTCTGAATTCACTGATTTCTTAATAGCTTAAACACTAAGCACTACAATTTTTAACTGTTTTAATATAATTGGTTTTACCAAAAGATACAAGAACTGGATAAAAAGTACAGCTTGAGCATTTTCAATGCTTCTATTTTGTTATTCTACCTTTAACTTAAAAAAAAAATTGCATTCAATTTTTGCCATTCTCATCTGCATAAATATAAAACATTACAACTACTACATTCATCTTGATTACATTATATAATTACTGAGTACAATGAGTTGTTAATATTCTATTGAACTATTGAAAATTAAAACATTAAAATCAAAGAAAGCTCGGTTGTGTAAGAGAGTATAAAACTTTTACTGGAATGCAAGTTTTTTTAATTGAAACATCCCAATATCCCATACAAAAAGAACATTTTAAAATCTAGAACTATTGCTACTGTTTGAGAAATTATTGATACAAATCTTATTCAAATGAGTTATTTTGCTTTGAAAACATCTAAATACCATACAAAAAACTATTATTAGACCATTAAGAAATTCAATTCTTTCATTCAACATCTTAAAAATGTGAATTTCCTGAAAAGGTATATATGGCTGAATTGAATCACAATTGATTTCAATTTACCATGAATATGCAATTTATTTTGTGTGCAATTTGTAGACTTTTCTCTCGTCAGGTTTTTTCTCCGAGTACATAATTACCGCATGGATGAAATATCAAAATTCAGTTCTAAAATTTTGTCCCGAATAATGGTATTTGCAGAATAAAAGGAAAATATGCGAGACCAAACAACTAACTACGGTTGTCAACATGCACTTTTTTTGTTGTTTTTTTCCATCTTTTTGTTTCTTTTTTTTCTCTCTCTCGGTTTAAAGGGAATATACAACATTTGCAAACATCAAAAACAAACTACCAAATTATTATGAAATACCTTACTGGACTGTTAGTGAATGACAGTCTAAAGCATCCTATAAGAATCATGGCACCTGGTGTGCTAACATTTTCATTAAAAGTAGTATTTTTGTATCAACTTCCAACGCTGGTCGGCCAATCAGCATTGGAAAGAAACTGGCTTTTTTCAAATACTGCCCCCAAATTACCATATTTACAATTTTGTTTGCAATCCGGTACAAGCCTTCTAGACTGGGTCCCTGACCTTACAATTTCCTGACGTCTATTTAAGTGAGGTCAGGGAACAAGACTACAAGAACATGATTGTTTTTCTTGGTTTTTCCCAGCATCTACGAATACAAACTTTCAATCAAGTCAGTGTAACAATATCTGCTATAAAATACTAGCCCCCAAATCCATCCATTTTTGAAAATTACAGCAAAAGCAAATTATGTTGTATATTCTCTCTAAGTCATTTTCCTTTTTTTTTTCTTTTTTTTTTTTTCCTTTTTTCTTTTTCTTTCTTTTATTTTTCTCTTTGTTTAAGTTCTTTTTCTTTCTTTTCTTATTTTTTTTCTTTTGTTTACTTTTCATTTTTTTATTTTCTTTTTCTCTTTTTGTTCCTTTTGTTCTTTTTCTTTATTTGGATGTTAATTTGGAATTCCTTTGATTGAAACTTTCAATTTATTTGCTAGTGTAGAATTCAAACATAATTCTAGCAAATGTCATTCATGTACAACTGAATAATGAACTTCTTTTTCTGGCACCGTTAACTTATGATAGGAGGAATTATTTAAGATCACATTACTGTACAAAGTCGTCTCTGTGCAAAATATTGCAATTTTTCAGTCTGGCAACTTTTTTGTTGGTTTTTTTTGGGGTTTTTTTTTTGGGGGGGGGGGGCTCCTGAAGGTGGGGGAAGGGGAGGGGGGCCCAAGCCCCCAAACTGTATTGAGTGCTCTGGTGGTTTCTAGTGCTACAGGGAATAGGCAGGCACAGTGACTAATCAATTAAAACACTTCTTATTTACCATTCCATGAGTATTGCATATTACATGACCTGCGTGTTACACTCATTTTTTGTAGGTGATCAGATACTCAGGGTACACCTGATTTCGATCGAAAATGACGAAGATCAGGGGGTCGATGGGATTGTCCACGCAGGAATCGAACAACGGACCGTGCAGCTTGCTCGTGTCCCTCAGCGGGGGCCTGCGGTATTTGGGATCCCCGCGGGTGTAAGAACCCACCAGGACTCGAACCAGGAACATGCGGCCACGGCCTTTGGAATCAGGGCTGGCGTAGGCGTCCGAGTACTTGGCGCTCTTGCTGAAGTAGCTACCCTGGCCGTATTTGGTGCCCACTCGGGAGCCGCTCACGCGGTGGTCAAAGTTTTGCTGACAGATAGCCTCGATGACGTGTTTCTCCGTGCCGTGGAACAACATCAGTTCCGCCGGCACTTTCCTGGAATCTACTTGTCTGTCTCGCATGTAATCCCGCCGTCTATTGCATGAAAAATAGAGAATAGTTTGGTTGCGATACCCACTGCTATATCAGATTTGAACCATGCCAAGCTCAGTGCACTGGTAAGCACGAAGTCGTGGGTTCGAGTCCCACCCAAGTAAGCTTGTGAATTTCTTCTCGCAACCCCTCAGAAAACACCGAGTGTACAGTGTTTGTAAACATACATTGGTGAAGGGCAAAACTCAATATAAAAAACACCATGGGTTCCAGCACAATATGCAAGATGACATTTATTTTTAAAGACTTACAGACGAAGAAAAGAGACTTACACTGTAAACTCGTGCCACAGCTCGTTGTTCTGCACTCGCTCAATTCTCACGATGGAGCTTGCGTTCATCTTTTCTGCAAAGCGGTCAGAGACCAACTTGTGCTCTTCTGCGTGAAGTTTGCGGTCCAGCTTGCTCAGCACAAAGTTGCTCTGGGGGTCTGCGGGCGCCAGGTGGGCATCCCAATTCTTGGGCAAAATCACACCCAGCACCTTCATTTTCTGCAGACTCCTGGGTTGATAAAATTTGAAAACAAAAACAAAATCAAAAGAGACAAGTAAACGAAAGATAAAAAAATTATCGACTAACTTATAATTGCTGGTCTGGTTAACAGAATAATATTTTTTATAGACAAAGAACTTGACCAATTCCTCCCCGACTAAACACCCATTCAACTGGTGCACTTGACACTGGAATGGCCAGGGTTCTTTTGAATTTGGGGATACAGACATGGGCGTCGCCAGGATTTTTTCTAGAGGGGGGACAAACATTTTTTTGGGCCAAAAAATGCTTGTATTTCTCAACACATTCTCGATTTATCAGTTTTAGAGGGGGGCAGGGACATTTTGCCCCCCCCCCCCAACTCATTAAATTTACACCACTTTGTCTTTGCGCCTCTTTTTCTTTTCCTTTTTTTCTTTTCTTTCCTTAATTTTTTTTTTGCTTTTTCAGGGGGGGGGGGGCCAAGTGCCCCCCCTTGCCCCCCCCCCTCGTGACGCCCATGGATACAGAAGGTTTGTAATGAGTCACTAAATCTTGTGACTCGAGTCAAGTCAAGTTATCTGCTCGCAGTGATTCGAGTTGAGTCAAATTAGTTACCCATGGGGACTCGAGTCGAGACAAATTGCCAAAACTTATGACTGGAGTCCGACTTGAGTCATTGACTTGAGTCATTACAACTCTGAGTTTAGGACATTATTTTACCAGCCAGTCAGTCACTACCACAGAGGAAAACAGGCAGGCCGCTTATGGACTCACCTTTCGCACATGTCTTTGGAGACAAACTTTGGTCGTCTGCGCACCTCACGCTTTGTGCCAAGCTTCCTGTTCTTCTGCGTCATGCTCGGAAAGTCCAACACGTAGCGAAACTGCTCTGTCTCAAACTTAAATGTGGGATCTTGTCCAGTCGAACGAAATTTTTGGTATGCCTCCTCAATTTCCTGCAAAAAGTAACAAAATCAACATTAAAGGACACAACGGTCTGCAATAAGATGGAAAAATGAAATCCACAGAGTTGTTTTTGCTACATTCGTAAAGATAATTGTATTTCAAAAGCTTTTCAGAAAATCTGAGGGATACAATTTTTCGATCGCAAACTTGAGCTAGGCACAAACAAGTTTACTTCAAAGCAAAAATCACGTCATTTAAACTTGCTAAGTATTGTAAGTAAAAAAGGGGAGTGTAGGCTAGTGGCTAGGGTTTTAGGACTGATCATCAGAGGGTCAGGGGTTTGAATATTGCTGCTGGGCATATGTCTTTGGGCAAGCCACTTCACCCTCAATTGTCTCCCTCCACCCAGGAATGCAAGCACGGGTGAGTTTGGTCTAGTGGTTAGGGTTTGTGACTCACGATCAGAGGGTCAGGAATTTGAATCTTGCATGCATCTAGGCATATGTTGTGTCCTTGGGCAAGCCACTTCACCCTCACCCGCCTCCCTCTACCCAGGAGAGAAAGCAGAGGGAATGTGGCCTACTGGTTACGGTTTGTGATACATAATCAGAGGGTCAGGGGTTCCAATCCTGCCACAAGCCATATGTTGTGTCCTTGGGCAAGCCACTTTACCCCCACTCGCCAGTATTAGCACCCATGAGTATATGTGGTACCGGCAATAGCTGGGGAGTATCCTGGAACGATGGACTGGCATCTCATCCAGGGGAGGAATCAAAATGTTCTCCGTCGATCATTTTATGCCAAGAAACCCGGAGAAAAAAGCCTGGCCTGATGAGCCACAATTGGCTTGTGACAAGACGTACTTATAAGTTTTAAAATAGTGAGAATCTTACAGCATTATTGGCGTACTGCACCCAGATGTTTCCGTTGTCATGGAAGTACCACTGCCACTTGGTTGCCAGGACACTCTGCCAGGAGTTCAACTGGGATGTTTTCGTCGATGGAGTTTCTAAACGACGGACATCCATCGAAGCCAACTTCATCGTCTTAAAACAGAGAACCCTTTGGAAAAATGTTAAAATATACAATCATAAACATTGTAGTCCCTGTTTCAGTTTTATTTTTGGCAACTGTTTCGAATCAACGTCATCTGGGTCAAAAATTTGACATTTCCATCAAATTTTTGTCGGATGTGGCTGTGCATTTTAAATAATATAGTATTCGATTATTGCAACTTGATCGCGATCGAATATTTGATTTCAGAATGCACTGATCAAGTTGACCTGGCCGTCGATCAGGATATTTGTGAACCTACGCTTGTCGAAAAATTGAGGAAGAGCTTTTTACAACAATATAAAGAACAGCAAACAGAACGGCTGATATTTGACCAATGTTAAAGAAGAGATTTTGAGCTCATATTCATTGCAGAAATTTCTCAAATCATGTGCAAAAGTGGCGTTCAACGAAAGTTCGGTATTTAACAAACAATAAAACCACGCAACATTTACGATTCAAATAACATCATGGAAATTTTTCATCATCTCTTGGACTGCTCACATTTTTCAAATATTGGAATCGAAAAAATGCTGTTCGGTATTAGGTTGAATATTGAATATTGGGTATATTTGACACAGCAATATTGCCGTACTCATTCCTACCCACATATAATCACAAGCCAAATAAAGTTCTACCTTGCTTGATCCTTTACACCATCCGTTCTGATATCGCAGAATTTTTCTTCTATGGTAACGTTAAGGTCAACGTTTTTCCACGTTTGTCCATTATCATCAGAATACTGCCATTGATAGTGCTGGTCGCTGTGCAGCTTTCGACATCCATCGCCAAAATTGCACTTGCCACGAAGGTTGTATTCACATATCTGAAATGAAAGTGCACAAAGTGAGAAACCAGGCAGGTATTCTTAAGCTAGGGTCTAATTGTGAGAAGGCACTTGGGGGCCTAAAGAAGATCGAAGGTCGTAACACCAAACCACCCCCCCCCCCCAAACCACCCCAGCCCAATAATTTGCGCTCTACAATTTTTGCCTACTACAATGACGACGCTCATGACTTTCCGGTATCTGGATGTAACCCGGCTCATGTGTGGTCAGTGAGAGCCCTCTATTTACTGCAAAATCAGCATGCCTTCATGTTGTATCTCAACAAACCTCAAGATTGTCCGAAGCTGCCCCTTGAAGAGACGAGATTCTCCGCCTTCTCTTATCGCCATCCCCCTGAGCAGCGGAAGGGTTGTTTGTCTGGATAAGGGCCAGGAGTTCTTCTTGGGTCTTGCTTCGAGCATCGATGCCCAATGCCTGCCAAACAGCCATTGGCTGGGAGCCCTTGGCATTGTGGGAATGACGGCACTTGCCTGTAAATCGGCAATTTCCAGTGGCGTAGAACCTGGTGACCAAATAAGGATGAAGCACAGTGAAGTCTTAGCACTTGGGCATAAAGAGAACATTGTAAAACACGTAGAACGTAAAAACGTCTGCTGTTTAGACAAACTTTCAGGAATCTTTGGGGGAGGAAGTCTTTCGGCTAATAATGTACAGTGCTGTTATAGATCACGAGGATTCACCTCACTCACTTTGCAGGGAAGATGGCTTCGCCTCCCATTGCTCACTTTGTGGGCAATCATGCGCAATCAATGCGTGAACAACTTGTGAACACATGCAAATGTGTGATCTGCCTGCAATCGGGGACCCCCTATTGTCCTTCTTTTGTTTGTACTTAAACTTTTTAGGAAGACCTCCCATATGTTTTGTACACATCGCCAAATTGGGACCTTCAGGAGTTTGGGACCTCATTGTCCTCTATTGTTCAACATCGCCTATTGAATGCAGAAACAAACTCATACAGACTTACGCATCCTTATTTGCTCTATAATAGTGATTTGATCTTAAACTTAATGGTGATGCAGTGGGTTTGAAAAAAAAGAAGTGATGTTCAATACATCCTACAAGCATGCAAATTAAATAAAAATGTATGTAGTTCCTGTACTAAACTGTATTACATTGGTTTTATATGCTTAACTATGAATATAAAAACAAAAGAGTGCAGGGACAGTTTCAGGCAATTGCGGGGAGTAATAGGCAGGGCACTTTTGGTTGGTTCAGTGACTATAATGGATTAATAGAGCTCTATGCAATATTCATAAATACCTAAGACAGTTTACGCATTCCTATTGGTCGAGAGCCCGTCACGTGGCTGGTCTTAAACGGATGATAAAGACATGGCTAGCTGGTCTTAAACACTTTTCCAATGTCACAATAAAATATGGACTCCTAAAAATCCAGTGCCTCTTATCGTTTCATTGGTTGAACGTTCAAAATCCTCACGTAGGCATGCGCAACACTACCAGGGAGTCAGAATTTTATAGTTCTAAATTCAAAACGTAACGCACCTGGCGCGTTCTGCGCAACATCGCGCAGAACATGATACGTGCGCGTCAATCTCCATAAAAGGGTTGTTTACATCTTACTCGCCAGCTGAACACTCCATTATTTTGCAAGATGGATGTTTCAAAAAGCATAAAGTGAATTTGTTGAACAAAATCGGAATGTTTTGAACGAATTATATGATTTTTTTTACCGAATGGGAATAAATATGATGAATGGGAATAAATATGTGCTCCGTTGGTATTTATCACTCTGTTTAAGACCACTTAGAGTCTGGGTGCTGATAATTACCCTCGCCTCCGGCTCGGGTAATTATCAGCACCCAGACTCTAAGTGGTCTTAAAAAAAGAGTGATAAAAACCTCTGGAGCACACATTTATTCCCTTAATAAAGTCATATATGGCTTAAGTTTGGTTGCTGGATTTTTTTAATTCCACAGGAATTGCTCAGGCCCATGCCACACAAGCCAGTTCAACAAAAGGACACCTGTAAATGAAAGATTCAGACTTACCTGCAGATGTGCAGGTACGGACACTTGTCTCCCTTGTTACAACCTTTCCTGTTGTAATGTATGCAGACATCAGGAACAGTCTAGTCATTTGGTTGTTTGAAGAAAGAAAAACACAATGTTAAGACTGACAAGAGCAAGAGCTTAAGGTGCATATACAACACAGAAATAATAGTTACCTTGCAGAGTCGGATTTTGCTAAGCATGACGTAGCTTGCGAGGTCGTCACGACCTCTTCATTCAGCGTTGTGGGTAATAAAATCCCTCCCGTTGCAGCTGTGGGTGAACATTTAGTTCAACAGAGGCATAACATCAACTTGGACAATGAACAAGTTATAGCACAAGGGAAACGCTTCTGGACCAGAAAGATCAGGGAGGCCATAGAGATCAAGACCCAGAACCCAACACTCAACAGGGACGCAGGGTACGACCTGCCCGCCATCTATGACGATCTGCTCTCACGTGACCACCCCAAAGGTGGTCACGTGAGCGGAGGGATTTAGCCATAATGGTAAATGAAGAGGTCATGACGACCTTGCGAGCTACGTCACGCTTAATAAAATCAGACTCTGAAAGGTAACTATTATTTTTATGTCAATATGACAGAGTCCAATATCAGTATCCATACTGCTGGAATATACAACATTTGCTTTTGCTCTAATTTTCAGAAATGGATGGATTCAAGGAATTTTCTCAAAATGTATGGTATACTGAACTGACACTTTCAACAGGTAAGGTGTTATGTACTGAAAGATTTTGACCAACTTTGCTGCTTTAAACGAAAACAAAATGCGCCATTTTATCAGAAGATCTTGCATACCTTTTTAGATTTCCTTGTAGGCGATCTCATCGAATTGAAATCTTCATCATCATCATCTTCATAATCATCATCTTCTTCCTCGGCATCTGAAAGCTCCTCCTGTCTCTTCTTCTCTAGCAACATCTGGAGCAGCTCCCCGGGGGGTTTGGCAGCGGCGTTGATGTGGAACCTCCGCCACACACTCATTGGCTGGGGGTCCTTCACATTGTGCGAGTAGTAGCAGGGTTTCCTGTACGGGCTGGCAAATTTGCAGTCTCCCAGAATGTAATGTCTGCGTAGCCACAACATGACACAAAAAGCAAGATGTTTTTATTAGATTTGTGATTTCAGTTGTAACAGGCAAGAGGCCAGGTTTTTGTTTGCTCGTTGCAAATAGAATTTTGTCCCATCTGTGTTTCACTATCATGCCCCTCCCCCCCCCCCCCCCCCCCTGATATGCCACTGGCTTGTAACTGACTCAACAACTCTGAAGAATGGGAATATTTGTCTTACCTACAGACATGCAGGAACTGACAGTCTGCCTTGGTGCATCCAGTTTGGGTATTGTAATGTCTACAAACGTCAGGCACGGTGATCTTAATCCAGCTCTGTCGGAATATCTGTATAAAGTAACAAACAAAAATTTGGGTGAGAACAGTTCTTTTCCGAAGCGCCTAGCTTCTGAGCACCATAAAAATAACAACTCAGCCGGAGTCAAGAATTATCATCTGGAACGATCAACTTTTAACTCACCACTCTGACCTTGACCTCGACCTTTGACCTTTTGACCCCAAAACCAATCTCAACTTAATTGCCTTTTACCCACGGGCAATCCCCTTCTAAAGTTAGAAACCCAAATCACATTTTTAACTCCAGTTATCATCCGGAAGCCATTTACATTTAACTCACCACAGTGACCTTGAGCTTTGACCTTTTGACCCCAAAACCAATCCCAATTTGCCTACCCCCAAGGGCAATCCCTTACTGAAGTTATCATCCCAAATGGCATTTCTAACTCAAGTTATCATACGGAAACTGAGCTGCCCGGACGGACACCCGGACTGATTGACAGACGCTCTAGGCGATGAAAATATACCCCTCAGCCAAGAGGCTGGAGGTAAAAAATTGTTAACTGTCAAATCCTCCCCCAACCTCCTCCTCAAGAATACCTGAAAGATGTGTCCATCATCGAGCTGTTCCAATCCATTCGCAAACAAGATGGTATCGTTGTGGGGGCTCCGCAGGTGATGAGGATAGACGCACTTTCTACCTCTCTCACAACTGCCCAAGACGAAGTGACTGCATAAGTGGAAGGACTCACAGTCACTGCCTTCCTCACAAGTGTCCTGTCGGGGATCGTATGTTTCGCACAGTACAGCGTCTGTCTTGACCCTTGAAAACAGAGACATGTTTTCGTGAGTTATCACTACCTGAAAGTGAACTTAATTTGTATTGTTTTAAGTCCATAACTGATGTAAAAAAAAAATGGTACAGTATATATGCCGAATGATGTTTCTTATCACATACAATTTATAATTTATAGGCCTAATTATAATGGGGTGTGGTTTAGCACACATGTTTTGGGTTGTTTTTTTTTCTTGTAGTGGAAGGGGGGATTTAAAAAACATTTCCGTTTTTCGCCCAAATAGCCCAAATCTAGAAACGTTTTCCATATCCGCGGTCATCAACAACACTAATTTTTGGCAAAAAAATCCAACTTCACGAAATTAAGTCAGATGTTCACAAAAGGTGGGTAGAGGCCAGAAATAAGTCCCCGAGAGATTCCCTCTCACTTGAATCAGGATCCAGGGAGAAAAAGAAATTAAGTTTTCAGCCAAAATAGCCCAAATCTGGGAAAATTTTCCATATCCGCAGTCATCCAAAATACTCATTTTTGGCCAAAAATCAAACTTCACGAAATTACGTCAAATGTTCACACAAGGTGGGTAGAGGCCAGAAATAAGTCCCCAAGAGATTCCAGCTCACTTAAGTCAGGAACCAGGGAGAAAACAAACATTTCCGTTTTTTGCCCAAATAGCCCAAATCTAGAAAAGTCCGACAGGCCTGAAACACCACCCCCCCCCCTCATTTTACGAGTATTGCAGCAGAAAGGATACAAAATTGATATTAAAAAAATCTGATTTTTCAAAATTTGGAAATCAAAAATATCACCAATCCTGTTCCTGGGCCTTTCAAAATTCCCCCAAACTTTCCGCTAAACTTTCCAAAATTGTCCACCCCTTTGCAACCCTAGGGAAATCTCAATTAAATATGGGATCTCAACTACCTGTATATGGACTACTATATCAAATGGTGGCCCTGTGTAAGTTCCCCTTGTCAAATGGGCCCATCAATTCATTGCTAATTCACTAACTGAGGATATGGGCTCCGTGCGCTAACAAAAGAGGGCACATTTTTACCACTTTTGAGAGCCCCTTAGACGGAACACCACATGTGCATAATGTACTGGTTTTCGCCAAAAAAACGCACGACTTATTTATCCTGAACATGCACAAAGCTAAGCCATATAGCGTGAGCGTCAGGTGTCGTTGGCGCGCAAATGCATTCAAATTCAACTTGCAATGGTCTCCCAGACTAATCCCTGCCCCCAATTACTTTGATTTTAACTTTTGACATTCGATATACACAGTAGATGGACCAGGAGCCAGTCTAGGTCTTCCCCAACTCTCCTTTTCTGGCCGTTACCTGACTGTGCACTCGTTCCGCACCGGATCCTCCTCAAGGTGAAAGAGTTTGATGTTGTGCGGGGAGCTGTGGGTCATGAACTGCCGCAACGCCCTGTCTGATAGACCCGTCCATCCTTCTTGCATCAAGGTTTCGTTGAGGGCAGTCAGGCTGACACTTCCCCCGTACATGCACACCAAATTCAGGATCTGTAGTTCAAGTTTTTCTGGGAAAATCATCGCTCCGACCTGCCGCTTGGACTTGCGCTTGACCGGATTTGCCCCGTGGAAGGCAGCCATGGCTAATTAGCTGTCACACCGCAGGTCAGGAGTTTGCGATTCCTGTCAACTGCAAAGAAGAGTGCATTGTTGGAATAGTTAATAATTTGCTCAGAAAATTAGGGACCCAAAATTCAAAAAATATTCAGTAGGGTAACTGCATAATCATTAACGTAACGATTGTCAATGGGCGATCGTGTAGTGTAGGGCCCCCTGTTTAGTTTCGATCAAATCAGAGTCAAGGGTGTTTAATAAAATAAAAGTGGATTTTGTTTCCTATAGGGAAACAGGCCCTGTAGATACACGATTGCCCAAAAATGCGCACTTGTTAAACAAGAACCCCTCCCTGTATTAGCTATGTAACAGGTCTCAGTCTTGGTCTAGGTCTATCCGGTCTTGACTACAACACTGTCCCTGACCCACTTAATCAATTTATAGATGTTAGGGAATTGTAATTGTAATTTTTGACCTTACAAATCAAGTTGATAAAACACTAACAACTGTTACAAAACATATTATCACCTCGGTCCCTGCGTGTAACTACATCAGTATATGTATTAGACCCGTGAACGCGGCTTGTAAACTACGCCACGCTGTTGTGTATTTCCGAACCTGGCGAAATTGTCCCTCTGACTCCCTCCGTTACACACACTGGACGTTATTTTGCAAATGTAATAAGTACTCACATATGAAGCTGTCTTGAAATCTGTTTTTACATCAAAAATTGCATTTGACGAAATTTGAGGAAAATTCTGGCCCCGGTTTACTTCTTGCATTTGACGAAATTTGAGGAAAATTCTGGCCCCGGTTTATGAAGTCCTGCTAGCTGCCATTTTCTCCCAAGTGACGCATGCGCATTGCGTTTTATTGTACCGTCCTGTTTCGTATAATTCGACGGCTGTTTACTGTCGCAGCTAAAAGAGACATCGTTTTAGACAAGTTTCAAGTCCTTTCCTCTCTCACCGCACCGCACGCGGGCGCACGTGCGCCCTCGTGCGTGTGCGCACACGTACACGAGATGCATGAGCCGAGCAGCCAATTGGGTGCGTGTTTTTTGTTCGGGGTTGCGACATGAAACAGCCGTCAATCTGTCCAAGCAACTCGTCCGGGGTCATTTGTCAGGGTCACTTGTCGGGTTAAAATGAAATTTCTACACGTTCGTATGGGTCTTTATACTGATGGGAAAATTTCGTCGAAATTACACAGCCTAAACAATCGGACGAGCAAATTTAGATTTTAAGGTGAGTACTCAACACCCATACGGAATTATGTATGTCGGATCGATTTCGCTAGGTTTTAAAATACACAACAACGTGGCGTTGTATACAACGCCACGTTCACGGGTCTATACATGTATTAAAATTGCACAGAAAAAAAAGAGAAAAAAAGAGATTTCAAAAGGAACAACATTCTGACATTTTCAGTTTGAAATTAAGTATCACATTTTGGAAAAAAAAAATTGCATGGTGACTCCACTGTTTTCATTATCTAGTTAAATTGCGCAAATGTTGGAAAGACATGGAAGTTTACTAAACTTCCATCATTCCATGTCTTTCCAACATTTTCGCAATTTAACTAGATAATGAAAACAGTGGAGACTGGAGTCATCATGCAAATTTTTTTTTCCAAAATGTGAAACTTAACCTGTTTAGGACTGAGAAACATTTTCCAGTTTTGTACGAAAATGCTTTGAAAATGTTTTCGACTCTCCATACTAGTTTTTGTCATGTTTGTACACACAAGTCACAACTAGCTGGAGTTACCCAGCCCTGAGTTTTATCATTGGGTTGTCTATTAGGGCTGGAGCGAATTTTTCTCGTAACTTGTAGTATAGGCAAAAAATTTTGGAAAATGTTCAATTTTGTCCCCGTTACACACTAATTGCAACTGCAACTCACCCCAAACTTGCCTGGAATAACCATTACACAGGTCCTTGAAGTAAAAAACGATCCACGATGAAGATTCAGCCTACAATTGCAGTGAAAACAGGAGGAATAACCGCTAACTTGACAACCTTGCTGGATTGGCCAGGACCGCAATTGGTTTGTGCACAAAAAAAATTGTGTACAATGAATGGCGGTCGATTAACAGGCACAGAGAGCGATCGCTGTCAACTACTCGTTTTCGCCGGCTGCGCTGGCTGTTGGCGCATGACGTCACGCGGAAGCGTAATACCCGATGACTGTTTCATGCACTATTGGTTGCGGTTCCAGTACCAAAGCTGTGATGCGAGTGGTAAACCTTATATTAGTGCATGAAACAGTCATCGGGTGTTACGCTTCCGCGTGACGTCATGCGCCAACAGCCAGCGCAGCCGGCAAAAACGAGTAGTTGACAGCGATCGCTCTCTGTGCCTGTTAATCGACCGCCATTCATTGTACACAATTTTTTTTTGTGCACAAACCAATTGCGGTCCTGGCCAATCCAGCAAGGTTGTCAAGTTAGCGGTTATTCCTCCTGTTTTCACTGCAATTGTAGGCTGAATCTTCATCGTGGATCGTTTTTTACTTCAAGGACCTGTGTAATGGTTATTCCAGGCAAGTTTGGGGTGAGTTGCAGTTGCAATTAGTGTGTAACGGGGACAAAATTGAACATTTTCCAAAAAATTTTGCCTAGGCTATACTACAAGTTACGAGAAAAATGCGCTCCAGCCCTAATAGACAACCCAATGATAAAACTCAGGGCTGGGTAACTCCAGCTAAGTCACAACCAAATAAGAAGTGGCGTTTGACTTTGACTAATTTTGACATTGTGTTTGTAAATTGTAGCTTTCCAAAATTTTTGTCACATACCTACTCAGTCCATGGCGACTCCTAACATCCAGTTGACGATTTCCAGGATATTCCTGAGCTATGGTGGGGTATAATCCGATGTTTATACATGTACTTTATGGAGCTCACGATTAATGCGTCACCTGACGTTGATTTCTCACAAACAAAAATGTTCCTCGCGTGTTACTCACACGGGAAATCCCCGTAATGCAACATCGGTCCCATGGTGTGGAGCATGCAGTACACGTTTATGAAAATAAAGTTAGCCCGGGGACGAGTGCGAGTAGTACTGTCATAACAAAAAGGCTAATACAGTGGGATGCCGCGCTTCGCGCGGCACCAGCTAGATGGTGGAGATGACTGTTTTGTAGCATTGCAAATTGCCCCAAAAGTGGTGCGGATTTTTGTCTCCGGACTATCCAAATTTCCCGAAGAATGTTCGTGTCGGTCGAGATCGTTAGTGGGTGCAGAATTCTCAAGCCTTATGGCCTTATTAAGGTCACCTCAAGCTCCACTCTGAAGGATAGCCTTTTAAAGATTTTTAAGGGGATCGAAGCGTCATCTGCAACAAAGTAGGGACAAAAAAAAAACGCGTCGCCGCACCACTTTGGGGGCAAGCTCCACTACCAGAAACTGGAGACTTTTTTGGCCTGACGAAGCTGGCTCTGTCCTGCTTGTGTGCACAGGCTGATATTTAATATTACCAGTATAATTATTTTTTGTGTGTGTCAGAACAGGGGTTCACACTATTTTTAATGAATTTCTGTGACAAAATCTGACAGAGCTAGGGGTGAAACCCCCCCCCCCCCTCCTCCTCCTCCACCCGCGCCTGGTTGTGTTCCCTCTAGAATCCTGCTCTCACCCGGCAGCCCATTATAAACTTAAACATAACTTAAGAATACAATGACACGAAAAATTAAGTCGCGAAACAAATGTTGTAGGCCTAATTATTGTTTTTAATATTTAATTAATAACCCCCTAGTATAGTTTTTCAGGATTATAGCCTGCTAAATCCAACCGAGTCTGACGGTTACTTTCTACTTAATCCAACTGTGCCTTGTTTATTTGTCTGCTGGATCCAACTTGACAATTATATAGCACAGCTGAATACAACATAATTATAGACCTTTATCAATTATCATGCTGCCACCTTTTTGTGTATCATGTTGCCACCTTTTTGTATGTGCAAAAAAGGAACCAGACTATTTTTCCTTCCAGCCTCGCTTTGGTTACGTTGATTTGAATAGGAAAAAATCAAGATGGCCGCAAAATGATAATGGTCCATTGCAATCAGGAACTAGTCTCGGTCAGTTTTACCAAAAAAAGTCCAGTGCGGACAGGGCTTAACGTTTTTAGTGGCAGGGCCTCTGATATGGTGTCCTCAATGTTCACAGACTGATGACGACCAATTAGGTAGGACTTAAACCAATATTGATTAAATAAGTTGACATATACAGCTCTTTTAATTTGTCCAGCAGGATTTCGGAGGCATTTTGAAATGGGATGGTGTCTTTGTACATCACACTTTAGACATTCTATCTGATGTTACTGTAGGGATCATTACATCCCTCGGGTTAGTAAAATGTGACGACTTTTTAAAGGGAAAATACAACATTTGCAAACATCAAAAAATAAAACTACCGAATCATTTTGAAATACCTTGCTGGACTGTTAGTGAATGACAGTGTAAAGCATCCTGTAAAATCATGGCACCTGGTATACTGTCATTTTCAAGAAAAGTGGTATTTTTGTATCAATTTCCAACGCTGATCGGCCGATCAGCGTTGGAAACAACTGGCTTTTTTTTCAAATACTGGCCCCAATTGACCATCGCACTTGTTTGCAATCGATTACAAACCTATGAACGGGTACGAGCCAGCTAGACTGGATCCCTGACCTTACAATTCCCCAATGTATGTAAACTGCTCTGTTTCTTCTTATATGGAGTCAGGGAACCAGACTACAGGAAAATGATCGTTTTTCTTGGTTTTTATAGCATTTTCGAACCCAAAATCTCAAAAATTCAGTGTAACTATATTTGCTATATATTTCCAACCCCCCCAATTCCTTCCATTTCTGAAAATTACAGCAAAAGCAAATGATGTATATTCCCTTTAAGAGAAATGTATGGGAACTTTCAGGAGCTAGCTATTGAAACCTCAGTCGAGTGTTTCTGAAATTCGTGTTCCTAACTTCCTATCCTTGCGAACAACTGCACTCGGTAATTGTCATCGTCTCTGTTGCTTACAAGAAGCAAGAGAAATCTGCAAAGAGAAAAAAAATCTTATATATTACATTTGTTCACATTCGAAGCACAAACCAACTATCGGATTGAGAAAATAATGTCATAAAAAATGATATACTTCCCGAAGGCTAGGACAAAAATTGAAAACGAATAAATGAAAATACAACATGTGCATCTATAATAAATCTCTTTTGCTAAATAACCTCGAGAATTGGTGAAGACTTGCTCTGCAAGCAGGGTCTTCAGTCCTTCCGTCGGTCCTCCTCCCTGCTTCCGGTTCCTTGGGACTCAGAAGTGATCGTATCTTCGTCCAGAATGACATCTCATCTTCAAGCAGACCGTCATCTCTGCCAGAAATTAGAAAGAACGTCATGTACGAAAATGTGTGCATTATTATTTCACATTTATTTTTTTTCTCTAGATTTATCGTGGTTTTTTTTCAAATAAGGTACCATAAATCGCAGACACAACCATGCAGCAGAACAACTTGAAACATCCTGAGATATTTTTCGAAAGGAAAATGTCAATATTTTTACCTGGAAAATCAGTAATGGGATGCCCGGCAAGCAGGGCCATCAGTCATCTGGTGTTCCTCCTCCCTGCTTCCGGTTCATCCGTGTCATCAGCTCCTGACATGAGCACTCTGGCTTGCTTACTGGTTGGTCTTCCTAATCTAATTGCAAGTTGCTGAAAATAAAAGAAATCTTCCTAGCGGAGCTAGGTTATGTTACTACAAAATGTACAGTGGTTTCCTGATCAAATTTGTGACCGGTGCTGTGGTATAAAGAGAAGGAAAATGTATATTAATGGACCTGACCATTATAAAGTAACAATCACAAAAAGGGAAACTTAGTTTATGTCGACGCTACTTAAATCTCTAGGCCTAACTTGGTGCAAAGTATCTGCAGACAGTGAAGATAATCCAATTATAGTGGCCCTTACCTGACCACTGTAATGGATCAAACCGTTGAGATGATAAAGAAAGCTTACTTTATTCTACATAGGTAATTTGGTGAAGATAATCCAACTATATAGTGACCCTTACCTGACCACTGTAATGGATCAAACCGTTGAGATGAGAAAGAAAACTTACTTTATTCTACATAGGTAATTTGGTGAAGATAATTCATTTAGTGGCCCTTACCTGACCACTGTAATGGATTTAACCGTTGAGATGAGAAAGAAAACTTACTTTATTCTACATAGGTAAATTGGTGAAGATAATCCATTTAGTGGCCCTTACCTGACCACTGTAATGGATCAAACCGTTAAGATGAGAAAGAAAGCTAGCTTACTTTATTCTAAATAGGTAATTTGGTGAAGATACTCCAATTAGTGGCCCTTACCTGACCACTGTAATGGATTAAACCGTTGAGATGAGAAAGAAAGCCTAGTTTAATCTAAAATAGCAAATTTGACCTACTGGTCGCGGAGATGATTCCAGTTTGCACCAAGCACCGCGCCTCGGTTCAAAGGGAAACGACATTCACATCACCGATCAGCTGTGATCGGACTTATCAGAATTGACGAGTATACCATCAATCAAACCACCACTGGCGTTGTGGTTGTTAAAAAATCAATTGATGCAAATATTGTTTTATCCTGTAAATTCAGGCTATACACTTTATATAGCGATTACAAAGTGTATCCGACGTGACAGGTGTCATTACACCTGATTTACAAAAGAAATTGACACAATGGGCCTAACACAAAAGGCAATTATCGATCTTTGCGAATCGAATATTATAGAAGAAAAAATCACAAACAATAATCTTTGTCCATAAGACTCGTTTCGACAAGGATCAGAGACTATTTCATGTCGCAAAATAATCGTGGAATCGTTGAAACCACGCATGTTTCTGATTACATTTCACAACCGTTATGTTTCAAGGAATCAGTAAGATCTGCACATGACCCTAAAAAAATCTCCAAGTTTTAGTTAAGATGGATGGGCGTGGCGTAGCAGTTGAGAAAATGTTTTGCCACACAGACAAATAAAGTAGATTTGTAAACATGGCCCTAGAGTATTTAACTCCATGAACCACAGTGAAGTTACAACTGAGGAAGACACGGAGTATGCAAGAAAACTTAAATCCAACATTAGAGCTTCAAAATCGCTATGATGGATACTTAACACATGGCCCTATAGTACTTTTCACACGATTCACACTCAAGATGGGATGAATGCACAAGCATTTTTCAAGAAAATACACGTCTGGCTTTTGGAGAAAATTCCCACAGAAGGGAGTAATGGAAGATCTCTACACTCCACCACATGGCCCTCAAATAATTTTGCATAATAAATTGGAGAGAATTTTTACAAAAACAGAGTTAGACATGTTCACATGGCCCTGAAATCATGTAAGTGATTTGTCACATGAGTACAGAAGATAACACAAGAAACTGGGGTTTAGCAGTAATCTCTACAAAATGGCGATGAAAGTTTCGTTCACATGGCCCTGGGTTTTTTCACAATGAGTATCAATGTAGAATGACGAGAAAATGCACGATAGACGCGAAGTTTTATTCGTACACAATATATAACACAAATTGTTACAACAAACAAGACCCTACTACAAACATAACCCTACTATCTCACAATCACGGTATTTAAGTGTCAAGAAGGAGAAATTAAGTGTGCAAGATTAATGACAAAATTTAACGATTGACACTAACTTTGTTAGCGCTCGAACTCAACACGAACTCTCAAATCGTGAACGATCGATACATTTGTTGTTTCAACCCATATACTCGCAGGTCCATCGTCTTATACTTTACACAAATCGGACAAATGATTTACATATGCTTGACAACATTTGATGATTGGCACTAACTTTGTTCGCACTCGAACTCAACACGAACTCTCAAATCGTGAACGAACGATACATTTGTTGTTTTAATCCATACGCGCAGGTCCATCGTCTTATTTTCTTCTATATACACAAATCGACAAAAATTGATGATTGACAACGTTTAATGATTGACACTAACTTTGTTCGCACTCGAACTAAACGCGAACTCTCACATCGTGAACGAACGATACATTTGTTATTTTAACCCATATACTCGTAGGTCCATCGTCTTATTTTCTTCCTACACACAAATGATTTACACATGCTTGACAAAATGTAAGATTGACACTAACTTCGTTAGCGCTCGAACTCAACACGAACTCTCAAATCGTGAACGAACGATACATTTGTTATTTTAACCCATATACTCGTAGGTTTATCGTCTTATTTTCTTCCTACACACAAATGATTTACACATGCTTGACAAAATTTAATGATTGACACTAACTTTGTTAGCGCTCGAACTCAACACGAACTCTCAAATCGTTAACGAACGATTCATTTGTTGTTTTAATCAGTACCCGCAGGTCCATTGTCTTCTTTTCTTCTATACACACAAATAATTTACAAATGCTTGACAAAATTTAATGATTGACCGTAACTTTGTTCGCACTCGAACTCAACACGAACTCGTAATCGTTAGCGAACGATACATTTGCTGTTTAATATAGGCCTACCCACGGGTCGATATCCACGCATCGTCAGTCGAACAAAACGATTGGCAATCAGCTTTTCATTTCGATTTCACCGTTCCGCTCTTAGAATTTCACCTTATTGATCTATTTTACCCTTGAGAATTTTTTGCCTTTTAATCTATACATGTTTAGTTTTTTTAAGTCACCTTCTATCGAACCGAGAGCACGCCAGTGCTCATTCCGAATACATTATTTTCGGAATCGTACATTATACAGACACCCACAAACGTTGGCATTGAGAAACAAATTATCTCGATTTACTTTGCACATCCAAACAGCGGGATTTTCATTCCTTTCCCATCTGGTGCTTGGTAAGATTGTGTATTGATTTAGAATCGTGCGGAGAGGTTCCTTGGAAAAATATAAGTATCATCTTTAACTTTCTTTGTCTTCTTTACAATAATAATCTCTTGCTGGTTTGACAACTTTATACATTAATAATTCTATATTGAATTAATTTGTTGGCGATCCAGCACCCATCAAGGGTGTCGTAGTTCTCAATAGTAGTATCCATTAAGAGTATTGTCTTTCTCAATAGGGTGAGGTTTTTTTCTCGATATATCATTCATCAAGGATGTCGTGCTAATCAATAGTAGTACCCATCAAGGGTGTCGTGTTAATCAATACAGTAGTAACCCATCAAGGGTGTCGTCCTTCTTAAATGTAGCACCCATCAAGGGTGTCGTCCTTCTCAATAGTAGCACCCATCAAGGGTGTCGTTCTTCTCAATTAATGTAGCACCCATCAAGGGTGTCGTCCTTCTCAATTAATGTAGCACCCATCAAGGGTGTCGTCCTTTTCAATAGTAGCATTACTGGCGTCGTATTTCTCAATAGAAGCACCCATCAAGGGTGAGGTTATATAGCACCCATCAAGGGCGTCGTGTTTATCAATAGTAGCACCCATCAAGGGTGTCGTTCTTCTCAATAGTAGCACCCATCAAGGGTGTCGTTATTCTCAATAGTAGCACCCATCAAGGGTGTCATCCTTCTCAAATGTATATGTAGCACCCATCAAGGGTGTCGTTCTTCTCAAAAGTAGCACCCATCAAGGGTCTCGTCCTTCTCAGGTGTATATGTAGCACCCATCAAGGGTGTCGACTTTCTCAATCATATACTTACTTTAACCTCTAGAGGGTGGTATTCCAATGGACATTATCAACACAACAGGCTACAGGATTATTTTGCCAAAGGTTTTAAGGAATGCATAATGAACATCTTTACACCATTAATTCTTCAAGGTGATTCCTCTGTCCTTATACACAAATAATCAGCAAACTTAATATGGTTGTGATGCGGCAAAGCTCAAGGCAATGCCATTGACATTGATTTCTGTTGATATGATAACATCTTCGAGGGTCCGTCTTCATCGCCGATTCTTCAGTTTGTATTATTCAAATATAGTCCTTGACGTTAAAACAACTTTTTTCATTCTCCAACTGACGTCGGCCGATGCACAAGTTATTATCAGGATAACGTTGGTATAAATTAATAACTTCAGTTCCCTTCCCAATTCCCAAAGTTCCTTATTGTCTTGCAAGCTGCTATATTTGCTCGCTTTTTGCAGTACGCTAAAGCTCCCTAAAGTTTATTTATTGTTATAATTATTTTATTACCACCTGCTCTTTATACAATTTCATGTTTATATTTTATTTGACTACAACTTTGCCTTAATCTTTCTTTAAAAATGAAAACCCCACCGAGTTTATGAGCTTAAGAAAAACTTCTGATGTACATTTTCATATTATTTTCCAGTTGATGTGTTATAGAGAAGCTGTTTTATGATTTTTTGTTTTTAGTACAGATATTTATTGTTTACAATAAAGATGTTTTAAAAAGTTTTGAAGCAGCTATGAGTTGATAAAATAAATTGGCTTTTTTATCACGGAAGGTATCACGAGTCAACAGACATCCATCATCAGTTTTTAATGAAAAAAAGTAACTTATTTGGTATCGGGAAATATAAATATCAAGATATCGTTAACCAGTGAATAATCATCTCTGGATGACGATATCCCACAAGTTGTCATCAACCCGAGAAATACTTTACTTTCTCGAGAAGATAACATCTCACCCAAAAGATATAGTCAACCCGAGAAACATTATTTTTCCTCGAGAAGACGACATCTCACCTAAAAGATATCATTAATCCGTGATGAAATATTATCTCGGAAAGACGATATCTAACCTACACGACACCATCCACCCGAGATATACTTTCTTCTCGAGAAGATGATATCTGACCAACACGATATCTTCAACCCGAGAAATGTTTTCTTTCTTGGGGAGAGGATATGTCACCTATACACAAGACATCATCGACCAGAGATTTTTTTTCTCGAGAAGACAACATCTCGCCCTACAAAACAAGATATCACCAACCCGTGATGACACATTATCTCGGGAAGACGATGTCTCATTTGCAAGATATCATCAACCCGGGAAATGTTTTTTTCTCGGGAAGACGGCATCTCACCTACAAAATATCACCAACCCGTGAACACTTTCTCGGGAAGACGATATCTTACCTACAACATCGCGAAAACTACCCCAAAGATGTCCTCCTATTTTATAAAATGACGGATGCTCATCAACCCATGTAACCTTAGAGCTCAGTAACGTGTGTCTACTTATTTCAAAAACCAAAATTGATATTAAAAATAAATTTTCTGATATTGATAACATTGTATTATTCCATTAGAATGCACTACCGGTATACTTCGATACAGATTTTTAATTGACTACCGTTAATAATTTTTAAGAATCAAGCTACGATTTGCATGATGATTTTTACTGTGCCTCGAAAACGATTTTTTTTGTAACTTTGTGATTGATTTGTTAAAACATTTTTATATTTATGATTTAATTTTTATACCATGGCTGTGCTACTCCCTTACGCTGCTGCTGGTGTGCTCGGCTGCCTACGCGCGCCATGTGCCTATACCCCACCAACCCCGCCTTAATCCTACGCCTTAACAGGAATCATAATCGTTCATTTAATACAATCATAACTTTGTCATATTTTCCTTCTTGCAAACGTCGAACTTCGCTGGTATCGATCTCAACAGCTGGTCCTCTCCAATTCTTGTGAGCTTCAAATAATTCCATCGGCTATCTTTTAAATTTTAAATTTATACAATCATAATCAAAAGAATTCAGCTCTCAATATTTTTCTTCTACTGTCCTACAAACTTGTAGCAGAATTGTACATGTATAACCCTAAAGCTAATGGTGTAAAGTTCATTATTTTGAGCAATTTATACAAATTTGAGATCCGTGGATACATTGTCCATAATATTGATTTTGGTCCATTGGAATGCCGCCCTATAATACTCTAAATAGTGTGCTTGCAATAAATAATTTCAGGTTTATGATAAAATCCGTTGGCTCCGTTGTTAACTCCTCGAATTCATGGTGTTCAGGTTTTTCATGACATTTTTAAATAATTAAATATAAGCTGGAAACTAAATTTTGTTCTGGTACGATTTAAACAAGTAATTTTAATACAATTATAACAAAAAGGCAAACCAAATTCCAAGGAACCCTCCATTCTTAACAAAAATCCAAACAGGTTTACTCCAACTTTTGAGTAAATCCCTAAAGCCCCTTGCTGGGATGTCTTTGAAAGTGTAGCAAAGACGGTGCACCTGGCCGCATACCGCGCGCGCGGCCTTTCAACTTTTTGACCAATAAGAATCATCGGGAGTCTATGAACACGCCCACACTGCGCTGGCCACGAGCCGCTCACGTGCACCACTCGCTCTCGATATCGCTTTTGAAACAATGCATGAAAAGCGCAATGCACCAAAAGGCATGCACAAGTGGGCTATATGTTTTTGACAAAAAAAATGGCAGGTATTCACATGCAAATTACTCAAACGGGCTTTCGCCTACAGGAATGGCATTTCAACGTACCGATATTCAGCAATACAAAAGACAAACTCAATGCATAGGATACTCAAAATGGTTGCCATTTTGTTGACAACAACCACACATGTATCATGCTTATTCTAATATTAACAAAATGAGATACTTAAAGAGAAGAATTACAGAATTTTAGCGCAAAATATTCAACAATGCAACTACAACCCCATGTACAAAATGCAATACATTAGTTGTAAATAACATTAACAGTGTTCTCATTAAATGCGATTTGAGGACTAAAGTCAGAGAGATACATTTTTCTGGCCCCACTTTACTTTCAAGTAGGTTGAAAATGCAGGAAGATTATCCGGCGCCATATTGCTCAAAATGCAAAGTATCGCGACGCTTCTTCCGCTTTTAGTTCTGTGTGACCGGAGGAGAAGTTAAATTTTCACTCACCTCGATAATTCCTTATTTAAAGTTGGACTTACCCCGACGAACTCCAAAAGCTTGACTTCAGTATTTTCCAAAAATGTCATTCAGATCATTCGACAAAATTATGAGTTCACATAAATTCCATGTGTCCATTCAGTTTAGTTCAGCACAAAATGAGCATTCAAAGGAATGCAGTTGCGAAGTCCAGTTCAGTCTGTGAAACAAAAGTTGTTACAAGTCCTGTAGGCCTACAGCAAAGCAAGTCAGTTTTTTCAGTATGGGTGACGACGACGCAACATGTCCGAGTGCGTCGAAATGTTGCAGTGACGGGGCCGGTTTTCTGGTCGAATTGCAAGACTCCAAGTGTCCAAATTTGATGTTTTTTCGCGCCCATGACGACTCCAGGGTATGATGTACAAGTTTCTGCGTTGGGGACCTGAAGCTGGACGGCCGACTCGGAGGTAAAATTCTCAAGTTTTGCCTGTGAAATTTGAGGCAATTTTTTGGGCGACTGACCAAAAATAGCGGGAAGACATTGCAAGCTGCCTTCCAGTACAGTGTCCGTTGACCCCGTTCTCGGTAAATTTCCACGGCGTAATGATATGGAGGTGAAAAGTGCCATATTTTTATATCGCTGTTGCCCATCCATACCCTGTCGTTTCGCTGCCTTGGGTCAAGGAACTCAGTGTATATTTCTCCGCATACTAATTTTCTCCACTTAGGTCTATTAAACATAATGCCAAAAATATAATCGTTAATGGAAATTGTCAGTTCAAGAAAAAGAAACAAATATGAAGCAATAGTCTTCATTTCCAGATGGAGCAGCATCAGTTTCTGGAAAAATATGCCCTATTTTTTTTTAAAGACGGGAGGTCATTCCAAGAAGTATCTGTGACGTAGCACGCGTGGCTCGCGTGGCCTGTCTCTCATTGGTCAGAAGTATATAGGCGACATCTTCTCGTCAATCCTGGCAATTTGATTGGACGAAGGAGTAGGGAGAAAAAAAATAAACAGACGACAAAATGTTTTGCATTGTATTAGCAGCGTACAGGGTGACCGTTTTAGCCGATTTTCGGCTTGACAATCTGTTTGGAAAAAAGAACGAATCTAGCAGAACATTTAGCAGAAGGAATGTTTAGCAGATTTCTAGCAGAATTCTGTAAAATCGGTGATCCTAGCCAGAAGAATATGGCAAACTTTGTTGTGAACATGCTTTAATCGCTTCGAACAAGGCCTTGCATATATACGCGGGGGATATAGCAGTCCCGAGTCCGAACGTTAAGATTCCCTGATATGTACGACTACACAGCTAGGCTAGACACGCGCCACTTTAAAAAATATATATATATGTTTACCTACTTATTTTTAAAGGAAATTTTATAAATGTTTTTTTTTTTTTTTCTTAGAGAAATTTGTATAACATCTGTATATGAGTGTTAGTGTTTGTAGTGCGTTTCGTGTAATTCTGCGTGATTAACAGATTTTTTGTTAGATCCAGCAGTGAATTTTTGCAATGAATGACCTTCATTGAGATGATATATGAAGAAAAAAGTGACGTCAGGTTGCAACATTCTTTTCCCAAACATTTCCTTCAAAATTAGTAAATTTTATCAATTTGAGTCATGATTCTGTCCGGAAATTATGAGTTTCTTAATGTCCTCCAAAACAAAATTAAAGAAAACTACTCCAATTTATAAAGACCCCAAATGAATCACACGTATAAAATTCCATGTTTTTTTGGTTTTTGGGAAAGTTTCTTGTTTTACTTCATTTTATTTTCGGATTTCCACATTACTGCAGTACAAAATTGGAAATGTATATGCATATCATTGGTTCCGAAACTGGTGGTCGAATTTTATATTGATATAGAAATAGATGAAATTAAGAGGAAAAATACAAACTTTCAATAGAAAAATAAAGTCTTCAATATCCGGAAAATAGGTTTTATACATTTTCTATAACAAAATATAATATTATAATACCCGAGGCACTAGCTTAACTGTGAAGACAACTTTTAACTCCAACAATCCACAAATATTTCGATATATTACAATAAGCATAATTATGACGATGTAAAAACCTGAGTTTATGGTTTTGACCCTGACACATTTTCTATAAAAAAAATATAACAGCCTACCGGCAATATACAGGGCGCAAAAAAAGAAGCGAAACCCGAACCCCAAAAAATTACATTTCATATTTTAAAAAAATATGTAGCGCCAAAGATAATAAAGACTGGAAAGCCAATTTCATGAGCTACTTTTAGATACAAATTACTGAAATTGCTCAATTCGTTCAAAGAATATCACCATTTCAACACAATGACCTAAATCTTTCGTCCAAAGATGCGATTTCATGAATCGACCTTACAATTGTTTTTAAACATCACCAGCGATAAAACCCCATTTAAAAGTTAAAAGTTTAACAAAGTCCTTATAAAGGCCCGTCTTTAAAAAAAAGGGAATTTTATAAATCATATTGTTACCTAACCAGGGTTGTTGATATGGTGTACTGCACTTGTTGACAGTTGTTGAAACAAGTATTCTGTGTCATTTTCTTTATTGTTCCAAACAGTCGGAATACACAATAAACTGCTTGGTTTTTTAGACGAAACAGGTTTTGGGTCAGTGCGTTTAAATGGTGATTTTTTTTTAACGAATTGAGCAATTTCAGTATTTTTTTTATCTAACAGTAGCTTATGAAATTGGCTTTCCAGACATTATCATATTTGGTGCTACATATTGTTTAAATATGGAATATATATTTTTTTGGGGGGTGCCGCTTTTTTTTTCACTCACTCTGTATTATAATTCACCAGATTAACAGTGAACACAAGTTTTAATCCAACAATCTACAAATATTTTGATATATTACCATTAACAATGTAAAATCCTGAGTTTAATGGTACTGGCCCTTATTTTACCAAGTTTCCTGCAAAATTATGTCTGTGAATCACATGATAATGCATGCACATGTATTTCAAAATGAACAGGTGACCCACTGATCGCATGTCGCTCTTTTCCAGCGGTCAATCCATGCTTTGTGTTCTTAAAAAAATTTACGCATGTTTAAACGACCTCAAATGACCCCTGGATGACTGACCTCCAACTTCGGAAGTATTGTGATGAACCCTACCCAAGGATCACTCCATCCAAGTGACATTAAAATCCATCAAATTCTGTCGACAAAGAAACATTTGAAGCATATTTGAACAATGATTTCTAATGACCCATACATGACCTTTGACCTGAGTACTCCGATGAAGAATTGTGTCGTCCCACCCAAGGGTCACTGCATGTAAGTTTTCATCAAAACCCATGAAAGCATGTACAATGTTATAAACTTTCTCCCAAAACTGCAAATTTTTCATCATTATTAACCTCAGTTGACCTTTGACCATCTTTGCTACTCAATGACCCTTGTGGTCAAGTTTATGGAATTCGGGTGAATATTTACGAAATCAGAATAATTCCAAAAACTTTAACAAACTTACGGTCAAACGGTCATCAGTGGCAGCACCAGACTCTAACATTTGGCGGGAATTGGGAGGCAAGGAAGTATTTTTGGGGGCAGTCAAAATAAAGTCTTAAGCCTGTGTACACGCGCGTGCCCATTGTCAATGGTCCGGGAAAAAAGCCACTAGAGCAACTTAGAGGTGTAGTCATTTGTATGAATGAGAAATGTATCAAACCGCAGAATGGTGTATAACGAATGTACAAAGAAGGGCTGCACACTATCTATGGCTGTTAATTGCATGCATGTGTGGTGTGTTTTGTCTACCAAAGTACCAATGTTTATAATGCTTTCACTGGCCCAAAATGTGTCCACATGTTATGAATCTTAACAGCGAAGAAAATAAACATAATCAATTTATTTGTTGATAAAGTGTTGGGAAAAAAACGGGGGGGGGGGGGGGGCAAGGAAAAAACTTGGTGGGGCAAATGCCAATGCCCCACCCCCCAATATATACTTTGTTTAGGCGACACAAAATGAAATGGTTAAACTTTATGATACTCCATAATCACTGAAGTCTGTCTCCGTAAGGAGTGGCTTTGTCTCATCAATCTCGTCGCTGACTGGCACACGTCTCGCTGCAGCTGTGTCTGAATGCGGTTTCAGACATTTCCATGACAGCGTGATCATAATCTACAAGAAAGAGAAAAAGACACACAGAACATGTAATCGTCTGCAATCTCATCACAGTATACAGTCAAATCTCTTTAGTACAAACTCTGTTAATACAAAATTCTGGTTATAACAAACAACAAGCCTTAGTCCCGACTGTGCATTTATGTGCACAGTGAATGGGACTGATGTTCCTCTTAATACAAAATTCTGATATAACAAACAATTTGGCTAGGTCCGAGCGAGGTTGTATTAACAAGACTCGACTGTACATGTATCTAAGAATACGTGTTCACATACATGCACACTTTTGTACAATGAATTGGCCTACCTGTACATTACATGTACATACATACACATTCACAAATGACTTGTGACTCCGATTCACACTTGAGACAAATAACCTATGACTCGTACGTGAACCAAACAACTCAAGACTCAAAATCAGACTCGACTCAAGTGACTAAACGACAACAATGACATCTCGGGACGAGTGTCTTTGCGCCACTCTTCCCCTAAAACCGTGTCGCTTTTGTATCAGTCTTACCAGGAGCAAGAAGTAAAATGCCACCATGACAGCTAACGCTTCGAAAGGCCAGTGCTCCAAGGTGCCTGCCCACAAGGGACCCATGATGGTTCCGACCCCGGTCACTGCTTGACGAATCCCCTGCATGAAGCCTGCGATTAGATAGGAGAGTTTTTATCGTTAGTATTAGTGTATTTATCATCATCAATATCAACTTTGTTGTAATTGCCATTTTCATCATCGTGATCACCACTGAGCATAGCTGCTGTCATTCTCATGAGAACAATTATAGGCAACGGCCCCTCCTCCCCCCCCCCCCCCAACTGAAAAATATGCGTTCGGAGAAAGTCATGATACTATGATAATGGGGTTTAAAATAAAGGGCTTTTTCATATGCTTAATATTTATTTTGCCTCAAATCCTATTTTTCGCGATTGGCTCTTTTATTTTAACATCCCGTGGAACGCTTATAGCGACACCTAATGTCTGACATGACCATGAATTCGGTTTTGAACAGCGCCCCCTATTGACAGAAATTCTATAAGCTGTACACTTAAACTGAGACGAGACTTGTTTCAAACGCATGAGTGAATCAGCAATGTATGCCTTATAGGCCATCAGCCAGGGGGTTTGGTCGGTATCAAATGAGGGGAATAATGCTCATTGTGATTTTTGGCAAGGTATGCACCCCTGTAGTTGGACAATAATGTGATAGCACTGCAGCGGTGGCAGCTTTTTAGGTGTTTTCACTTCGTTTTTTTTAAATGGCGTCTAAAACATGCTTGCTACCACATATAATTAATCAGGTAACAAGCATGTTGGCAAAAGTGTGAAGTGAAAAACGAAGTAGTCAGCGGATAACTGTTTTGGATGGTTAAGAGAAGAAACTTGTCGAGGCCTCACCTTGCGTAGCAACAGGAGTCACCTTGGAGAACAAGGCGACCGTGGAGATGTACACATATGGCAAGGCAGCCATTAAGACAACCGATAAGCTTGCAAACCACCACAGGTTTTTGTCTCGTCCTGAAAATGACAGTATCGTGCAAACAGAATCTCAATATCTCAATCAGATTATGGGTGCATTCGAGTAGCTCACCCGGATTGCAGGCATGCAACTGGGAATTTAGAGAAAACGAGGAAATTCCAAACCACACAAGACTTTGTACAGTGTTTTTCAATTTGTAATGGCATTCATGGGAAGTAAAAAAAACGAGGAAATCAGCGGATCCGAGGAAAAGTTGCAGGCCTGGGATTGACTCGGGATAGCCCTGTGCCGTTCGATTAGCTCAAACGTCATTCTCAGGTCTCACCCGGGTCAGCCACCACAGACCCTGCTTCTGGAGCAGAGTCAGTGGTGGAAATACGTCACACGCATGCATTAATTACAATAATAATAATACCGAAGTTTCATATAGCGCACGTATTTATCAACAATCAGGTACTCAAGGCGCTGGAAATTATGTCTATTATTAGAGACAGGTAAATGAATAACATGGGAAATATGAGAACCATTATGTAGCACCTTTATAATGGTATACAAGGTGCTGCGGCGCATTAAGCAGCCACTGCCAGAAACACCGGGGCAAACCCCTTCTCTTAGCGATAAGTGTTACTGGGTTCTTTAACGTGCATTACACAACACACTGGACCTACGGCTTCACGTCCCATCCGAAGGACGAAGCAATAATGGTAAAGCGCCTTGCTCAGGATTGCAAGCACCATGTTCCCACGGTCAGGATTCGAACCCATGTACCACGGCACACAAGTCGAACACCGTAACCATTGGACCACAGCACCCCACAGCACCCCACAGCACCCCACCCCACATTTCTTGTTTGAGGCAAGAAATGGACACCGGAAAAGCTGAACTGGATCCAAAAAATCAACTTTATTTGAAGTCTAAACGTGATTGGCTTTTCCGTAACTTTGCAAAAAAAGGTCACAGTAGTGGCAACTTCGATTTACAGTCTTAAAGCTATAGTCCATCATTTGCAGCCATCCGAAAAGTAACTGGCGTAATTATTGTTGAAAAACAAACTTGGTTGAAAGATAGTAAGGGAACTAAACTCCCTGTGAAATTATTCTTTCTGGGAAGCTGTCATTTTGAAGTAATCAACGAAAGAAGGCATTTCCAACGATGATTCTTAAGAAGCACCGTAGGAAAATTTAAATTAGTAGTTGTTTTGTTATTCAGTGCAGCGCGCACAAGTATTGGAACGACGCACACGCGCGCGCGGTTGCTATAATTCGTCGGATCAGTGCGCGACGCCGCGTATAGCTGCAATTCAAAACATGATTCAGTAACTTTTGATTTGAAATTGAGATCTTAGAATGCTGCTTTTCTCGGAATGTACAGCTGAAGCTTAGCTGAAACTTCATCAGGTTAGTTGCTCAGTATCCTTCATTAGATTTTGAACTCTTTTGTTGCTTCAAACGAGCAAAATGCACAAATTACAAATGATGGACTGTAGCTTTAATGTCTAAAATAAGGCCGCATCTGAACTGCTTGACTATGGCTTGCAATGACACATACACCTATGGAAGCAGCCGTAGCCGCTTCCCACAGACAGGTTGTTTGCTAGCCCTTACCTGGAACGGCATTCGGGTAAAACACCATGAGCAATATAAATGGCAGCGATTCCACAATCGAGGAGGTGATCAACATGACACGATCCGAGATGATTTTGCTGACGAAATTAACCGAGAGGAAACTGATAATCAGCTGTAAAAGATCAAACAGAACAGTTCACGGTTTAATACTCAGTCCACAGAAATGAGAAATCTTAGAAATGCAAACCCTTGCCTTTTTGGACCGAAGTTGATAGCCTATTACTTATCATGGAAGTGACCAATATTAGTCTGGCTATCTATCTTAATGGTATTATCATAAACTAAATGGAAATATTTACATGCATAAAAATAGGCACTTCATCCTTAATCTACTTGAGAACTAGACCAATTAGACTCCAGGGAAGATGAAAACCTCAGAGACTAGGGCAACCAACGAAATTATCAAAGATGCTATGTCTGTTGCCTGTTCAAGTAAAGACCTTAAATTTTGTGATGTTTAGCCCATGCCACCGCACTTAACCCGATCATGTCAGATGACGTGCGTACACACAAACGTTTTGCGGTATTCGGGAATGGATGACGGATAAATGCGCAACAATTGAACAAGCAAGGCCGGAAATATCAGGATATGCTACCCGCAGATGACGGCCTGAATCCGTCTGGCATCAAATTCGTGAAAAATAATCCCGTGCCTGGGTCCTGTCAATGTCAAAATAATCCCGGCGCAAACTGGTTAATGCATGCTTAGGCCAAAAAAAAAAGTCTCCGGTTTCTGGTATGCGCGCGCGTCGCCGTAGCTATGCGCGTCGGCAAAATGAAAAAGTTTTTTTTTCAATGAAAGATGATGTCTCAAAATCGCCAAACTCACTGGTTTGACTGGAATCCTGCTGCTGCACAATTTTAACGTGTTTTTAGAATGAGTTATGGCCGAGAATAAGCTTTATGTGGCCTCTCTGGACTCACATATATTTGCACTAAGTTTAGTCGGGCACCATTTGCAGTCATCAGCCGACATTTGAAGCAAAAAAAGAAGGTAAAAAAAACCAAAAAGCGGCATCGCCGCACCACTTTTTGGGCAAGCTCCATACCAGAAACCGGAGACTTTTTTTTTGGCCTATACATAACTCTTTCACTTTGCACCACCACTCAAGTTGACTCAAAGGGCCCGGGTAATTTTTTTTTTTTTGTAATGAAATATGAAAAACTGTGCAGTTGTTGCCTATCCCAGTAAAGACCTCGTATTTTGCTAACCAAAAGCAAGTTTTCCACTTGAGAAGTAGCTACTCACCAGCGCGGCTGCCAATGTAAACATGATACTGTTTTCCACACCGCCAAATTGTAGTAACCGCCTCGTCATTACTGTCAAACCAGTCTTGATACACACACAAAAAAAGTACGACTTAGTCACTAGGTATTGAAGGTTTTACCTCATGTATTAATAAAAACCTACAAAGCTTTCACGGAGAATAACTTTTTTTTTAACCCTAACCTTCCCAAATCCTCCGAAATCCTCTTTGCAAAAATGGAGGTTTTGCAGGATTGAGGCTATAATATGGCATTTTGGAGGATGCACTGTGTTAAGGTCTTAGACCGGACCTTGTGTTGTTAACTTTTTAAAATAAATTTAGGCCTGCATTATACATTTCTTGGAATCCTGCGCACTGCATGCTCCAGGATATGTCACTGGCTCTGCCTCAACATATTCACAGTGATTGCTGGAGGATTTTGCAGGATTGAGGCAGTGGTCACCCCTCCAAGGACCACATTCGAGAAATAACGGATGATTTTGCAGGATTGAGGCTGTTATGCAAATTTTACATGGAGGCAGTTGGAGGATTTTGCAGGATTGAGGTTGCATCCTTGCAAAAAGCTTAAGGAGTTAGGGTTAGACAATATCCTCAATCCCATAATTTGCCCCCAAAAAGTACAAATCAGGTAAAAAAAAAAATTGGTGACCTTTCCAAAAAACATTTAAGAAATTGATTTTAGTCAAAGACGATTCCAGGCTGTCACATCATGCAAGGACTCGTTGACTCGCTTTACCTCTAAGCAATACTGGTTGAAGAAGAAGACAAACGAAGCAGTCAGAACCACCACAACTTCTTCTCTCAATAATGCTGCAAACAGAAGAAGCAGCAAAATCAGTGACGTTATAGGACCTGTCTCAAGGCACATCCGGGACGGGTTCCAGACAAGTTGTCGGTAGAATCGTGCACTTTAAATATCTGGAAGAAGCTCTGCAATTCGGGCGATTCACAATGCAGTGCGCCACCAAGAGTTTGCCATGGAGAGTCCATTTTTCATGTTTACAGACAACTTGAACTAATTTGCTATAGATTGGGGCATAGCGTTCTGCCGCCTCACAAAAAAACACCACATTGATAAAAAGAAAACAATAGGGCAAACAGATACACCAATCATACGCTTACGAAACTACTGACTGGAAAAACGAACTATTTCAAATGTCCCGCACTGTGAATTTGTCGACCATCTCCCACAAAGGCAAACTCTTGGTGGCGCACTGCATTGTGAATCGCCCCGAATGGTGCTGGCCTTTTTCCGGGGACATTTTGACTCACCAATACTGGTAGCTTCATTGCGGGAAGCTGAGGTGAAGTTGTTCAGAATCCTTTTCAGTGCATGGTGATTACTAGACCCGTGAACGTGGCTTGTAAACTACGCCACGCTGTTGTGTATTTTCGAACCTGGCGAAATTGTCCCTCTGACTCCCTCTGTTACACACACTGGACGTCATTTTGCCCATGTAATAAGTACTCACATATGAAGCTGTCTTGAAATCTGTTTGTACGTCAAAACTTGCATTTGACAAAATTTGAGGAAAATTCTGGCACCGGTTCATGAAGTCCTGCTAGCTGCCATTTTCTCCCAACTGACGCATGCGCATACTGTTTTATTGTACCGTCCTGTTTTGTATGATTCGACGGCTGTTTACTGTCGCAGCTAAAAGAGACATATTGTTTTAGACAAGTTTCAAGTCCTTTCCTCTCTCACCGCACCGCACGCGGGCGCACACGTACACGAGATGAGCCGAGCAGCCAATCGTCTGCGGGGTTTTTTTTTCGGGGTTGCGACATGAAACAGCCGTCAATCTGTCCAAGCGACAGGAAGCAGACGGGTAGCTCAGAGGGCTCCGATAATTTTGCACGCAAATGACCCGGGTACTCGTCCGGGGTCATTTGTCAGGGTCACTTGTCGGGTTAAAATCTAATTTCTACACGTTCGTATGGGTCTTTATTGATGGCAAATTTCGTCGAAATTACACAGCCTGAACAAACGGACGGGCAAATTTAGATTTTTAGGTGAGTACTCAACATCCATACAGAATTATGTATGGCGGACCGATTTCGCTAGGTTCAAAAATACACAACAACGTGGCGTTGTATACAACGCCAAGTTCACGGGTCTAGGTGATTACCACTTGATCTTTACAAAAGACAGCTGTAGATGCGACCATTATAGACCTTGTGCATAGCTGCCCTCTTAGAGGGCAATGCCTTTGTTTTGCTAGGATATGCATGAGTGAACCTTTGGTCCATTCAACTGTTACTGAATTATAATTACAAAAGATGCCCTCTAAGATGGCCGCTACACATAAGGTCTATAAACCAATCCAAGTTTCTCATTCTATTTGATTACCTGGGCAACTTTCCACCATAGGGTTGCAGACCAGTAAATTGGTCCGAAATTGCTTGCGCCGGCCAAATCACGATTTGCATGCCCTCAAAATCTTCAGTATTTGAGCATTTTGTGGGCCATGAACTTGAGTGTTGGTAAAAAAATATGGGTGGAAGCCGTGCACAGGACTGTGAGCTTTGTAGTCCCGTTCAATTTGGATGAAATTAAAGCGCTCTATTTTGCAATGGAGTGTATGCATCGTTTTTCAACATGGCGATGGGCTTCAGGACTATTTTCAGGGGTGCTCATCTTAGGATGGGATTTTCTCCTAAAAGTCATGAGTTAACCCCCAGAAAATTGAAAAGAAAATGAAAGATGATGAAATAAGCTTTAATTTGATGTGTGTCTTGAACACCTTGGAGAGTTGTGAGTATTTTTCCCGAATTTCTGAAGTGTGAGCATTTACCATTGGGTCTATGGAAGTTTATTTACTGGTCTGCAACCATAGACCTTATTACGAGGAAGCCATTTCTGACCTTGTTCCCCGAGTGTATTTATAAATTGTAAACCATTGAATGGGATGGTGCCAGACTATTAAATGCGTTCCCAGCCTCACTTTCAATTTGTTTTGTTTTAAATGAGGCTTAAAACATTAGGGTATGTTTAAGCACAAATTTAACATTATTCACCAGAGCAGACTCAGGTATAAATTTGTAATTAACTTTAGTTAATTACTTCCATTTCTATTCGCAAGTTCCAAAAAAGAAGATTTTAACCTCGCTTTCAATTTAATATGGCCGACTCGTGAATGAAGCCTATTGGTTGACTACATGCGAAGTGGGCATGGCATAATGCGTAACGGATAAGTTTATTAAGGATGCAGGGTTCTCCTCAGGATTTTTCAAACCTGTGGGGGAAGTTTTGTTGTGATTCACCAACCTGCGAAGCCACGGCGTGGGGTTCGGGGCCCGCTTAAGGGCCCCGAAAAATTTTGAACTTTAGAGGCTCTCTGGTGCATTTTAGAGCAAATCTGGGGAGTCTTTAAGGAAGATTTCCTTAAAATTTAGAGGAGATCTTGTGATATTTTTTGTAATTAGAGAAAAAAAATATCAACGTTTTTAACTTAAAAAAAAAAATCAACATTTCAAAACCTGTGTTAAACCTTCTTGATCTAGAAAGTATGGATTATATTTACAAGCAAGTTTCAAATTAAGAAATTAAGGTGAAGAAAAAAATCACTTTTGCTTCCGACTACATGGCTTTCAAAATAGCGTCGGTAGGTCGGAAAAATTATTTCGCCATTTTTTTGGGCTGCTGATTGAATCATGGAGGAATAAAAACACATGATTGAATGGAGCATATTGAACAAGGAATCATGTAGTTTTGTGCCTGGATTATTTTCCTTTGCACCACGAAAATTATCAAGACTGACCATCAGAAGTGATTAAAACTTGCCTCACCTAATTAAAAATATATTTGAGGAGGTTGATTCCACTATGCTTAACGTACATCGATCACGGCCCCTGGCACTGCCAACATTCAGTCTGGCCGGCCGTACATCGCGCAGTATCAGTGTGCATTACTGCACTGTGTACGGCCCTACTGCTTCTAAGAAGCACGCTACGATGTTTCGCCACAAGTTCGAGCTTTGCAATCTCGTCATTTTAATGGAAAATACATACACAGAAAATAAAGATCACGTTCTGTGAATTAATTTGCAGAAATTCTCTTTCTCCATCGATGTTTGTTTGGTGTTTTTACGATCCAACTTCGGCCGACATCATCATCATGTATGCACGCACGAGGCAGTAGTCACTGGTTCCGGTCCTTCATCATAGCATTGATACTGTTAGCACGCGAAGGGAACCAGTGTACCGTGCTGTATGCGCTAATATGTAGCTGGCGGTTGACGCGAAAGACCCGTCATCGTGTGCATTTTGATCACGCATGCATCAGAAATGCGGGATTTTTGTCAAGATTTTGCATGTCAAGATGAAATAATGGTGTATGAAACGATTATGTTGTGCATTTTAATGGCTTGTATAATAATTATATTGTGCGTATCGGGGGCTGAAAAATGTGATCGGCATTTTTGTCGGCGTATCGGGCCGCAATTCCAGCGTATCGGGCCAATACGCACGTTTGTACGTGGGGAGAACCCTGGGATGTATAGTCACAACTTACTGTGCCCAATGTCCAAATACCATTCTAAAATGGGGATTGTCTTCAAACCCACAATAAACTATACACACTCACCATCAAGGCGCTTCAACTGTTTTGGCTCTTCACAACCACAGATGCTCACTGCCTCGGTGCTTTTGGGTGCGTCCCCAGCTCTGCCTCTGTCCTTCGGTGAAGGAGATCTGTCGTGTCCATTTAGTCTGGTGCCTGCGTCGTCTTCGACGGGGTCTGGTTTCCCGTCTCCGTTCCGGGCCTCCATTTCTTCTCGCAGGCGGGGGACGTCGTAGTAGCAGAAAAGCGTGACGATCTCCAGGATTGTGAAGAGGATGAACATAATGAGCTGGAAGATGTAGAAAATGTGGAAATGTGTTGTATATAAGGTTTACCAAGAATGAAGAAAGTCACGTTTATAACTGTGTCTTCGAAATGAAGCTTCCAATCAATGCATTTACAGAGAACTATTTTGTGTCTGTGGTATTGTTTGACTTTTATTAAAACAAAACCGCATTACGAAAACACAATTGTGCTGTCATTTTCAGGAAAATTGGAATTTTTGTATCAATTTCCTAATGTACAATTTCAACATGTCGAGTAAGAGTACTTTGTTGCCCGAGTATGAGTACCGTCATTTTGAGTACGAGTACTCTAAATAAAGTACTCGAGTAGTACTCGAGTACGAGTACCAAGTACGAGTACTACAACACTGTCCCCCAACACAGAACATTTTCTCACTACGCCACTGACTGCTGTGGTTTCTATGCATACTGTTAACCCCATGCGCACGGGAAGTGGTCATGGCCACGGCCGCTAATCCTCATTGGAATGCAGTTGCCAGCTGTGGTATACCATGGCACATGGCTAGTGGGTAGTTCCACAGCTGCTGCTTTTGTGCAGTCCCGCTACCACACAAAGGCTGTGCAGTCATGCGGGCCACTTGCTCTATGTGTGGAGGAATGTCCCCATTACACCCCGTCCTTAAGGGGTTAAAAAAACTTACACCAGGCCCTGAGAATTTGTTGACGTGCAACGGCCCGATGTAGAAGTCACAACTGTTGAGTGGTATATTGACGGCTGGTCCAAACAGGATACCAATTTGCCGAAACAGTCCGGTACCGGACATGACTGCGGCGCGCTCCTTCTCTGTGGTTGACCGCGAAATGTCAGCATAGATTGCTCCGAATGCTCCAGCACCAACACCTGCAATTAAAGTCGGACCGTGCAGAATGGTCCAAATATTCAAAAAATCAATCATCGACCATATATTATACAAATATTGAATGCTTCGAGTGGTGTAGTAAAACTAGCCTCCCGAGGTGATCCATGGACCATTCTATTTTCCCGAGGCGAAGCCGAGGGAAAATAGAATGGCCCATGGATCACCAAGGGAGGCTAGTTTTACTTCACCACGAGATAAAGCATTCAATATTTGTTTTATAACACTTCACCCACAGATTCTGCTTGATTTTAATATTTTAAATTATTTAAATCTGAACACAATTGAAATAAACTTCAATTTCAATACAAAATTGGTGGAAAATGTATTTCTCTCTTAAAAACTACCCCTTCACGAAATGTTTGAACCCAAGTCTGCAGCGCGCTCTCTTCGGAATAATACGCGCTACGCACAACGCATTTGCACACAAATACCGCGCCGTGGAAATAGTACTTTGGTTGCTAATGGTATAGTACTTTGGTTGCTATGTGCATAGTACTTTTGGCCGTGCACAGAAAGATAGCAAAATTAGAAAGTAACATGTGACTCGCTCTCGGCCAATCAAGACACAGAATCTGTGGGGGAGGTGTTATAAACATGTATATCCGACTAGCATTGTTTCAATTCAATTATTTGAAAAATGTGAGTGGGTCTCTGGAGATGATGAAAAAACGTCCACTCCGTTTTTTTTAATCGTACATATTGCATGGTTTTGTTTGTCAAATGCCACACTTTTTGTCTGTGAAATGCTGAAAGAGTCTACAAGGTTCAAAAGTTTTGAATGCTGTGTACTAAAAGACCAGATAGCCAAAATATGCAGTAAAAGAAAATAGAATGGTATATGAATAAAAACCACCAGTCTGCCACTTTTTTCAAACTACATTAGAATCAAGAAGTAACATCTGGAAACACATTTCTATATTTTCTGTACTTCTGATTTGTGAGCTTGGTTTTTACTGGCACAAGAATGAAAATCTTATCTTTTGCCTTGGTGAAATTTTTAGGAATTTTGTTGGCTGAAGAGCAAGAAATTACTTCACCGTGGACTAATACAGTCAGGATTTTTTGTCTTTAGAGAAGTTGCTATTGGCATAAAAAAACTTTCATTTTAAAGTTTAGGAAATAGGTGATCTAGTTTTCTTACCTGAAATTAATCTACTGCCCAGTAGGACATATTTGGAACCTCCGTAAAAGTACAGAAAACTGCCTGCAGTTGAGAAAATGAGTGTGAAGTCATGTTCTTGTGTTTGGCTGGGTTAGGTTGAACTGGAATGGGTTTTGGATGGGTTGGTTGGACTGGGGACTGGGCTGTACTAGCTGGGATGAGCTAGGCTGGGCTGGGCTGGGCTGGACCTGCCTTGGTTGGGTTGAGTTGGGCTGTACTGGGTTGGGTTGAGTTGGGCTGTACTGGGTTGGGTTGAGTTGGGCTGTACTGGGTTTGGTTGAGTTGGGCTGTACTGGGTCGGGTTGAGTTGGGCTGTACTGGGTTGGGTTGAGTTGGGCTGTACTGGGTTTGGTTGAGTTGGGCTGTACTGGGTCGGGTTGAGTTGGGCTGTACTGGGTCGGGTTGAGTTGGGCTGTACTGGGTTGGGTTGAGTTGGGCTGTACTGGGTTTGGTTGAGTTGGGCTGTACTGGGTCGGGTTGAGTTGGGCTGTACTGGGTCGGGTTGAGTTGGGCTGTACTGGGTCGGGTTGAGTTGGGCTGTACTGGGTCGGGTTGAGTTGGGCTGTACTGGGTCGGGTTGAGTTGGGCTGTACTGGGTCGGGTTGAGTTGGGCTGTACTGGGTTGAGTTGGGCTGGCTGGGTTGGGATGGGTTGGGTTGGGTTGGGTTGGGTTGGTTTGGGTTGGGTTGGGTTTGGCTGGGATGGGTTGGGTTGGGTTGGGTTGGGTTGGGTTGGGTTTGGCTGGGTTGGGTTGGGTTGGGCTGGGCTTGGTTGAGTTGTGTTGGGTTGGGTTAGGTTGGGTTGGGTTGGGTTGGGCTGGGCTGGACTTGGTTGGGTTGGACTTGGTTGGGTTGAGTTGTGTTGGGTTAGGTTGGGTTGGGTTGGGTTGGGTTGGGCTGGGCTGGACTTGGTTGGGTTGGACTTGGTTGGGTTGAGTTGTGTTGGGTTGGGTTGGGTTGGGTTGAGTTGTGTTGTGTTGGGTTGGGTTGGGTTGGGTTGGGTTGGGTTGGGTTGTGTTGGGTTGGGTTGGGTCGGGTCGGGTTGGGTTGAGTTGTGTTGGGTTGGGTTGGGTTGGGTTGGGTTGGGTTGGGTTGAGTTGTGTTGGGTTGGGTTGGGCTGGGCTGGACTTGGTTGGGCTTGGTTGGGTTGGGTTGGGCTTGGTTGGGTTGGGTTGGGTTGGGTTGGGTTGGGTTGGGTTGGGTTGGGTTGGGTTGGGTTGAGTTGTGTTGGGTTGGGTTGGGTTGGGTTGGGTTGGGTTGGGTTGAGTTGTGTTGGGTTGGGTTGGGTTGGGTTGGGTTGGGTTGGGTTGAGTTGTGTTGGGTGGGGTTGGGCTGGGCTGGACTTGGTTGGGCTTGGTTGGGTTGGGTTGGGCTTGGTTGGGTTGGGTTGGGTTGGGTTGGGTTGGGTTGGGTTGGGTTGGGTTGGGTTGGGTTGGGCTGGGCTGGGCTGGGCTGGGCTGGGCTGGGCTGGGCTGGGCTGGGCTGGGCTGGGCTGGGTTGGGTCGGGCAGGGCCCTTTTGAGTTAAGATTACATTCACTTTGCTCAGTCAAAACACATTCTAACTGTTACTCTCACCTCCGATTGGCCACAGAATTGAAAACAAAATGATAAGTTGTGTTCTTCTGAACCGGTCCTGGACTAGACCGTAAAGTGGCGCAGCCAGCATGCCGGTGAGGCTATACGCAGACATGACAATGCCAAAGAATGTTGCATCACCATCCAGTTGACTCAAATACAAATTGAGTGTGGGCAAAACGCAAGCTGTTTAACAAGGGAGAAAAAATGTCAAATTATTTTTCAAAACTACTGTGGAATATTTTTTTTGTACCTGAATATTTTGTTGACGAGTTTCTGTCGGAGAACGTGATAACACGCAATGGATGTTTTTATACAAAACACTGGCTGTTTTATACACAGGCACGGCCGACTCGACTTGCTTCCTGCAAAAATTATCCCGGCGCGAGGTGGTTAACTGAGACATTACAACAGCTATGACACTCGAACAGCATAGCTTTTCAAAATAAGTACCCTTTTGTCCTCGGAGGTCGTTCCTTTATCTTTCTTTCTTTTTCTATCTTTTAAGGTGGGGGGGGGGGGTATTATTTGTTTTTTGCCTGCCGGCCAACGAGTCAAGGAAACTGATTTTTATTAACCATGGTCATTGAACTGCCAATTTAAAACTATAAATTTAGCTTGCAGGAAAGTCCAGAATTCAAATTCACAGTGCTACATTTGGGGTCGGCTCATAAATCCGACGCCTCATAGGTCCGACACCTCATTATTTCGGACTTATGAGGCGTCCGACCTATGAGGCGTCGGACTTTTGAGGCATGACATTTATTTATTCCGCCTCATAGGTCTGACGCCTCATAAGTCCGACGCGTCATAGCTCCAACACCTCATAAGTCCGAAACAGCATTTGTCTATTGTCGGACTTATGAGGGGTCGGACTTATGAGGCGTCGGACCTATGAGGCGGATTTATGCCTCGTAAGTCCGACGCCTCATAAATTTCGGACTTATGAGGCGTCGGACCTATGAGGCGTCGGACTTATGATACGGCCCCTTACATTTACTACATAAACTCATTCTTTCAACAAGATCGGTCGTTTTTAGTGAAGATACGCTTTACAGATTAGTGTAGTCGAGTAACTGCAACTTTTTTCTTTCATGTATCATCTCAATATAATGGTCAGTCATTGCAAAAATGTTGAAAAGACTAAACATTTCCAATTTTCTCAACTAAGAGAATGGTTCTGAAAAGAACCAGAGGTATAAACTCGACCATTCCGGTCAGTATGCTCTGACCGTCTTCAGAGTTTAGGCATCTTAGAGTTTAAACATTCTCCTGAAGACGGTCAGAGCATACTGACCGGAACGTCGAGTTTATACCTCTGGTTCTTTTCAGAACCATTCTCTGAGCTAAGAAATTATTCGCACATGGTGTTTCTGCCAACCTTTCATTATTTAGTATCTCCACCATGCAAAGCCTCAAATCTTTCCAATTTTGTTGACTCTCCATAGATTTTGTACTCAACCGCTGAAGTGGCATCTGGATACTATTACTACATTCTTTCCATCGCCTTTTTAACGTGGCGACATGTGATCTGGCGATCGCCAGATCATATTCAAATGTTACAAAAAGCACTAGGGTCCACAATTAGCCATGTACATCTTTCTAAATCTGCAGTACATCCCTACTATTGCAATAAAGTTGGAAAACATCAATTTTGGACTGAGCAAAATACTAAGCATCTGCTAAGAAAATATTCACACTGACAGTGACATTGTACAGTACAAGATTCAAGAAGTTCTACAAACATGACAAAGTGGCATCCTTTTTACGAAATCCCATCTGCGTGGGATTATTGTGTTTATTGTGCATTTTCATTAGCTTGAGTAACTCAAGCTCCAATGCTCTTAAGAAACTAGAATCATCCATGCGCACTCACAACCCTGCTCGGTTTACTCCAACTGCAATGCAACAAGGAGTGTTGAGCAGTATTGATGCAGATGCAGATGCAGATGCTCCGATGAGCAGCTGGAGTTTAAAACTCAAGCTACCTTTTTCCTGTACAACATGCCTGCAGCGCAGGCCACAGTGCCTTTTCATTAGATTTCACGGTAATCCTTACTTTTAGGACACCTCTATTTTTTACAAGTTCTGTTCAAAACTGACTTTTGCAGATGTCTGTCCAGTACCAAAGTGACTTTTGCAGGCTAAAGCAGTCTTTTTTCTTCATATAAACTCATGTTAGTTATAATTTTGAAAGCACTTTCAAAGAAAATGTGACTTTCCTACCTTTTTTCGCAGTCGGATGTGCATGTTGTAGTTCTCACAACACAGTGAAATCCCTACATAATGAAAGCCCGATGCTGATTGGCTGCTCAAAAAAATAAATAAGATGTTTATTTTTTATCAGCCAATCAGCAACGAGCTTTCATTGCATTGAGCTTTCACGTTTGCCATCTTGGTTTTTGAGTCTGAAAGCCCTACATAATGAAAGCCCGATGCTGATTGGCTGCCAAAAAAAATAAATAAGATGTTTATTTTTTATCAGCCAATCAGCAACGAGCTTTCATTGCATCGAGCTTTCACGTTTGCCATCTTGGTTTTTGAGTCTGTTTTCTGGTTGTCATCGTCGTCTTTTACCCCTGAATTTCCCTCATAAATCAAAGCCCTGCCCTCTTTCCACTGCTGATATTCAAGAAGGTGTCATTGCCAATTGTTTAGATGTGCCAAGAAGTATCAGAATGTCAATTTTGAGTGTCATTATTTAGTCAACTGTTTCGGTGAGTCTTTCCCTTCCTATATAGGAACGGGGTCCTAAAAGTAAGGATTACCGATTTCACATAGGGGTATGACATGAAATCACGCAGGCGTGATGTAGCGCGAGGACACACTACACTCTAGATTGTACACACGGCCGCTGTTCCTCCATGGTTCACCTACCGTATTCTATTCCGGACAGCAAGAAAAAGGCGAACTGGGCACACCTTGTGAGTCGTTTCTTGACCTTAAAAGACAGTCCCATGGCGAACGGCTGCCCGGGTCAAAAGACCCGAAAACTTGGTTGAATCACGGAGAATTTGACACAACGACAGTTACTTTCACCATCTTTTTCACTTCGGAAGTTCGGGGAAGTTTTACACACTCGACTCCACTTTCACTAGTACGTGCGTGCTATAGTTGTGAACGCTGCGCTAGAGGGCGCCATTCCCAAACGAGTCGAGTCGTCTTGACACGTACCCTGCATACAACTTTTTAATCTTTTTGAAAAACTTGTCTTTTGAAACTGGGCAGTAGTTTTCTTTGAAATCACTCGAAACAAGAAAAAACAAAATCATGTTTCATAAAGTACTTATTCCCATTATCTTTTCTTCTAAAAAGAGAATTGTAATTAACAATGTTCACATACAAACTTTGTAAAAAAAATATCGCCCACTTTATTTTCTATATATTTACAGATTTGCTTAGAAAATAGGCATGTATATAAGAAATAAAATACTTTGTACATTGAATATGAAAAAAAATTAACGTACATATTACTTTTTACTACATTGTATATACATGAAGAGTTAATTCACAAGGCACATTCCTCAAAGTGGACTACATTGTAAAAAAAAAAACACATGATCTAATTAAATTAACGTTCTGCAAACACAAAATGGGAAAATGTGTGTGTCCACTTTTAGAGCATCATAATTTCTGCTACAGTAACAATTTGAAATGTTTAGTTGTTCACTTTTGTGGCGCCGAAAGTGTTGTCAAGATAAAATCGAAACTTCTGCATGCAGAAAATTGAGTTTTGACCAAAAAAAAAAACGGGTTTCGCGACTTCTCACAAACCCTAAATTTCCACAAGGCCAGAAAAAAGACCGGGAAAATTGGGTTGTTCGTCAACTTTTGGAGCTCCATTATACCAGCAGAAGAGAATTTGTATTTCTGCAATAGGACGTTCTGAGATTTTGTAGTTGTCTGCTTTTAGGGCGATGAGTGAGTTGTTCGAATTCATTAGTCATATAGGCTTAATCGTAGTTATGTGTGGGGTTAATTATTCATTGATTTATATGCAAATTAGCTAATTTATGGGGTGTGGTTGGAAAAAGATCTTAAGAAGCAGGCTACACCCAAAAAATGAAAACTTTCCCCCTTTTTTTACAAATGGAATTTCTAGGATTTTTAACCTAACTTCAGCCGTTAGATCAAATTGCTGGACGACATAAATTTACAGTGAATTAGTGAATAAATACATGTACTTTAAAATGAATAAATAAAGTAAATAATAATTGAAAAAATCGACTCCAACGTTCATTGAAGTTCATAAAAAATTCAATAGATCAACCACCAGTAACTGGGTAAAATCATCAGAGAAATGTCAGATTTTATAATTATCACAATTCTCAGTCCTGTGAAGCCCCCCCCCCCCCCCCCCCAATCTAGTTCCCTCTGCTGCCGTGGTATCAGCACGGATGGTATCAGCCGCGCCGCGCCCCAGTTCATTGATAATTAAAGGTGATCAACAGTTTTCATTGTTTTTTCTTCTTGACATTGAAGCCCGATGGAATGGAGGGGGAAAAGATACTCACTCTTGAAAGCAAAGACACTTGTTTTTGTTTTTAATCGTCTCTTCATATTTTTTCCCAATATTATATAAAGATCAAGACAAAATTCGGTAGTGTTTTGTTTTGTCATACCTGCCAATCCCTTTAAAGCACGCAACAAACGTGACCGACGATCAGTGTGGTCCCACAAACGTGCCGAGCAGGCGTTGTAATCTATGTGCATGTAGTCAGGGCACCGGACTGCAGTTTCCAAAGGTCGTGTTTAATAAAGTTGCCAGACTTGGGTGCATAGCGGACATTCTTGGGCGACTTGTCACCTCTCGACACCGCAACAAGCTGGAGGGAAGATCCTCTCTGTCTCGTCTGGGAATACTGGATATTATTAGCCATCGATTAGGGATACCCGTTTCTTCTTCGATTCCTTCTTTCCACTGTAACGTGACTGTAGTGGACGTAAGTAGAAAATCATGACAATTGTCTGAGCACGAAAGGTGATCATGATTTTGCTCTAGTGTCATGTGTGTGTAGTTTTCCTTCCTCCAATATCCATAATCCATAATTGTACATGTAGTCACGACCATGACGACCATACAGTACAAATGTATTGCTTGCTGGTACTTGGAAGTGCCTAGTGCCAGTGGTACTTCTTGGTAGCGCCAGCATCACATGATAATTTATGTTTTTCCTTTGGATCATTGCAAGACACTTAGGTTCTAGTTGTCTTTTTCCCTTCTCAACGATATAAACTCAGACTGAGTCAGAGAAGGGCTAGGGTTGGGGGGGGGGGGAGGGTGCGTAGGGGAAATTAATGTTTTCAGGGCATGTTGGGAAACGTCCACTTTGCATGCTTAGAATTGCAAAGTATCACCTTTTCACCATAATCTCTGAGGGCAAGTTTTTGCTTTCAAATTCCAATCATATACTATAGGCCTATCGATCATAAAATTTATTTTTTGGCCCTGCCTGCAACTACACAGTGCAAATTTTGGTATGCCTTTTCTGTATCCACAGACAGAAAACAGTGCCAGTACAACTACAACTAGTGTGGCCTAGTGGTTTGTGACTCATGATCAAAGGGTCGGGGGTTTGAATCCAGCTGCTGGCCATTTGTTGTGTCCTTGGGCAAGCCACGTTGTCTCCATTTGCTTCTCTCCAGCCAGGTACCAGCATAGCAGGGGAGTAAATGGACTAGCATCCCATCCAGGGGTAGTAGAAATAGTCCCAGTCCTTTCTTGCTACTGAAACCTGAGATAATAAAATGCCGGCCTGTGATAGGCCACATTGGCTCGTGACAGACCTTTCTACTTTACTACAATGTATTTATCTCCTGAAGACAGCCAGAGCATACTGACCGGAATGCGAGTTTATTCCTCTGGTTCTTTTCAGAACCATTCTTTTAGTTGAGAAATTATTCGCACATGGTGTTTCTGCAAATCGTTCATTATTTACAAAATGTATTGTTCTATTCCTGGCATGCCTGGGCTATGTGATGTGCATGTGTTGGACTAGTACACAGCATAAGGCCAAATAAAAAAAAACATGTTTAGTACTGGAAAGATTTCCATGTACGAAGTTCACTCAACACTCTGTGTACAAACCCTATGAGAGTGGACTGAAAAATTCTAAGTGTTTTCTAAGAAAATGCTGTATTTTCTCACTGCTCAAATTGACTTTGATGACATGAAATTGCTATCTGGGGGCTTGTTAGTCAATACAGAGGAAAATTAGTGAACTTCGCATATGGTAATCTTGCCGCACCACTGCCTGCTTCCTTTTTGGAGGCCCCCTTTTTTTTCTTCTTTTTTTCTTTTTTAACTGAAATTTTTTTTTTCAACAGTGACAACATTTTGGGCTTCTTTGGCGGTTGCATCTAGCCCATATAATTCAGCTGGTATGTCATTTCCTGAGTCCAATGGCGGCCGTTTAAAAAAAAAAAAAAGACGGCCATCTTGAAAAATAGCCTGGTCGACGGCCATTTTGGAGGAAACCAAAAAAACAAAAAAGGCCTCCAGCTTCCTTGTTTTCAAAAAGGCAGGATGCTAAATATGTTTGTTTTTTTTAATTTGGCCTAACGTCACTTGTTTGTATGAATACATGCACCGGTAGTACCATGTGCTGGTATCATTGTAAACATGTACCGGTACGTACGCATTGATTTACCAAAAAGTGTAAACATAACACAGGTTTTTCCCCCCTACAAGCTACAAGTGTACTGCAATATCTTGACACATTTCATTTCTTACTGTCAATGTAAACAAAATCTGACAGTAGGAAACTCATTGATGATAAGGGACCTTGGCTAGTATTGATTAATTGCTTTCCTGATACTGAGTGTCCTTCCAGTGGACTTTGCGTGGGCCAGGGTTTTGCCCATGACTTGTGTATCGGTTGTTGTGATGACTCTGGTTTCAAGAATTGATGACTAAACCGATCCAAATGACATTCATCCCTGATTACAAAGTCAAGGCAAGGCATGTCGTGCGTATGGGAACCCTGCCTTTTATGGATATGGCTCGGGCTTGTTTTGTTTTCATGCTGAGCTTTCGGTTTTCTACTTGTTTAGACTACTTCATGTGCGAATGCAATTATGATGTCTGTAGTGTATCAACAAGCACACTCGCTTGTCGTGCATACATTGTATATTGGTTAGGCCAAAAAAAAAAAAAAAGTTCTGCTTCCAGTTTCCCTACCTACCCTATTCTGACAGCCCCTACCCTAATATATATGGGAAAATGAGAAGAAAAAAAACACCCAAAACCATCAATTTCTACCTTTTACCCTTGATTGCATGCAGACGCCTCCATAGGATCGTGCACAAACAAAATGGCCAAAAAAAAAAATCCCTGCCTACCTACCCTATTTTGGAATGCCAAGTAATCGGAAGCACAAACATTATTTTTTTTGGCCTTACGTCTTCATGTACATGTACCGAGTACAAGTTTGTCTTTATGGTGAATGCAGTTTTCATCATACAGACTCCTGGCACAAGTATCCACTCAATGATTGAAGTGTTGTAGTCGAGTATTCCCATGCGTATGAGTACAAGTACGAGAATGAGTACTTTGCTATGAGTATGAGTGCGGGTACTCTGTCATGAGTGCGAGTACGAGGCAATTTTTTCCCATGAGTACATGCACATAGTGTACAAGTACAAAAAATGTAATCAAGTATGAGTACTATGAGTACAAGTACCGGTGTAGCATGAATTTAGGTTTTATGAAATACGGACTCATTGGTGGTATTGAGCATGCTCATGCATAGATAATTAGGAGAGGGACCGGTCACGTGAGAGGGTTTAACCAATGAAAGGGAAAAAGAGTCTGATTTTCATACGAGTCCGATTTCCCTGTGACACCGGTACGATTATTTTCCACAAGTCGGAGCTAATTTCAATTAAATGGAGAACATATAAGAGTATGACTATGAGTACTTTGTCATGATGAGTGCAAGTATGAGTATGGGTAATTTTTTTCTTTTGAGTATGAGTGCATTCATTATGAATACAAGTGCCAAGAAATGTACTCGAATACAAATACCAATACTACCGGTACAGCACTGAATTATTGCAACAGAAGAGTAGGGCAGACCACTGGGAAGGACATTTGAACACATGGGCCTAATTCACTAAGTAGCCATTTTTGTCGTGTTCCCTGAATGTAAATTTCATAAATTGGTAACTGTTGAATTGGATGGCGCCAGACTAAATTCAGCCTTATTTTACTTTTTCTTTTTTTTTTCATCTGGCTTAAAACTTTACGGAATGCTTAATTGCAAACTTTGAATATTATTCATTTAAGCCGACTTGAATTATTTAGTAATGCACATGCTTTCAATTCTCTTCGCAAGTTCCAGAAATGAAGATATTTCCTCACTTTTAATTCAACATGGCCGACTCGTGAATAAGGCCCATTAGGCCCGGTTCATACTTCACACGAAAGCAAGTGCGAAGCGAAATTCACGTCGTCAACAATGGTGGATGCGCTTCGAACGTATTGTTGACGTCATGAATTTCGCTTCGCTTTCGCTTTCGCGTGAAGTATGAAGCGGGCTTTACTGTTGGGGCCTGATGCTCACACGAAGCAGCCATGAGTTTGTGTACACTTGGGAAAAAAATACGTCAATGGTACATTGTTCCATTGGCACGCGAACCAGAATGGGCACGTGGTCGTCCCCCCCCCCCCCCCCCCTAAGCTCCCTCCCCCTCAAAGCTTCCTCCCCCTCAAACCTCCCTCCCCCTCAAACCTCCCCCACGGGCCCCACCCCTACTTGAGGTAGTCCAATCAGCCAACACCTGAGGACCGGTAATTTTGCACCACTTCCCTTCAAATCACGTCCGTATACAGTTTAATCCTCGCTAAAAATTGGATCCAGGAAGTGGCAGGCTGGAGACCGTATTAAAATACAACAGCTTTCTCCGTTTGATATTTCAATTTCGCCCGATGATCGGTAGCAAACAGGAATTCCGGGAACGACATCCGCACTCGGGTTTCGGTCGTCTCAGATTTTTCTGTCCAAATAAAGCAATGGGTGAAGTAAAATTACAAAAGTGAAACAGATACATAAAGTGTACCGGTACTTTGGCATTGAAAAGGTATAGAGGTAAACGTACAATGTACATGTAAACATGTACATGTACATTGATTGCATACATGTGTATTACCACATTTTTGTAAAGTAAATTTCATTAAGGGACTCTGGGTTTGCCATTCACCATAGTAATAATTGTACAAGTAGTGTATATACTGTACAAGTTTACTTTCCACAAGTCGGCAAGAAAAACTTTACAAGCTTACTCGGTGGAACTCGAACCCGCAGCCTCCATTTACCAGTGCAGATGTCGTTCAACTAATTTAAAACATGACATCACTCCAAATCTAATTTCCATCCAAAGCCGATATGGCTGTTGAACCATTACCAAATTGATTCCTGATTAAATTTCACAAAAAGTCGAGAAATTTGATTTCGCCTCCGACAACAAATCACCAGGAGTCAGGAAGATTCTCAGTGACAGCTGGAAAAGTCACCGCAATGGATCAAGTGACTTCACAGCTGTTTTCGCCCTCGGGGCATTTTGTAAAATAATGACCCTTGGTGAATGATGTCTGGGCCATGAGAAGATGATACTTTCTGCTCTCTCAGACGATGCAGCCAAAATGTCTCCTGAATTATTTGATTAGTGGTCAAATTGGATTCTCTCAGAAAGATTGTAAAATGTTTTGAGGACAACCAACTACATGTAGCTTTAACAGGACTTTATCCTAGTATTAGTAAATTGTTTAAAGTAATAAGATTACTGATCTCAGGACGCACATGTACTGTATTGTAGAAACAGAATCTCAAACCAGATCCTTTTGAAAAGGCTATGGACTAGTTTCATAAACCCCCTAGGGTGTGTAAAATCATATTCATGTACCTAAGACAGTTTACCCATTCCTATTGGTCGAGAGCCTGTCACGTGGCCAGTTTTAAAAGGTTGATAAAGACCGGCTGGCTGGTCTTAAACACTTTTCCAGTGTCACATGTACAGAAAATGTTGACTCCTTTGAAATCCGGTGCCTTTTAATGACTGTTTTATTGGTTGAACGTTCATGCACAATACCGGTACTACCAGGGAGTCAGTATTTCATAGTCCTAAATTCACACTACACTGGCACAGCTGCGTTCTGCGCGGCATCACATACATGTATAACACGCACCATGCGCACCAATCTCCATAAGGAATTGTTTACTACATGGACATACCATGATATGGCTTTAGGGGTGTTTTGAAAAAACAAGTAAAATTGTTGGGAAAAAAATCAATGGAAATTTATAATTTTTGACTTGTTTCGACTTTTGGACCGAAAAGTTTAGATTTTTTCGGCTCGAGTAATTATCAGCATCCAGGCTCCAAATGGTCTCAAACAGAGTGTTTAAAACTGACCAAGCACACATTTATAAATTCCTTTATTAAAAATTGAAGCATATTTAATTGTACATGTACACTGTATGGATGATGGAGGTCATATTTGAAAAATGTGGATGAGCGGAACACTGCACCTGGACGCCAATTAACACAGCGAATGTCATCACTCATTACATTTCAACTTTTGTAAATTATCAACTACCCTATGTACACTACATGTATGATGTAGGTGTATTGATCTGAATTTCAGCCCATCTGTTCTTGTCCGTCATCCACTGTTATCTTGTGGCAGAATCGCACATTGTTGCAATGGGCAGCATTCATTAAGCTGTGTTGACCCAGAAGTGAAATCGTAGGTCACTTTTAAAACTTCTGTCATTATGGACAAGATCAATCGCATGACAAAGCATTTCTTCCCATTTGAAAAAATTCAAGACCTGAAAAATATGTGACATCATACAAAAAAAATTCATGACATCATTTTTTATAAGAATTTAATCTAATTGCCAAAAAAATGTATCGCAAAACTAAAATCAATGCACAACATACTAACATAGACACACTGTTTTTGAAATGTTTGATGATGTGGTACATTTTGCACATTGTACAAGGAAGTCCCACTCCCAACCATGATATCCATTATCCAGTCCTAAGGACTACCATACATAAAATGTACAGAAGCATGTTGTTCTGTATTTGAGACACATGGACACAATCTTTTAAATTTTGGATGTACATGTAGGCCTACATGTACTGCTGGCATATGATGGACATATTGTACATGTATAAAAATAACATGCCAGAGGCTCAAGAATATCACTTTCCTTTATTTTTTATTCCATGCAATCAAGCAAAGTCAACAAGATCAAATTTATCTAATTTTTTTTTCATTGCCCCATAATATTTTTAATAAGCATCTTTCACTCTCAATCACGTGCTTGATGGGGATTTTTCACATTCCCACCGTGCAGTCGGAAGTCGGGCGGCTCCACTGCCTGACCAGCGAGATGTGACCCACCCCCTGCCAACCAAAATGGTAGATTCCAGAAAAAAAATCTGACCAATCCTTCCCCTCCTCTGTGATCTAATGTGGCCGGTGATTGGCTGGTATCAAGTTAGAAAATCCACACCCCACCAATCGCGGGACGGTTTACATGAAATGTAAAAAAAAAAAGGGATGAAGTAAAAAATCATGGGCTGAACTATTCTTAACACAGGGGTGGTGTGTGTGCCAATTCACCATGTGATACTCATTTCACGCCGGCATTCCGTTCGGGAATATTTTTTTTTCGGACTGAGGATGCGCCGGAAGGAGGAGTTTCATCTGCTTTCCGGAGCAGATGCTTTGATCAAATTTGGAAGGGGCGTCGTTGGCATTGTGACCGTGGACAGTGTTGTTTGGAAACACAGCTTTGCTTAACTCTGGAATGATTATTAATCATTCATTTGATTGTTTTTAAAAACAACACTTTTTCATTTGAAGCTCCATTTATCAATGAGCTGATACAAGGAACTTTAAGGGAAGACATCATTGGAATTAATCGTTTTAGGTGGAACTTTGTGAGGAGGAAAATTGTGGAGTGCTAACCTGGATATCATACAGTGCTGGATTTGTATTTATATGTGCTCTCCAGTTCTGCAAGACGGGAATCATTTGGAAATAATTGTGTGGTGCGTTCATCGGAAGGATTGTCAGGAATTCAATAGGCCTAATGGGTACTCAAAGTGAAGGTACTTACATCAATTTGTACATAGTTTTATAAATACTGTTTCAAAACACCAAACAAATTTTTTTTTTACAAATCACAATTTGTTAAAAATATTGAAATGTGATTGACTTTATTATTATGATTGTGTAATTTCAGACTCAAATTACATGTATGTACACGTAGGACATGCATGGCACATAATTTACAATTACCTCTCAAAACTTTTTACATGAACTAGCAACTTTGACTAACCTTTTGCGCAGAAAATAACTTCACTGACATTCACCCTCCTGGAGGGCATTTCCAGTGACCTTCCTCTCTGATTGGTTGCCAAGTGTGGTTGCCAAGGTTACCAAGGGAAGCCAGATATTGGTGAAACGTTGCAGCTTCAAGGTGGAGAGATCTCAACACCCAAGGCCAAAGGTTCTGGCTTTGTTTTGACATTTTGGCGAACCCTTTTTTTTGGCTGTGACTGCTTATCATGTGAACAGTTTAATATGAGCGTGCACTCATTGGAATGTTTTGTTAGCATTTTCTCCGGTTCAGCATTTGCATTCCGTGGTAATTATTTGGCCTACTTTGTTAATACTTGGATACTTTTTTTGTAAGGGGTTCAAAGTTGGCCAAGTTTAGGAAAGATGTGTGTATTTGGATTGTTCCTGGGCAATTTTGTGTTTGCAATGGTGGTTTAATGTTTAAGTGTATTTTACCTGGTAAATGTAGCTATGTACCATTGTACCCGTAGTTTTTTCTACCGATGTTGGTACTATAATGTGCTCATTGCTCAACACGCACAGGGCGCCGCTAATCGTTTTTGTTGGCAAGATCAACCCCCCTTTTCGATTTATGTGGAGGGCGGGTGTCCGGAGGACAACAAATGACGCCTTTTTGTGCTTTCAGGTAACATTGAGGTTTCTGCCTGGAATGACATCACAGTTTTGTTAATGAATATAGAATTTGCATCAGCATCAAACTACATTGTAGATGTAACCTTCAAAATGACAAAACAGATATTGAAAGTAAGGTTAAAGGGAATATATACATCATTTGCTTTTGCTGTAATTTTCAGAAATGGATGGAATTGGGGGATTGGAAATATATAGCAAATATAGTTACACTGACTTTTTTTGAGGTTTTGGGTTCGAAAAAGCTATAAAAACCAAGAAAAACAATCATTTTCCTGTAGTCTGGTTCCCTGACTCCATATAAGAAGAAACAGAGCAGTTTACAAACATTGGAGAATTGTAAGGCCAGGGAACCAGTCTAGCTGGCTTTTACCCGTTCGTAGGTGTGTAATCGATTGCAAACAAGTGCGATGGTCAATTGGGGCCAGTATTTGAAAAAAAAGCCAGTTTTTTTCCAACGCTGGTCGGTCGACCAGCGGTGGAAATTGATACAAAAATACCACTTTTCTTGAAAATGACAGTATACCAGGTGCCATGATTTCACAGGATGCTTTACACTGTCATTCACTAACAGCCCAGCAAGGTATTTCAAAATGATTTGTTAGTTTTATTTTTTGATGTTTGCAAATGTTGTATTTTCCCTTTAAATAGGACACAAGGATGCATTTTCAAGAATAGCATTAAAAAATTCCATTGAATGGACCTTTAAGAAATGTGGTTCGCTGCACTGAAACTGAAACCTAAATGTACATGTACAGTTTGTACATCTACTTGTGCTTGTTGCGATTGTGAAAGTATGCAGTTTGAACAGATCTGTGTTCAGTCTACAAGTGGAAAACATCGCTTTCAGATTTTGTGCCGTACACTTTGACAGAATGGGTATTAATTGTTATGAATTGGTTACTAAATCACTGACATGAACAGCCAGTACATCAATCAATCTTTTGTAGCCCCCACAGTGTGCGTTATGGGCTCCGTGCACAAGTACCCCCTCAACGGTCAGAAAGGGAGAGTTGGGGGAGACCACTGGGAGAGACAATTGAACGCATTGCCAACGAGTCCTGATGCTCACAGGAAGACGCTATGTCTTTGTGCACAGTCAGAATGAAATCAGTCGTGCGTACTGCACGCTTTATATGCACGAACCACCAGTGTGTCCTGTCCATTGGGCTCTCGAAAGGGGTCAAAAGCGCCCTCTGTTGTGTGCGCATGGAGCCCATAGTGCCCTCTCTTGTTTGCGCACGGAGCCCAAAGCGACGAACTGTAGTACCTGGTACATCATGTAAATACATTTTTCTCAAACTTGTACAATTTCGGAATTTTTTTCCCCAGACACCGTCGAGGACATCATGACCACCATGGAGCGGCTCCAGAGGGAGCTAGACAACCTGGACAAGGCCAGCGAAGAGCTCTCCTCGAGCCCCAAAGGCTACACCACCCAGACTGTCTCCTCGGCCCGGCTATACACCACCCAGCCCAAGAAGTTTGCCCCCGTCACTGCCCCGAAGCCCGTCAGGCCCAAAGCTGGCGGGTACGGTGGGGATAGCGGGAGCGCCCTGCCCCCGCCCGGCCCACACAGTAAAGGTGAGAGGGGTGGGGGGAAGTGTGGTTGGAGTTGTAACAAACGAGCAGTAAATGTTTGATGTGAATTAACCCTAACCTCCCCAACTCCATCAAAATCCATCCCTCCCCCCATTTTTGATGGATTTTGGGGGACTTGGTCCTGCAGGCCTGTTTTGACTAAATATTGATGGATGATGGACTTGGGCCTGGAGGCCTAAAACAAAGCATGCATTGGAAGCAGTGTAATTGATGGATTTTGGCCGACTTGGTCCAGTACTTACATACAAACGTGTACGTAGTAAAAGACGGTGAGGTAGGTTTAACAATTGGTTAAAACTTAGATTGGGAGTTCAGTTTTGCAGATACACCAATGTGCCTTGAATATATGTTAAAACTCTTGCGTCTGCAACTTTAAATATCCCTGCAAGGAAATTGTTGCAGTACAAAGCAGAAACGAGGTTTTTTTTTACGAGACAGATTTTCTTTTTGAAATTATGCATTTTGCATTTTGCCACTCTGCCAGAATTTTTACCACCCCCCTTTTTTCCCTCATTTAAAATGCAAACAACAGAGAAGCCTGTAAGACTTCATATATTGCCGAATGTTCGGTCATTTAAAAAAAAATAAAAAAATTGAAGATTAACCCATTATTCCCTGTGCCACCCCAAAGCACCTTGCCTGGTGCTCCTTATACGCCTCAGCACTCTACAGTTTTTTTTTAATTCATCAAGAAATGTATACAGTGAAGTACAATGTAATACAAGCGCTAACAAGTTAAATTGTATCTAGTAGTTCCTGTCAGTGCAACAGATATTATGGTATCATCAGACCATACTTATGCCAAGGTTTGATGTAAATTTGACTTTGCAAAAGGGCAAGTCGAGGAATTGGCACACACTACCGGTATGTCCCATACATGACAAAAGTTAAACCTGCCAAGATATTCATGGATTTCCGTGGTTTTTTTTTTTAATTCTACTGTTGGGCATCTGCAAGGCGAATACCCACAAGAAATTTTATGTTATCAGTCTTTGTGATGATTATGCAATTAAAGAAAACATGGCGTTAGGTATGGGACAAAAAGGGGACCTTTTCTTGGACTTGCCCAAAAGAGCACAGGGGCTTAAACATGGAGTAAATTATGTTTATGTCTCAGAACTACATTTCTTTTTTAGAGTTAGTCACTTCATGTGGTGTATCTGCAAACTTCTTTCCAATTTTGAACTCTTTAACCATGCAAAGCCTCACTGAAATCACATTTAACCCGTGAGTGTTTATGGTATGCACAAGTGGAAACATGGAACAAAAGAATGTTACACAAGAAGCCAACAAGGCATCCGGTCCCCAGTTTAAAGGGAATGTACAACATTTGCTTTTGTTTCAATTTTCAGAAATAAATGGATTTGGAGGATTAGTATGTTATGGCAAATATTGTTAAACTGACTTGTTTTACGACAAACATGTACGTTTTCAGCTTGTAGATGCTGGAAAAACCAAGAAAACCTGTCATGTTCTTGTTGTCTGGCTCCCTGACCCCACTTAAGATGAAACAGAGCAATTAATACACTTTGGGGAATTGTAAAGTCAGAGAATCAGTCTAGCAGGCTTGTACCCCTTCACAGTTGTGTAATCGATTGCAAAGAAAAGTCAGAATAATTAAATATGAAAAATTAGGAACAGTTTTTGAAAAAAAGCCAGTTTTCTCCAACGCTGGTCGGCCGACCAGCGTTGGAAAAATACTGTTTTTCTTGAAAATGTCAGCACACCAGGAGCCACGATTTTAGAGGATGCCTTAGACTGTCAGTCCCTAACAATCCAGTACAAATGTAAGGTGTTTCGTGACAATTTGATTATTTCGTTTTTTGATGTTTGCAAATGTTGTATCTTCCCTTTAAAGTGGCACAAAAATCAAATAATAAAAAGGAGTTGCAGAAATAGTCAAAAACAAACAGTATGCCCTAAAGGACAATGAGATGTCTCCAGTGCATACCATACACAGACCTGTGTCTACTGTAAGAACGTGTGTTAATCCAATCATTGCATGGATTGTTTGCATTTTATGTGTTTGTTTTCCATTGCATTCCTCGTAAAATATATAAACACATATTTGTACTGGTATCCTCCATTCAGTTAACTCTTCCCATTCACCAGTCATAAAAAAAAAATAGTCGGGGCTCTTCTGTACTTTGCCACACACCCATAGGTACATGTAGTGCTGTGTGGAATATATCTTGCAGGCCTACATGTATGTGCTGTGATTTCCTCATTAACAAAAGCCAAATGTGTATAGCTTCCTGTACATGTGCATATTTTCTCTGGAAATCAAAACAAAAATAAAATTGGGTTAGGTACATATCAACATGTTATTGGAACTGCAAGGAAATTCCACAGGAGCCTGTGATATTTATGACTGGAGGACGTGGAATTTTTGTTCAGATTAAAATCAACAATAGCTGTTTTCTGTAGCGCACAGAAACACATCATTATTCCATGCCAGTAGTAAAGATATAACAAGCTTTCCTGAAGGATTTTAAAATTAAATTAAGGCATTTTGGGTTTTTTAACGATGTTTACACGTACATGTACACGTACATACCGTTGTACGTGTGAATTGAGCACATGATCTCTGGGCAGAGCTGAAATGAGAATTTAACCTGTTGTGAATAAAAACTGTACAAACATGGACATCTGTACATTATATTTAGAACTTTGTCAGATTAAAATTACATGCAATGCACTGAAAGTGACAGAAAGATGGCTGCACAGAATCAAACAGAATAGGTATGTACCGGTACAAATAAGGAATAGGGCCTCACAAATTTGAGTTTCAGTATCACATCAACTTCCATAAATTTCAACTATATTGAAATTTTGTTTCAAAGATCCACGTCATATGTTGTACTAAATTTGGTGGCCCAAACAATGTACCATACTGTACATCATTTAAAAATTGACTTTCCGGATATATCCAAGTTGCTCTTTCAGTTCTGAGGACATTTCCAAAATTTATGAATGTGGGTACATAAGGCCTAATGTACATTACATTCAACATATGAAAGTGTAATTTGCACATGTGTACCGGCATGTTTTAAAATACATGTTTGTCCCCAATTTGTAGTGTATTTATTACAGCATCGTTTAAAGAGGTTGTGGAATGCTCGAAGACATTTCCATCATTTTTTTGGTATATGTAGCCTAAGGTGTGATGAAATAAAAACAACTATTGTTTCTGTCATGAAATGAGTACAAAGGGTACTTTTGAGAGCTATTTTTCAGGTCCTGTTTCGACTCGAACGTGCAATTTGTGTAAAAGTCATCGTTGCGGGCAGCAAACAAAACACAGTAAATCGTGACGTAATAAACAGGACTCGTTTATGCTACTCTGCATCGGGAGTCCTGTTTATTACGTCACGATTTACTGTGTTTTGTTTGCTGCCCGCAACGACGACTTTTACACAAATTGCACGTTCGGGTCGAAACAGGCATGACAGGACTTGAAAAACAGCTCTCAAAAGTACCTTTTGTACTCATTTTATGACAGAAACAATAGTCGTTTTTATTTCATCACACCTTAGGCTACATATACCCAAAAAATGACAGAAATGTCTTTGAGCATTCCACAACCTCTTTAAAATTTATAAAACTACATACATACACCATGTAGACATGTACAGGAGCACATGTACTTTATTGTGCATATGCTGTGTCAAAATATGTCATTTTGTATGCCCAGCATGACAGTGCCCTTGACATTTCATAAAAAGAAATTGTAACAGAATGAGGACTAATAAAATTATCAATTCTGCAGACTCCAGCACGACGCAAATTAAATCCCACTTGTCCATGGCAGGTACTAGTACTTGCAGTGCATAATCAAATTTGTTTGATTAAAAATGTACAGGGTACCAAAAAATATAATTTTGTATTTTTTTGTGGTTATTTGACTACTTCATGTATGGCTGAAGGAATTAGATTATAAATGTACCAGTACCGTATGCACAATAATTTAATTTTAAAGAGGGGGACCCACCATTAGCTAGTAAATGTACATGTACATGTACATCCTAAAAATAAACCAAATGGGAAATGCCGCTCGGCTTCTTGTTTAATGTTGCCCCTTTTGTTCTTCCCCAAAAGTTGATAAAACAGCACTTGAATCAGTCAACAATTAAAAAATTGACAAGTGTATGCACAATAACATTACCGGACATTGTACACCAACACTTAACAAGTCTAAAGATCTGCCTTGATTTTCAAGTCTTTTTTTTTTTAAACCAAAATTGAAAAGTTTGAAGTTGCATCAGGTAAACGTCACTTATTTTTTCCATACTCCAAACCCCTGCCCATCTCTGCCCCACTTGGAGGTCATTGACTCCAGGTGCTCCAAATTCCCAAGTCCAGGTCAAAAAAAAAGAAGAAGAACAAAAGAAAAGAAAAGAAGAAGTCACAATTAGGTCTCTCAGTCTATTTCAGCCCTTCAAATCTGAACACTTGTCCTTGCATCTCAAAACTCTGCTACCGTCCGCCGTGTCCCCGCGGCAGGATACATCCAAATACAGCCCGGTGTCACGCTGTGTTAGGGACTGCCTCACTAAGACTGATGAGGAGACATGCCGCTGTGCGGTGGAATTCCTGCCCTGGTAAAACGAACCGCGGATGGCATTTGGGAAGGCATGCGTTGGAAATGGCATTCAGATTACATGGACCTTGATGAAATGTGACTATGTTCTAATGAGCATGTGTGATGTTTTAAATGCATTCCGAACTTGAGCGAAGCTTGTATAAAAACACATTGAAAGTTAAAGGGAATACATGTAAAACATTTGCAAACATCGGAAAACAAACCTACCAAATTTTTAGGAAATACCTTACTAGGATGTTGGTAAATGACAGTCTAAAGCATCCTGTAAAATTATGGTACCTGGTGTGAAGTCATTTTCAAGAAAAATGGTATTTTGTATAAATTTCCAATAGTGGTCGGCCCACCATCATTGGGAAAACCTAACTATTTTTCAACTACTGCTCCAAATAAAAAAAAAAAAATTTTCAGTCCAAATTTCTTTTGCTATTGGTTAAATGTTCTTGAACGGGTGCAGTCCAGCTAGACTGGTTTCCTTAACTTACAATTTTCCGGCATCTATAAATTGATTCATTTCATCTTTAGTGGAGTCAGGGAACCAGACTACTTGAACATTTTTGTTTGTCTTGGTTTTTCCAGCATTTTTGAACACAAAACTGCAAACTTGTCAGTGTAACAATATTTGATCTATTATACTAACCCCTCAAATACATGTAGTTCATTTCTGAAAATTACAGCAAAAGCCAATGATGTACATTCCCTTTAATGTACATGTACATGTACATGTACATGTACATACACGTACCTGTACATGTACGTATACATGTACCGATACATGTACATTTGTAAATGCGTGTACATGTCTCTATTCGTTGAAGTGGAAAATATGCTTTATTGACAGTTAATAGCCAGCATGTTTTTTTGTAATTTAAAAAAAGAAATTCATAAATACACAATTACACAATTCAATTATGGCATACGTTTGTTCAGTTTTATCCATTTTCACTCAACTTTGCTGTGAGTGCCTTACATTTAGGTCTGTCAGTTGGTCATTTGTTTGTTTTGTTGAATTAAAATATATTAATTTGTTTGTTCATTGAGTGAAGTTTTCTCATAAACTTGTCGTTTAATTCTTGCATAATAACTGTGTACACATTCATTGAAGAAATGTAGTTAACTGCTCATTATTTTTGATTCAGATATTAAATAATATAATGATCATGCATACATTTTTGTCATTGTAAAGTTCAACAGGTACACGTACCCATGTTAATGATCAATAGACTGATCCACTAAGCTCCTCCCCATGATGTTTTGACCAATCACAGCCATGATTAATGTCCGACATGCATTCACGAAAAACTCTAACATTCCTGCACTTGCGGTGTCTGGAACATGCAATGTGGCATTTTGGAACGATGCACATCTTGTTGCCCAAGTGTGCAGTGGGTGGGGCTTAACAGATAGTGGGCGGGGCCTACTGGATAGGGGCGGGATAGTAGGTGGGGCCTAATGGTAGTGGGCAGGGTCTTATGGATAGTGGGTGGTGCCTAATGGATAGTGGGCGGGGCCTACTGGTTAGGGGCGGGATAGTGGATGGTGCCTAATGGATGGTGGGCGGGGCCTAATGGATAGTGGGTGGAGCCTAATGGATCGGTCAGCTGCTTGGTGGCTGCTCATTATTCCTTGCATCGGTTTAACTAACCCTTCTATTTTCTCTTCCCCGTAACTCAATTGTATAAACTATAGCTCTTTTCTTTCTCTTTTTGCCTGGTATCCGTGTGTGATTGCTTGATTGCCATTACTATTGTGCTGCACTGTGTCTTTTGCTCTGTTGCTGGTTCCCCGTGTGGTTTTATTGCATTCTGGTTATTGGCTCGCTGTAGCCCCGCCCCCGTCAACGATGCCCAAACCCAACCGGGCCATTGTGAAGGGTAAGCATGGACAATAACGAACGTTTTCTCAAAAAACAACCACGGTAACCTGAAGATCAAGGAAAAAATGCATTCCACCCCCCCCCCTCCCCGGACAAAATTTGCATGTCATTTCTTTGCTTATTAATTACAAATCAAGCTGTTCAAAGTTAATTCATGTTTGTGTTGCAAAGTCTTGCAAAATGTAGTGTTTTTTTTTTTTTTTAATGGCTAAAAATACAAATGTAGACTAGAAATAACAAAATGCTTGCTTTATTAATTTGTAATGTACCAGTATGTTTCTATGTTTTGTATTTGACCTTTACAAACTAACACTCATTTAAGACTGGCATTCTGGAATCACGCTGAACCAAAAAGGATTAGGAGCGTCTCTAGCCGACCCAACTCGAGTTTCAGTTTCAGACCTAGGAACTTTGTGTAAGGCCAAAAAAAAAATATATTCAGTCTCTGGTCAGACAAAAGTTCCGGAATTGATGCGGGGACGCGGCTTCTTTTTTTTTTTTTTTTTCCTTTTTTTTTTCTTCTTCAAGCTTGGATTGTACAGACAAGGTGGGGTACTATTTTGCTTTTTTGGTGTCCTCGTGTACATTGGTGTCCTCCATAATTTGCCTTGGTGCTTTCGATCATTTGCCTTGGTGCAATTTCCCATTCCTTGGTGCTCTTTGGTAAAAAAAAATTGAGGAGGTGCGGAAATAGAGGGCGCTGTTGGAGCTACCATGGAACATTTTGGAGAAAAAAAAAGATCGACGCGCATGATTAAAAACGACACGCGCGCTGCATGAGACTAACTTATTAATTTTTTTGGCCTAACAGTCCAGTTTTATCAACGACTTGTGCATGTACCGGTAGTCCCTGATCATTTTTTTCATTTTTTTCAAATTGTTTGAAATAATTTGGTTCTGTTCAGCGTGAGTCTGGGAGGCCAGTTTTAAACGGGTGTGAAACTCGCAGAAATGTGTTCACGTTACGTGTACATTGTTAAATATTTTCTCGTCTTTCTCTTTGGTTTTGTGTTGTTTGTTTGCTTGTTTTTATTCCAGTTGCTGCTTTCTGATCTGCTCTTTATACATAAATGACGATTATATCAGCCTGATTTTTCTTTGTTTTATTTTATCTCTCATTTCTGCATTTTTTTTTTTCCTTTTTACTTTCTTGCCGCTGGATTTTTTGTCTCACGGTAGCAGTGCCGCCGGCTCCTCCGCCAAAAACCTCGTCGCGTCACCAACAGTTTAGCACGGCAGGTAGCTGGTCACATGCTTCTGTTTAGTTTTTAAAAAAAAAGCATTTCATTCACATCCTCACAATCCCAAATCTTCTAAAATCCAACATCCTGATTTTGTATGATTTTGAAAGATTCAGGACATTTCGACACAAGCACTTTGCATTGGATTTCATGTCTTACAATGTAAATTAACCCTAACCCCCTCGACTAAGTTACTGGGAACCTTCCTCACTCGTGCAAAATCCAACACAGTATGGTAAATCAACACCCAAACTGTTGGACTCTGATTATGATGGTATGCCTGACCCCATGTAAAGCATAATCAGTTTACTAGTGCAGTACTCACTCCAAGAGAATCAAGCAAATTATGCAGTTGGATTTTGAAGGGTTAAGGGTGGTTAGGGTTCATGTACAAAAATGTGCTCATGGTATGCTACGTTTTGTTGGATTTTGAAGGATTTGGGAAGCTACGTTTAGCTTTGTGTTTTAAAAAGGCTGTTCATTGACTTGATTAGAAAATGCTGGAAGTTTTGACACACAACTGTGAGTTGGGCAGATTTTGCTTAAAGCTCCCCTCAGTTCGACCTTGTGATGACACAGAACAATCGGCACCTGACTTTTCAGGATCAAGCTGCGCATGAGCTACATGCACGACCGTCGGAAATATTCCAGTTGCCAATATTTTGTGTGACCTGAGTGTAACTGGGATGATATAAATACGATCGGCATCAGTCTGAGCTCAAAAATTACTCGACAGTCGCAAGAGTAGAAAACTTTCAACTACTGCACCGCGATAGAACGTGGTCCCAACAGGCGGGAATCATTCGCAGTCGACCTGTATGAAGTAACAACGTCGTAAACGCATCTTGATCATCCAAATATATTGTGAATCGTGTCACGTCATGGGTGGAATGAGCATGGTTGCGATTACTCTGTGTCGAAATGCCGCTTGTTCCACGGAAATACAATTTCCCAGTTTTGTGACCTGAGCATTACTTTTGTGCTTGGTGTCGACAGTTCCGTCGCGGCGCTAGCAAATCGAAGGTCGACCTGAGGCTGGCTTGATGAGAGCAGAATCTTGGAAACTTTTTAAAAAGCCATTTTCTTTCTTTGGGGGGGGGGGGGGCGGGGAGGCTTGGGTTAGGTATGGGGCTAGGCAGGAAAGTTAAAGACCCCCTCCTCTTCAAGACATGTCAAATAATGTACAATTTTTTTGTGTTTTTTTTTTCCATGCTTAGTCTGCTGTAACTGCAATGCTTTAGGCTAATCGTATAGCCATTGATTTTTCAACAGCTTTTTTAACATTGGTAGCTAACATTCTCAAAAAAGCCAGTTAATCATGCATGCAATTTTGTAAGACGAGATAAAACGTATTTTGGGATAGTACAGATTTACTCATTTTTAAAAAACCATTCAATATTCGCATTAATTTGAAGGTAGAGAACATCCACACGTACCGATTGGTAACACTGCGCCGTGATTGTGTGCCTTTTTTGCACAATTTGTTTTCTTCATTTTGGTCAATTTTACTGTGATAGTTTTGTATTGTGTTTGGATAAAAATGAAAATGCTAATAATGTAGCCCCTTTTTTTTCAAGCTGTTTTGGCGTGTACTAAAACAAATGTCCAGCCAACCATTAGATTTGTGCATGCAGATACCGTTGGCGGCAAGTGTGCATGAAATTGTGGGGTGCTTTCCAAACCTTGTTTTTTTCCCCAGCTTTGGCTCATCACTTGCTCCGTAATTATTAAAAAGTCTTTCGTGGCCAAAGCTGGCGATGGAAGTCGAGATTTGGAAAATGCCCAATACGTATTGAAATAAATTTCAAAATATGCGTGATGTAAGATCTTGATGCCAACATTGTCTTTTTTACAGCCATCCCATCACACACCCAGGTTGCGTTCCCCCAGGCCGAGGATTTCCTCCCCCCACCCCCGCCGGCCTCCAAGTCCGCCTACTCCACCCCTGGTGATGATTTCCTCCCACCCCCTCCCCCCGAGCTGACAGGCGGGGCCCAGCAGGACCTGCCCATGCCCCCTCCCCCACCCCCGCCGGCCCCCGTGACCATGCAGACCTACAACGAGCCACGCCCCCCTCCCCAGCCCCAGCCTGCGTACAACAAGCCCGCCTACCAGAGGCAGCAGAACGGGGGTGCCACGGCCGCTTACAAGCCCATCCCCCCGGAACCCCCTAAGAGCTACGGTGGGGGGTCGGCCATCCCAAAGCCCACGGACCAGCCCATCAGTGCGCCGGCTAAGAAGGGAACAGAGGCGGAGATAGACGCACTGACCAACCTGCTGATGCAGAATATGGAGGTGACTCCTGACGAAGGAGAGTTCTTTGGTAAGCTACATGTACAGAGGGTGAAAGTACGTGTAATCACAGTCGAATATGGGAGATTTAAACCTAACTCCTTAAGAAGCATTTTTGCCAGGATGCAACCTCAATCCTGCAAGATCCTCCAACTGCCTCCATGAAAAATTGCTTACAGCCCCAATCCTCCAAAATTATCCGTTATTTCTTGAATGCGGTCCTTGGAGGGGGGACCACTGCCTCATTCCTGCAAACTCCTTTGGCGATCACTGTCAATATGTTGAGGCAGAGCCAGTGACATCCTGGAACAGTGCAGAGAATTTCAAGTCAAATATAGGCCTAAATTTATGCACGGCTGAGCATAAACAACACAAGGTCCAGCCCAAGACCTTGGCATAATGCCTCCTCCAAAATCAGCCACACATTTTTGCCATATAGCCTCAATCCTGCAAAATCCTCCATTTTGCAAAGAAGATTTGGAGGATTTGGGAAGGTTAGGGTGAAATCACCATTTTCAACATACTGTAACTGCTGTTTAATGCAATAAACTTGAATTCTGACAGAAGCCACACAAAGCAGTTGATAGGAAGTCCACTATAAGCAAATAAGTTTTTTCCTTTGAAAAGAAGTTGTTTAAAGTTAGTTGAAAATCAGTCATTCTAAAAGTTTTGCAGGACTGCGGAATAAATAAATTTGCTGTGTGAATGCTACTGGTAATCTGCAAAAGTAAAAGTGACATTACAAATTTAAAGTTCCATCTTATTAATAGTTAATGCGGTACCCGCTGCTATGTACATCAGATTCGAACCAGCCAACCAATCCCGTTAGCTCGGTGGTCGAGTGGTAAGACATCTGCACTAGAAAGCAGGAGGTCGTGGGTTCGAGTCCCACCCGAGTGATTTTTTCCAACTTTCACTCGGGAGGTACCGGTAACACACTGAGTATACAGTGTTTAAACGTCAGTGAAGGGCAAAACCTATTTTGATTATCACCCCGACGCAAAAAGTAAAAAAAAAAAAAAAAAATCCATCTCATTAAAAATTTAAAGTTGTAAGAAACAAGTAGAGTGTATGTAGTTCCCCCAATATTTACAAGTGTACATTTAATTTCCGATCAATTATGCACAAACTGATGCACCAATTCTCTCGTGAATTATCCCAACCTTTGACCTTCAACGTCCCAGGAATCTGTGCCAAGTGCGGCCAGAAGGTCGTGGGAGACAACAACGGCTGCACGGCCATGGACCAGGTCTACCACATTGACTGCTTCACCTGCGACACCTGTCATACCAAGCTGCGTGGCTTCCCTTTCTTTGCCCTGGAGGGCAAGGCCTTCTGCGAGACCTGCTACATGGTACGAAGACTTTTTTTACCACGCTTGGCATATTTTTTTTCAAAAATTCTAAAATTTTCATTCATCCTCACCATCCTGAATCCAAAAGAAAATCCAACAATTAGCAAAAGAAGAACTTTTGTCGTAGATCATACCTTCTTTTTTTATTTGGAAACAAATCACCTTAAAATCCATTCATCCCAAAAGTCCTGAATTCAAAATCTCACAGTGAGAAAATGAACTATTTCCACCTGTTTGAGTGGATTCGGACACTGATCACTCACAAATCCACTCATATCAACCTCATTGGATACAAATAAATAGCAGACGAAAACACCCTTATGTACATGTATAGTCAGCTTGGGGAGTCAGGTTGGCGTAGTGGTACTTTCCTCGCCTTCCACCGCTGTGACCCGGGTTCGAATCCCGCCTGGGCCAATATGAGGTTTGGGTTTTCAGTCCCTACCTTCTGGGCTTTTCCTCCCACCTCTAAACCTGTAATTTCTTCTCATTGTCTTCTCTCCACAGGTTTCTTCAGGCTTGCTAGCTACAGTACCTAGGGCGCTTTTGAGGAATCCTTGGTTTCATTACCAGAAATGATTAATAATAATAATAATAATAATGTTCTGATGGATTTTGACATTGGTCACCCTCAAATAGGTTATTCCTCATATTAAACATAACACTCCTTAATCAAAGAAATTTCAACAAAATTTTACTACTTTCATAAAGGCTTTTACTACTTTCATAAAAGATGTATTTGTACAGCTAAGGATAAAAGGATAATGCTAGACCATCCCTTGAAGTGTAGCAATAGATAAATACATGTCTGTAGTTCCATATTTTTAGTTTTTCCATTCCTGTTTTTTTTGCAAGATGAACCGCACTGAGTAAAGGTTCCTTGTTATTGTTTCCCTTTGTTATCTAGGACTCACTGGAGAAGTGTTCTACCTGTTCTAAACCAATTACTGAGAGGGTAAGTTTGTACAAATTTATATAATTGGGGGAATACCTTAGATTTGAACAAGTATTTGAATTTAAAACTTCACAGTTGGTAGAGCACCGGAACGGCAATCCGGAAGTCGCAGGTTCAAACCCGCTCCAGTCAATTTCTTTGTTCCTTTGTGGTTTATTTGATACATGTACCTTTAAAATTGTTTCAATTTGTACATTGAATTGTACATGTTTGTTTTCATTTTGTTTTCCCAATTTTATGTTCTATGAGAGCTTGTGATCCTGAATCCCCTAGCCATGACATCCTAGCGTTTTATCTAAAGTGCCCTCATGCATCCGTGAGATTTAGTGTCGGATTAGAGTTACGGTGACAGAACAGTTCAGCATCCTAATTTACATTCAGCTATACAGGGTGTTTCAATAAAAAGGAAACCCAACTTTGAAGAACCAGTATGGACAGACTAAATGTTTACTGGCTATAAAACTGGTATCATCTGAAAGCGTAATCTCTAGGCTTTTCAATGATACCTTGTTTACATTTCCAGGGTCATGCATCACTGAGCGCCATTGTCATGAGATTTTGATGCAAATTTGCAGTTGGTTCACTTTCATGTCAAACACAATAGGCATGGTGTGCATGAGAATAAGTATTCAAGAAGAAGACATGAGTGCATAAAAAGAAACCAAAAATCAAGTCGGGTTGGTTTCAAAACTGGATTTTATTGTTTGTCATGAATTTCTCGTTTTGACCAAGCCAAGTTCAAAACAATGTGCCATTTTCCCGAGGATTAACATTCAAGCCATTTCACAGACATTTCCTGTGCCCAGTGGTTTTTTTATGAAAGTGAACAAACTGCATTTTTGCATCTAATTTTCGAGACAATGATGCTCAGTGATGCATGACTCAGAAAACCTAAACACAGTATCATTGAAAAGCAAAGAGATTACGCTTTAAGATGATACCAGTTTTATAGCCAGTAAACATATCGTCTGTCCATACTCATTCGTTGAAGTTGGGTTTCCTTTTTTTTTTAAACACCCTGTAGTATATTGTGATGTTTAAGTGTACAGCAGTTACATTGAGCCCAATGTCTGTATTGCAGATTTGTGCAGTTATCCTACCCAAACTACCCTGCTAAACCCGATTTCTTCATGAGACATTTCTTAAATCTTTTGTAGATCTTGAGAGCCACGGGCAAGCCCTACCATCCCCACTGCTTCACCTGTGTAGTCTGCGGCAAGAGCCTTGACGGAATACCCTTCACCGTGGATGCCACCAACCAGATCCACTGCATTGAGGACTTCCACAAGTGAGTTCCGCTTGATACAAATAATCCTCCCGTCTTATTTTACACGGTGGAGTTTGCGTCGGGAAGATGTCAATTGTATATTGGGTTTTGAACTCCGCCTCCTGCACTAGTAAGCAGGAGGTCGTGGGTTCGAGTCCCTCGCAAGTCCTCGGACAACACTGTCTTCTTTGATTTACTGTCTTACTCAAGAGAGGTTTTTAGATGTTTAAATCAGAAGATCTTGTATGTCTGTTTGACCCATACTCATGTATCATCCATAGTTATAAAAATGCTCAAATTACTTTTAGTATTTAGGCCACGTCAGCTGTTCAGCACCATATTTTGTTTGTGATCCAAAGTTCATTTGCATTCTCCCCACCCAAATAGACATACATGTAGAATTCGTTTGCCAGTGTTTTTCCACTTCAAACCCAATTGACCTATCGCCGTTTGTGGAGCTTTTGTACACTAAGTTTTGTTTGTCTCAGAAATGTGCGTTCCACGTCCATTTGTATATCATGTAATTGGACAATATTTCGCAAGCTGCGTTGACATGATTCTACCACGATTCTACCACGATTCTACCATGATAGGTTAATTATAACCCAATCTGATTACATATCAAAAGGTTCATATTTAGTGTACATGTACATGTATATTAAGAACATCCGTTATTGTTTTGGGCCTGCAATAAAAAAAAGAGACAAATAAAAAAAAAAATCTTACAAAAGCAGTAGCTTTTCTGGTGAAAGTACAGTTACAAAACAAATATGTAATAAACAAGAATTATTTTCTTGAAATTCTCCTTTCCCCTTCGAAAAAAAACTTGCAAATGAATATAATCAGTGCCAAATATTGTTTTAGGTTGATATTTTTTCCCAACAAAGGTAGTTTGCAATGAGTGAAATGGACGGTAAACATCATTTTGGTTATTCATAAGATGGAATTTGCGACAGGGGTGATGTAAGTCAGTATTAGGTTTTGTCCTCCACCGACGTGTAAGAGTGGTAAAACATCTGCACTAGAAAGCAGGAGGTCATGGGTTTGAGTCCCACCCAAGTCTCACTTTCACTTGGGAGGTAACACACTGAGTATACAGTGTTCATGCATGCAACTTTTCCTTGGATCCGCTGATTTCCTCGTTTTTTTACTTCTCATGAATGCCATTACAAATTGAAAAACACTGTACAAAGTCCTGTGTGTTAATTTGTATAAATTCCAAATTGCATGCCTTGATCCTCCTATGGAAACATGCATTGTCAGCCTTGTTATTACTTGGGTCAATATTGGTCAAGACTCCCTTTGGTTTGTACACAGTATGCCAGGAGGTGAGGAAGAACATTTTAACCGTTGGTGACCTCTTAATAGTAGGAGGGTTAGTGTTAATATATACTGGTGAAGGGCAAAACTTACTATTTATCATTTTGGTTGATCAGATTTCCCCATGACTGAAAGTGTGCAATGGATAACATTACTAACAAACATCATTGTGGTTGACCTTTTTTACCCCATGACAGGAAGTTTGCACCGCGTTGCAGTGTCTGCCTTCAGCCCATCATGCCAGAACCGGGCCAGGAAGAGACTGTCCGCATCGTGGCCTTGGATCGCAGCTTCCACGTCGGCTGCTACAAGTGTGAGGTATTAAGACACTGAGCTAGACAGGGTGACAGACACCCAGATAGGGGAGAGATTAACCCATTAGGCTCTGTAACCCCCCCCCCCCCCCCCCCCATAAAAAAACTCCCTGTCTGTTACTACTTGTACTGTACCAAAGCATCCCATCAATATGGTTTTATGGATTTATGAAGGAGTAAATAGAAAGTAATGCAATGTTATACAATATGTAATGCAATGTAATACAATGCAGTGCAATGTAATACAATGTAATACAATGTAATACAATGTAATAAAATGTAATAAAATGTAATACAACGTAATGCAATACAATGTAATACAATGCAATACAATGTAATACAATGTAGTGCAATGTAATACAATATAATACAATGCAATACAATGTAATACAATGTAGTGCAATGTAATACAGTGTAATACAGTGTAATACAATGTAATACAAAGTAATACAATGCAATACAATGTAATACAATGTAATGCAATACAATATAATACAATGCAATACGATGTAATACAATGTAGTACAATGTAATACAATGTAATACAATACAATGCAATACAATGTAATACAATGTAGTGCAATGTAATACAGTGTAATACAATGCAATGCAGCGTAATACAATGTACAGAAAGTGCAAATGGGTTAAAAGCATTGGACATTTGCTGACCCTTTACCATAATTATTTGCCTCAACACAAACGGATATGCTCAGTCACATTTTGTACTGTTAGGGCATTCTGACTTTCTTGAAGAAATTTGACAATGTGTTTACGTGAGAGATAAAAATTGGTTGTTGCTAATTCATCTCATCTGAACATTTTTGTGTCCTAGTTAAATGTCTTTGTTGGAACTTTTATGGAGGAAAATCACCAAATACAGAACAATAAATAAAGCACTTGTAGAACAATAATGAGAAATTTTATAAGCGTTTATATCTTCTCATTGATGAATTGTTGGGTGAAGTTAAACTTTCGATCAAATTCTCTTCTTTGTGGCAGACATTTTATATTGCCATGGAAACACATGAAACCATTGTAATTGTGATAACAACTGTTGCCACGTGGATAATTTTAGGTATTTGGGGTCCACTTTATTCCGGTCCCTGCTACATCTGACACATATGATTTTGTAATTCTCGATGCACTCCTTAATGCAGTCATCCTCCAAGAGTGATTATGTGAAGCTAACGACACACCCAACAAAGAAAACTTAGTTTGAAGTCATTTTTAATGACAATTGAATGGCAAATTACAAAGTTCAGAAGTCTCAGGGACAGAAGAAAAATGGGGTCCGCTCATAAGTCCGACACCTCATAGCTCCGACGCTTCATAAATCCGACAAAATCGCATCCCCTAACCAAATAAAGGCCCATAAGTCGGATGCCTCATAGGTCCGAGTCGGACCGTCCGACGCCTCATAAGTCCGAAGTCTCATAGGGCCGACGCCTCATAGCTCCGACGCCTCATAGCTCCGACGCCTCGTAAGTCCGACAAATTAAACGCCTCGTTTTTCCGACGTCGAACTTATGAGGCATCAGACTTATGAGGCGTTGGACCTATGAGGCAGAATAAATACATTTTATGCCTCATAAGTCCAACGCCTCATAATCTGACATTTCGGACTTCTGAGGCGTCGGACCTATGAGGCGTCGGACTTATGATACGGCCCCAGAAAAATGTCACTTTGGACCCTAAATTTACAGAATGACCCAAATTCATACTAAGATGTCCATTAGATTGCACTAATCTTCATTTCCATCCCATTCTTCTCGTCCCCGCCCACTCTTTTCGTCCCCGCCCACCTGGTCAGGATTGCTCCGCCCTGCTGTCCTCGGAGGCCGACGGTCGTGGCTGCTTCCCATTGGACGATCACATCCTGTGCCGAGACTGCAACACAAAGCGTGTCCAGGCCCTCACCGCACCGTAGACAGACAAACGCAACAACGCCAAACTATCAAGACGAATACGCTGTAATAGTTTACGTATTTTTTTAAAACTCTTGTAGTCAGTTGACCCATTTTGTCCCATCTATGAAAAAAAAAATACCTCGGTTTAAAAACAGGGAAAGTGGCCAGTTTGTTTAGAAAAAGGTAGATATTTGTGGCTTGTTCTGTTTAAACCAGACGCTTAGGTGCAGAGCTTGAAAAGAAGATACAATTAAAAATGATGAAGGCAAACTTTTTTTTTGTAGATTTTCGGTTTCCAGCAGATTTGTGATCCTAAATTTGTCAAAATTATACCGTAAAAATTTCAAGCCATAATTATTCCTATGAAGGTGATTTTTTTGGTCAGTGACTAAGCAGAGTTCAACTCTGGTAAAATGGTCAATCTTGAGTTCCTCTTATCTTGGAAAATTGTATATATTTCACTTCACTTTGTTTCAAGCGCAATACAGCTGGTGAAGGCAGTTCACACATATCCGGTTCGTTAGTAAAAACGTCATACACGCGCGCGCACCACTGATTACTAGCGCCCATTGGATAAACGCTTGAGGTGCGTTAGCTTCTGGTTCCATTTGTGCTATGCTACACCACGTGGTTGAATTGAGATAACGTCACACTAACGAACCGGATAGACTCTGTGCGTGAACTGGAGATAATGCTTTGTGACCACTTCCAAGACCCCTGTTGGGAGGGACACACTATACGCACACACACTAACTCGTGCGAGTATGACGCATATTTGCGTATCCGAATGTGCGCAAACCCGTAGCGTGTGCGCGCGAGGGTCAGGCGTTAGCAGAAATGCGTTCTGAAACCGAATTCCATTTTAGTCGACTTTAGTCACTTTGGATACATTTTGGTCCGACATGCCATCGGAGATGCAGCATAGCTGAAAAAATGTAAATGAGATATGACATTGTAGCAGTGAATCACCCTTGTAAATTTTCTGTCAGCGTTATAGAAAGAGTAGTCAGGGTTTTCAATAATGAAAACTGCATAGTTTAGATTAATCTAGACTTAGCTTTCTCTAACTATGCAATTAATAATCAATAAAAGTAAATACTCTTTTTGCATCACTGTGGTGTGTACAGTTGAATGTTGTGTAAGTTTCAACCAACATGTTGGACAACCAAATATAATTATTGAAAAACAAAAATGTAAAATGTCGTATTATAAGGGGATATTGAGTAGACGTAAACGAAAACTTGATCTGTTCTCAAAAGTCACAGCAAAAGTAAAGTTGACAGTACCGTAACTTTATCATCTTGAGAACCCAAAATTTATCACAAAAGTGAAGCTTATCTTTAGGGTTATGTGTTGTATTATTAAAGCAATATACATTTATTTTCATTGTTTAAAACATAACGAGCAGTACACGCACATCAGTTTTGCTTCACCTTGAGTTGTGTTATATTTTTAGTTGTGGACATAGAGGGCGCTGTTGCAGTTTTTTTAAACCATTAGTACTAAGGCATTGAAGTTGATGGGACAAGCAAGCCGTGTTTCCTAGATTAGCAAAATGCTACAAAAATTTGGCAATGTTCCAGCTGTGGCATCATTCAAAACAGCTTTGCTGTAGTTTGGGCCAATAGTATTTTTACATTATACAGTCGACTCTCGTTAGTACAAACTCTGTTAATACAAAATTCTGGTTACAACAAATATAAAGCCTTGGTCCCGACTGTGCATTTATGTGCACAATGAATGGGACTGATGTTCCTCTTAATACAAAATTCTGATATAACAAACAATTTGGCTAGGTCCAAACGAGTTTGTTATAACGAGACTCGACTGTAGTCAAACTTGACTGTTGTGTCCAAAAAAAAAGGAAGAATATACAGTTGCAGTATATGATTTTTTTTCTATTGATAGTTTTTTTTTCTTCTGTACAGTTGGTTTTCGTGTTGAAAAATATAATATATTATAGGCATTAGATTCTTTCCATTTCTGTTTCAGTTCAGCTTTAGTGTTGATTTAATATTCATATGAAACGACAACTCCTTTTACTATTTGGACTTAAAAACAACCTCCAAAAATTAACATGTGTGCTTTGAGACTTTTGCTTTGGTCTGCTTACTGATTTGTTTTCTTTAAACAATATATCATTTGCTTTCACTGTTAGTTTTTGTGTGATTACTGCATTTACTGTCTTTGATTACTGTCTTTGCATTGAGTTTTATTTTATTTCAGCTGTAAAATTTAATTAAAGTATCTTTGGGAGATCAAGTTTACCGTTTCCTCAATTTTGCCCAAGGTAACCATTTAGTTTCTGAAAGCATATTGTTCTTTGATAACTTTTAGATTTTTAAAAGAAATTTACACGATGTATACTCTTTTTTTTCTCAAATGGGTTTTGTTTAATCAAATTAAATTGTCCCATACTGTCTGCGTTGTTCCTCTCCCACCAAATATGAACATTTATCATTATATTTTAGATTAAAAATAGAACAAAATCTTGTATTTGTAATTAAAACTTCTCTATTAAAATAAGATTTGGTAAAATTTCTTCATATATTTAATTTGTACTGTTACCCAAACTATGATCTCTACAAAAAAAAATGTAGGACAAAAAAAGTCCATCACACATTCACTGTGCCTGTTCTCCGAAATTTATGCAAAAAAAGGTTGTAATATTGCAAGCACCTGATTACCAAAAAAAATATCAACCAGAAAAGTTTCCTTTTTTTCTATTAAGAATAGTTATTGTGATGATTTAGCTGTATAAAAAAAGTAATTCTAAGTCGAACTAATTATCTACTGTCAGTACCTAATAATAGTATAATGCTCCTTTTGTTTCATAATTATGCTGAAATACGCGATATTTATTAATTTGTTAATAAAAAAATATACTAATACTAATACAATTTTGTTGTAACTGAAGTTTTTGTTTTAGTCACCAAACGTTCGGTTCTCTCATCTTGTTTCCATCAAGTACAAAAGTCAGCATAAATGTTTTCCAGATCTTGAGAACTTGGGGCTTCAAAGGCCAATGAAAGTATATCTCCGTAGACCACTCAATTGTCCACTCTTTAGCGCGCATGCTTCAATGACTTTTTTTTAATTGATCGAATCATATTTTTTGGAAGGACGAAGATTTCACTTTTGCCAAAGGCCTTGCAAAGTTCGCCGAAGAGAGACAAATGAGAAAAATCGATTTATTGACGAATCATGACCCCGCGGAGAATTCAAGGACAAGAAGGTTACCATTGTCCTACAGACGACCCGTCATTTTTTGGAAGAGGAAAACCTCACACAATGCTTATGTTTACATGACGCGTAAAATGCCAAACAAAGGACACATTATTTTCCCCGTGGGGCGGCTCTGGAACTTTCGAAAAGCGATAACATAGGCCTAGGTCCAATTTCTTGGGAGACTGTACTAACGTCTTGCGAAAAAAAAACGTGCAAATCGAACAGTCGAAGGACGGACACGCCGAGTGAACAACGTCAGCAAAGAATCAGACATTGACTAATTGTCGATCGTTCGACATAACAGCTGGATCGAACGACCGCAGCATGATGGCATGAAGTAATCTACTGATGTTTGCGTCGAATGTGGCTGACCCGGTTACCGCCTCCATATACATGTAGTAATCACTAGGCTTGACGTCTGCGTCCAATCGATTTACGTCTTCGTAGCCGTTTTGACGTCTGCGTCGAATCGTTTGTGACGCCCGAACCGAATCTCTTGACGTATCAATTTACGTCCTCGGTGAGAATCGTTTTGACGTCTGCGTCGAATCGTTTGACGCCTGCACCGAATCCTTTGACGTTTGTACCAAATCATTTGACGTCTGAAGCAAATCTTTTGACGTCTGCGTCGAATCGACTGCACCGCACCGTTTGATATACATCTGCATCGAATGGATTGTTGCCGTCTGCCTCGAATGGATTTTATCGGTCATTTACGAAGAAGGCCGATCATGCGTTCTGCGATTCGGGGCTTAAAACCGAATAGAAGCTGGAAACGAAATTCGATTCGGTAGGGCCCGAAAAGCCCCGAGGAATGGTGAGGTTCAAACGGTGTCACTGTCACGTATGAACCACGTTGCCGCGGCGTGCAACCATCTGCCAGAGTGCCACGTGCACTGATGACTTGTACAGGTGTATTTTCTAACGGCTTACCGTTACATTCTAATAAGCTCACAGGTTAGGCAATTCTATTGACAAAGGCCGGAGAGTGAGACACAACCGCTATCGTTATCGGGGGTTCGTTGACAAAGCCGAACCCAGCTCTATCTAAGCTCTATGGTTACCTTGAGACCAAGGTGGTTTCAGCGCAGTGGACCACATGGTCGCGAGGTGCTGACACCGGAGAAAACCTTGCACTTGCATGACTTGCAGTACCCACACCTCAGACGCCGCAGTGGTACCTGGTACCTGCTATTACTTTTAGACGAATTTCGTGCTGCTTACTTTCGGAAGATCAAAGAGAAGAGCTATAGAGTATAAGGATGAGGTAAGAATAAGAACCGAACTTTGCCTTTTTATTGTAGCGCTAGCAATGAAACAGTAAACAAAAAACTCATGGCGACCTCACTGGTTGAATTTCTGTTCACCTCCATGTATGTATATAGAAACTGCGAAAGTGCAAGTTTGATAAAAAGAACCTCATTGGAAAGAATGTTGCAACCTGACGCCACTAGCGCTTCAGCGGCATGTGTACAAAGTCTATAGAGAGTCATTTCATAACAAAATTGGGAATATTTTTCAGTCCCAGTCCCAGATTCATGTCTTGTCATCATTTTTGCAATGAATGACCTGCATTGAGATGATTATATGAAGCAAAAAGTGGCGTCAGGTTGCAACATTCTCTTCACATCTTTGTTGCAGTACATGCCTTGGGATTCCTGTGGGGATTCGAAGGTATAAGACCAAAAATATCAGTGTATGGTAGGACGTAGCTGTATATTTAAAATAGATATCTTTTATTTCCAGTTTTATCGCATAATAGTATGGAAACATGCATTGTCAGCCTGGTTAATAGTATTACTTGGGTCAATATTGGTCAAGACCCCATTGGTTTATACACAGTATGCCAGGATGTGAGATACAAACATTTTGACCATTGGTGACCTCTTAAATGGGAGGGTTCGTGTGCACTTTCAGGTAAATGTAACTGTCCCATTGCCCTTTCACAAATTAGGAAATAAGTGCCCTGAACTCAGGAAGGATAAGCTTAGCCAAAAATAAGAATCAGCTACAAGCCTAGGTGCTGCACATTGCAAACTTGCTTTTGGCCTAAAGTTGCTTTTATTTTTTTGCTGTTATTTTCTGCTTATTAGCAGCTTTGAAAAAAAAAATGTGCACACAGGGGTGGATCCAGGATTTTTTTGCGGGGGGGGGGGGGGGGGGGGTTCATCAGCAGAAAAGTCTTCAATGTAGACAGGTTTTTTTTCTTCGAACACTTGGCCAATTTTTTTAAATGAATTTCTATGAACAGACTTTTGCTTTAAAAGACTCTTGATTAAAAGCACTATGAAAATTAGGTTCTTTGAAAAATTGCTGATTATGGTAAGAGTAGACAAGGCATTTATTATTTTCCTTCATCAAATTTGGCCCCAGCTTGGAATTATTTAAACACAATTAGTAATTCACATGCTAAACCAAAGTTTGCATAGTGAGATATTTTGGGATGAGGAGCTTGTGAATTTAATTGGCCCTAATATATCAAATTTTTCGATTTGCTTTTATGTGTCTGCATACAGGACCAGAACTTGCTCGCGGACAAGGACCATTAGCACCTCGTCCCAGTCTTCCTACATCGATATTCCTTCCCCGGTTGGCCGCCGGATCCGCAACGAATCAATCCAAAGTCGTTGCTCCATCCAAGACCCCGCTCTCCTCCACGCCGGGGAGATAGTTCAACTCCTAGATGACGACTTCTCTACCTTAGACCCCGCCCAGCCCAAACGGCCGCTATGGCAGCTCGTCCTGCTGAACATGGTCGTCTTGGGGATCGAGTTCTGTTACGCTGTGGAGACGGCGCTGGTCACCCCCCTTTTGCTACAGATGGGCCTGCCCAAGTCGCTCTACAGTCTGACCTGGATTGTCAGCCCCACCCTGGGGTTCTTCCTGAACCCCCTGGTGGGGTCACTCAGTGACCGCTGTTCCTGTGCCTGGGGGAGGCGCCGGCCGTTCATTCTCGCCCTCTGTATTGGGATTGTCATCGGATTCACCCTGTTTCTTAATGGGAAGGATATTGGATTGCTTTCTGGAGATACTGTGAGCAGTGAGTATTAAGAACAGTGATTTGACCCCTTTCTCATTCAGCCTTTCCTATACAGACAAATACAGCAGTTGTTATGTTTCAGAAGATCAACTATTAAAAGGAATTTTTAAAAAGCTGACTTTTTCTTATAAAAAAGGAATTATACCGGTACTTTTTCTTAAAGGAGTCTTTGGATATCATTATTAACTGGAACCATTTTCTAATTAAGCCATACTTTCTTTTTTGAAAAATATATGAAATTTTTCTTGTTATGCCAGTTTTCATTACACATATTCCAAGGAAAATACTTGCTTTTTTGTGTCACCTGAACAAAGTTTTGGGAGACATTAACCAGTCCTAAATTCTGTATGATCGTAGACCCGTATGAATGTTCGGAATTCGGTAAAGTTTTTGAAAAAACTGTATAACTTCTACATGCTTTCATGGATTTTGATGAAACTTGCAGTGACCCTTGGGTGTGAAGACACAATTCTTCATCGGATTACTGAGGTCAAAGGTCATGTGGGGGTCATTAGAGGTCATTGTTCAGATATGCTTGAAATTGTTCTTTGTGTACAGAATTTGATGATTTTGATGTAATTTGCATGGAGTAATATGCATGGAGTGGTTATCACAACTCTTCCGAAATTGGAGGTCAAAGGTCATCTAGGGGTCATCTGAGGTCGTTTAAAAAAGCCCAAAATTTCACTTGTTGGTAAAAGTCAAGGACTTTTTGATAAACACGAACACATTTGAGAAGAGTTGCAGGTTTTTGGCACAAGACAATCATTTTGTTTTTATGAATTGTTTCTACTTGTTGACCATTCGCATTACTTTCAGAATATTGGCTGTCAATGTTTGATTTCTTCTGATGTTTCTAGACCATGCTATTGGGCTGATCATAACCATCGTTGGTGTGGTCATCCTTGACTTCTGCGCCGATTCCTGCGACAGTCCATCCAAGGCCTACATCATCGATGTCTGCAACCTTCAGGACTTGGACAGGGGGCTGAACATCAGGGCTGTCCTGGGGGGTAGGTTGACACACAGGGGGGCGGTTTCAGGGACAAAAGATGGAGATCATGTGATACTAATCGACCTCATGTATATTCATAAGTTAGCTCCTTATTCAAATTAATCAAATCAACATAATGATTTTGAAGTTAAAAATATATTCAGGCTTTCAAGCAGACCCAGGTGAAAAAGTAGGGGAACAGTTGGATCAAACTTTTGAAACTGAAAAAAAAGGACAAAAGTAGGCCTTTGGAGGACAAAATCAGGATATAAGTAGGACTTTTGTGGGCTTTCAGTAGCTTTTGTTGATACTCGTCCATGTTCACAGCATCATGAGCCTCATTTGGCATGCTCTGTACTCATAACACTTGTGCTCCATCCTCAACTAAGCTCTTAGAAGTACAGTTGCAGTACTCCTGCGCCCAAGCCCTTCATTGTGTGATTTACATATGACAGTGCGTAACACTTTTATGAAAAATATTCAGTGAGATTTAATTTTTCAGAGATGTAAGACAAAAAGGAGGAAAAAGTAGGAATTTCAAGAAAAGTAGAAAAAGTAGGAATACTTGAAGGCCTGTAAATTGCCTACTGTGTCACATAATGAGTGGTATTGTTTGTATTGTCCTATGACTATGGAATTAAAACAATGTGCTATTCATAATCAACAAGAATTTAAAACTATTAGTGATTTAGATGAGATATAAAACACGTAATATTTCTGAAGATGCCTTAAATATTCTTTATTCAGGGCAATTTCTAGGCTGAAGTTTCTGTCCAAGTTCAGGCAGGCTTGGACATGTTTTTGTGTAACCTAATGTTTAGTCAATTATGAGTGAATATCTGTGTTTAATTTACAAATGTTCAGACGTTGGTGAAACACAAACTTTGAAAATTATCATTTTTTCCGCAAAGGTCTTGGAGCGGGGGCTGGCTACATCTTCAACAGCATCGACTGGGAGAGCAACGCACTCGGCCAGATCCTAGGCAACCAGTCGCGTGTTGTCTTTGTCTTCACGTTTGCCATCTGCTCGCTGTGCTTCACGCTGACGCTCTTTAGCGTAAAAGAAAAACCACTGGTTGCCTGCAATGAGGACAGCAGCGACACATCCGAGTCGTCACAGTCGGGGAATGGTTACCAGGGATTGGAAGGCGGGGTCCCAAAGTCCATCCCCCAGAAGGAGCTGAGCTATGATTCCATGATTAAGACAAACTCGTCAGCGATCATGAGCCCCTCGCTGAACGACACGCTCTCTTCCAAGGAATCAAAGAGCTACTCTGGATCCAACGGAATGACCTCAAGTAACCCCTCATCTTCCCAACCTCAGAGCCCGGAGACGAGAGACCCCCAGCCCAATGAGGATTCAGTCTCAGTTGGGAGGCTTCTTCTATCTGTGGTGAAGATGCCCCGAGAGCTGAGATGGCTCTGTCTGAATCACTTCCTTGGGTGGACAGGCCTTCTTGCTATTTTCCTCTTCTACACTGATTATGTTGGAGAGGTGGTTTATAAAGGTATGGGACTTCACGTTGACTCGCAAACTACATTTCGTCAATTTTGGAAAGCTGTGAGTTTTTTTAAAAAATCTACCAATCATTGTTTTGGTGATATTTTGTCTCACCCAGGTGACCCTACAGCTCCTGAGGGGTCAGAAGGTCGTCGCCTGTTTGAAGCAGGGGTCAAGATGGGGTCATGGGGAATGGTTGTATTCTCAGCGTCAGTCGTCATTTCTGCAGGTAAGCAGGTTGGATTTCAACAAAGTTGTTTTGACATCGGACCAGCGTGCAATTCATTAGCCTGACTAGCAGGGTAATAAAAAGACCTTGAGAACCATGGGTATGGTACCCATTTTGTGGGTATGGTACCCATTTTGTGGGTATGGTACCCATTTTGTGGGTATGGTACCCATTTTGTGGGTATGGTACCCATTTTGTGGGTATGGTACCCATTTTGTGGGTATGGTACCCATTTCATGGGTATGGTACCCATTTTATGGGCATGGTAACCATTTCAAGGGTATGGTACCCATTTTTATGGTACCCATTTTATGGGAACTTGAATGAGAAGTACCTATTGTAGTGGTGGAAGCTGGCCAGTGCAGCATCTTTTTGAACCTATCACGCAAAGGGGTATGGAAAAGTCCAAATACAATGTACATGAATGAAACTTTGCGTAAATCTTCAAAAACTAAACAATGTTCATATATTTAAATTCACCGAAATAAATCACTGTTAAATTGATTAAAAGTAGAACACTGCTATATCAAAAATATGGCCAAACAAACATCCTCATTGGCTGTTGAGTTTCGTGTACAATTATAATGAGCATTGGGGGGGGGGGGGGGCGGAAATGGCACTGTTACATAGAGATGACTTCTATACTGAAAAACCTTTAATTGACCCATTGTGTTCATTTTAGTAACACTCTACTGTACTCTGAAACTTCCATCAATCTCCGACTTGATTTTCTCGTAGCCTCTGAGTGATAAATCTCTTTTTTTTGTCCAGTTGTCTTGGACAAATTGTCCACCTACATCTCTACCCGTACGGCCTACGTCTGGGGCCAGACGGCGTTTGCCGTTGGCACCGGCTGCATGGCCATCTTGAGCCACAGCGTCCCCGCGACCCTAGCCCTCAACGCGACCTCGGGGCTCATGTTCGCGACAGTCACCACGCTGCCCTTCGGCATCGTGGCCGACTACCACCAAAGCTACCAGGTAATGTGAAAGACCGTTTATGAATGCCGAGAGAAATGGTAGAGAAATGAAAATTTGGCCTTTACCTGAACGCAGAATTAAGCCTAACTCTTCCAGATCTTTCCAAATTCATGATGAAGTTGGATTTTGCTGGATTGAGGAAGTTACAGCCAAGCTACTATTACTTAAAGAGGTTGTGGAATGCTCGAAGACATTTCCGTCATTTTTTGGGTATATGTAGCCTAAGGTGTGATGAAATAAAAACGTTTCTGTCATGAAATGAGTACAAAGGGTACTTTTGAGAGCTATTTTCCAGGTCCCGTTTCGACCCGAACGTGCAATTTGTGTAAAAGTCGTCGCTGCTGGCAGCAAACAAAACACAGTAAATCGTGATGTAATAAACAGGACTTGTTGATGCTACTCTGCATCGGGAGTCCTGTTTATTACGTCACGATTTACTGTGTTTTGTTTGCTGCCCGCAACGACGATTTTTACACAAATTGCACGTTCGGGTCGAAACAGGCATGACAGGACTTGAAAAACAGCTCTCAAAAGTACCTTTTGTACTCATTTTATGACAGAAACAACAGTCGTTTTTATTTCATCACACCTTAGGCTACATATACCCGAAAAATGACGGAAATGTCCTCGAGCATTCCACAACCTCTTTAAATAGACATACCCTAACCTGATGCACTCCTACCTCCACTTAGACTTTGAGATGAAAAACGGTGTCATATTGTTTTAAACTATGACCAAACTTTTTTGAGTGCCCAACCAGAAGCAGGGACCCCACTTGTCCTGCACCCCCCCCCCCCACTTGCAAACTGTAAACCTCTTTATGCCACTTTGTGTAACTATCTCTGATTAGCAGGCATTCTACGTAAGTTTAGTCCAACTCCTGTAAACTTGTAGTTTTCAGTTGAACTTGCTAAAAGGTGGTTCTTGGTTCAGATCCATGCACCATCATGCTTACGGGCGTTTCAATACACTTTCACGGTATTGGTCATTACGTCCTAAATCTGAAGTGAGGTACCCGCTGTGTATCAGATTCGAACAGGCCAGCCGACCCCGGCAAGCTTGATTGTCGAGTGGTTAAAACATCAGCTCGAATAGGCAGGAGGTCGTGGGTTCGAGTCCCACCCAAGTAGACTCGAGATTTTTTCTCATCAGCTATCAGACTGCTTATAAAATTATGCCAGTAAAGGGCAAAACCCAAATGTTTGAAATTCATGATTTTTTTGTCTGACAGACCATGCAGGACAGCGATCGATCGCAGCGTGGCCTGGGCACCGACGTGGCCTGCCTCAGCAGCGTCAACTTCCTGGCTCAGATCGTGGTCTCTGCGCTCCTAGGTCTCATCATCACTGCCGTGGGCTCCAAGCTCGCGATCGTCATCTTCGCCAGCGGTGCGGCCTTCCTTGCGGCGCTTGTCTCGGCCGTGTTTGTCGTTTACGACGTGAAGAAGAGGGAACGGGGTTCAGTCGCCGAACGGCAACCACTCATAACCTAAAACTGTGCTTATTTCAGTTTATCCTTAACTAGCTATTTAGGCCACAACTGGAATACAAGACTACGGCTTGCATTTATACACGCGCCTATGGAAGCGGCTGCAGCCACTTTCCATAGAAATGTGTGTAACGGCTAGCCATAGCCAAGTCATTCGGGCGTGTCCTTAGACTCTTTTCAAGCTACTCTCAGCAGCTGCAGCTGTTAATATTTTATGCAACATTCCAAACAAGCACTACACATTTGCAGACTTGCTCCAATGTATAGGTCTCTCTCAATTGCCGTCATTTCCTACAGACCATCCACGTGCATCGGCATTTTGAGCATCAACTTGCATAACGCGTATCGGCTGCGTCGTATTTTGAACACATTCCGAGCAAAAAGCCCGCGTGTTCGGAACATTTTAAACACTGGGCAATGTGTGCTTGATTGCATAAAATACGCAGCTGCAGTTTGCCTACAGAGATGAGACAAACAGAAGAGACAAGGTACAAAAATCCATTAAACTTAAAAGTGTATTCCAATGTGTTGGCAATTACAATTTATTTTTTACTTTGTACAATTTTATATGAATTTTTGTATACAAAAGATGTGTGACATACAAAATATGCACAAAAAGATATTTCAAATTTATATTAATATTGCCATGGACCAAACTTAATCATTCCAATATTTAAATTTCTAAGTTCATATTGAACCAACGATTCATCTTTTTTTTGTAAAACAGAATTCACTATTAACATAACATTTTATTTCAACAGAACTATCAGCGTACATTTTCAGAAATGTCTATTACGTAGTATAAAACCGTCAAGTTTAAAATCATAATAGACGTTACTTATTAAACATACTTCAACAGAGTGAAAATCTCAAATTTTGATATGAATCTGAATGTTAAACACCATTCAAGGCATTTGTTGCTGCAACATACAGTTTTTTTGGGGGAAAAAATGATATTCATATCCAGAAAGAGTTTTGGGCAATATCAGTTTTATTTAAGTGCCACTTAATGATTGATTTCTTGAACGTTTAAATACCCACTTCAGTTTCGCACTTCAGTTGTGTAATTAGCATGCTGATTGTATAGCATGGGTAAAGCTAAGGTACAATTCTTTCCGCACAAGTTTTCATTTAGGTAAAAATATATTTTCAGTCAAGATTTCACAGACAGCTTTTAATAACAATTAAACATATATTTTTTTCACACAAAACTGAATACCGTGATTGTCCATTTCCAATATTGTGTCGAGTTTATTTTGCTCGTTTATAACCGTTACCTTGGATCAAAGTTCTGCAGATAGATGAGTCTTGAAAGTTGGAACTTCTCTCGACACAGCGGGCACTCGGCCTGTCAAAAAATAATTTAAGTTCTTATTTCAGTTGAACAAGGAAAACTAACTCAACCAGGATTTCAGGCATGCAACTTTTCCTCGGATCAGCTGATTTCCTCTTTTTGTACTTCCCATGTGTGCCATTGAAAATAGAAAAACACTGTACAAAGTCTGGGGAAAATTTGAATTTCCTCTTTTTTTGTGATTTCCCAGTTGCATGCCTGGGATTTGAACCTATGACCTCTGGAGCACCATACTGGTGTTCCACCAACTGAGCTGTCCAGCCCTATGGTCTCCGTGGGCCAGCAAAAGGGGGCACTTTTTTACCACTTTTGAGAGCCCCACGGACGGGACACAGGGCATGTGCGTACTGTACTGGTTGGTATGCACGACTACCTCAATGTGCCAAAGCTATTAGCCACAGCGGCTTTGAGTGAGTGTCGGACGTCGTTGGCGCGCGAATGCATTCAAATTTATCTTTCGATGGTCTCCCAGACTAATCCCCGCCCCAATAACTTTGGATACATTTGTGCACGGAGCCCACTGAAAGTCTCTCAAGTTTGCTGGTCCCAGAGAGCCAGCCTAGTGTTCCCTCTGCACCTATCTCACTGACTGAATGACTGACTGTCACTGTCACTTGCGAGCAGGGCAGTGCTATCGTATAGGTTTACCCTGTAACACCAACCATTCGGCTAAATTGGGCCCATTGTGTAAACAAGATGCAGGAAACAGTTCAAGTGAAAAAGCCGTTCTGAATAGATTGCATAGACCTTTATCATGCTGCCACCATTTTAGTCATGTTCCCTGTATCCAATTAGAGTACTGAATGATGATGCTTTTTGTGAAAAAAAGGAACCAGACTGTTTTTCATTCCAGCCTCGCTTTGGTTACATTGATTTGAATGGGAACAAATCATGATGGCCGCAACATGATGATGGTCTGTAGGAGAATGTGTGCTCTGGGACGAATTTGTTAGTCATTAGGTCACCCACCTTTGTGGAGCACCACTCCGTGATGCAGTGCCAGCAGAAGAGGTGACCGCAGGGCGTGGCCGTGGAGTTGCGTCTGCGCTCGAGACAAAGGGCACAGCGAAGGCGTGGCTCTACAATGCCACCTTCTTCACTAGCTCTGTCCAAAACAAACACACATCAACTGAATGAGAAAAGTTTATCCTTTCTCAAATGTGAAATGGGTACTATTTACTGCGATGTGTGACCAGCGGCCGATTTAAGGCAGCAGCCAAGCACAGTAATCGGTATTTTTCACAAAATTTGAGTTTAGAGCCATGGGTTGAAGTGTTGCTTTTACTTATTTGTGAGGCGTTGTTGCAAAATATGACAAAACTGGGCATAGGTCGAAATGAGGATTTGATGATATTAGGAAAGAGAATGAAATTCTTCTGACATTATTGTTTGTTGCACTTCAATCGGACATTCCGTTGACAAGTTATGGCTGTTTAAAGTTTGCATTTATCAACAGGTCAAAAAAGTTAAACACTGAGGAAAAAGTATTTTCGTTCCCGAGAAAAGACGGTAAAAACCCACTTGTTTACATCGGACACGACGGAGTAGGAATACGTTTTTCGTGTCGTTCTCATTGTACGATAAACACGTTGCGTGTCTCGGGAACAGCGGTGACCAATCACCAATGCAAAAAAAAGTGGTTTCTTCAACGTCCACAAAAGGCGAATTCTTTTACGAATGAAATCACAACTAGCATCCAAACAGCTTGAATTGATGGGGTCGCAAAAGTGGACCCCGAAATTCGTTCTCGCACGCATAATACAAAAACGCCCAGTTTTGAAAGGATAGTTGTGTGGATGTTTATATCCTACTTTTAAATGTTATTTCCGATTAACATCATTTCGTTCAAAGCGCGTTTTGTAGCCCAATTGGGCTGTTTCAGGACCTACTGTCCCATTTAATCTACTTCCGTTTTATACCTCTCATCTTCTGTGACTGACGTATCAGATTCTTCGGCATCCACGGTTCCCCGTCTCATCTTGTAGAGAGAGTACAACAGACTTACGGTGAGCTGCGTGACGGACAACCAGCCCAGTAGATGGAAGCTTGGTCGCATGCTGCTGGCGCTCAGGTTTCTACGAACCATTAACTGCATTCAAACAGTGGGGAAAAGTAGCAATACTTTGTATTTCAAAAAAGTGATAATAAAACAAGTGTATGTGTCCATCAGTATTGGTTCTCAAGACTCACACTGATGTTTCAATTTGTGGAAATGAGATCAAGTGACAGTATCGAGTGATGAAAGATAAATATGAGGAGAAACAAGAAAAAGTCGAAAGATCCTTCGTTTTTAATTTAATACTAGATATAAATATAAGATTTTAGGCTTTGTATGGAGGAGTATCAGTATTGTTTTGGTTTGCGGTAACACCATGTGGTAATAACTACTGCTTAGAAGATATTTAGTTCTGAAAAGAACTTGTCCTGCTTAGTATCAACTTTCACTACGTAGTTTTAGCTCACAGCCAACTGACACACCTGAGCGAGCAGGACACACTATGGGCATCCCACTCCAACACAATGCCAACTGACAACCAATCAGAATCCACCAACACAAGCACTCCCAATCCTAACACAGCCTACTTAAGGAGCAGCATCTCCAACTCTCTTCAGTCTCCTGACGATGACTAGAGCAGGCCAGTTGAAACGTTGAGACCAAAGATCTTTTAGAACTTAAAGCAGGACTGTTCTTATCAGAACTAAACAATACTTAGCAGAAGTTGATAATAAGCAGGACAAGTTCTTTTCAGAACTAAATATCTACCGAGCAGTAATTATCACCACATGGGAATACCGCAAACCGAAACGATAGATATAAATAAGTATATAAAATTGTCACAGTTGTATAATAGATCAAGGTGCCTGTATGAGAACACCTGAAATTCAGAACTAAACAACACAAAAGCCTAAGACATAGAATAAGAAATTCCAAGAATCAAGTAGATGTTCAATCCTTGCACTGTTATACTTACATAATGAATACCAGTCATTCGTTTGGCGACATGGTAGAACACCCCTCTCAGGTAGAACAGAGCAATGTGGGTCCTCTGTAAGATCATAACTGCTTGTCTCAGTATGGGAACACACTGGGCGATGCGCTGCCTGACCTCGGGGCTCAACCCAGCTCTCGCCCGCTCCGATTCTAAAAGTTTGGGAATGTAGGCAAGCAGCCTGTCCAGTAGATAGGGTGAGCAGGCATAGAGGAGTACGAGCGCCAGACGTCTCTGGATAATATGACGGGGTGAAAAACGATTAATGAGTATATAAAAAGGATTCTGTTTTTTGTTGTTGCAAAGATAATGTGAATGGAGAGGGTGAATCTAGAAACAAAAACTGCTTAAACAAAATCAGCCTGCATGATCAATTTTTAAAGGTAGAGTAGATCATTTGCAGCTATCCCAAAAGTACTTGACGAAACTATTTTGAAAAAGCTTACTTGGTTTAAAGATATATATTGGCACTAAACTCCCTGTGAAATTATTCCTTCTGGCATGCTGTCATTTTGAAGAAAACAATAAGAGAAGGCCATTTCCAAATTGTCATTCGTTGTGATATCTGCTGCTATATCAGATTCGAACCAGCCAGCCAACCCTGGCAAGATCGGTGGTTCGAGCGGTAAGAAATCTCCACTAGTAAGAGCTCATGGGTTTGATCCCAAGACAAGACTGAATATACATTGTTTATGAAATTATGTCAGTGAAGGGATAAACCCAATTTTAAATCTAGCAGTGGAGAAATAGTGTCCATTGTCGAACTCTACAACAGTGAAGCTGTTTTACCTTTGCAGATGGGACAGCCCGGCGCGTGGGATCCACTTGAAGGATATTGACATATTCCTCACCTAACGTCTGATAGCCTGTACAAGACACGGGAGAAAAAGCCTCACATTATTGACTTTAAAAAGCCTTTCAATTTCAGTGCCAACGAAATAAAGACACTTGAAGCTCAGTTTGTAGAACTCCAGTATGGCATTCTGAAGGTTGCATATGTTTGAATCTAACTCCAGTGAACTTTCTTTGTTCAACCTGTACTTAGTTCAGTTGTTCGTCAACAGCAAGTCATTATTCAATCGAGCACTTGCTTCTAGGGGCAGTGAATAGCTCTATGGTTGCAGCAAAGTGTCCTGCTAGAGAACACAAACCTCATGATCACTAGTTGTAGCACCTATGGGGTGTACTGGAGTTTGCCAGTTTGAATCCCACTCTGGCTACTTTCCTGCTAGTTGTAGCACCTATGGGGTAAACTGGAGTTAGCCAGTTTGAATCCCACTCTGGCTACTTTCCTGCTAGTTGTAGCACCTACGGGGTGTACTGGAGTTTGACAGTTTGAATCCCACTCTGGCTACTTTCCTGCTAGTTGTAGCACCTATGGGGTATACTGGAGTTGGCCAGTTTGAATCCCACTCTGGCTACTTTCCTGCTAGTTGTAGCACCTATGGGGTATACTGCAGTTTGCCAGTTTGAATCCCACTTTGGCTACTTTCCTGCTAGTTGTAGCACCTATGGGGTGTACTGGAGTTAGCCAGTTTGAATTCCACTCTGACTACTTTCCTGCTAGTTGTAGCACCTATGGGGTATACTGGAGTTTGCCAGTTTGAATCCCACTCTGGCTACTTTCCTGCTAGTTGTAGCACCTATGGGGTGTACTGGAGTTTGCCAGTTTGAATCCAAATCTGACTACTTTCCTGCTAGTTGTAGCACCTATGGGGTATACTGGAGTTTGCCAGTTTGAATCCCACTCTGGCTACTTTCCTGCTAGTTGTAGCACCTATGGGGTGTACTGGAGTTTGCCAGTTTGAATCCCACTCTGGTTTCTGCTAGTTGTAGCACCTATGGGGTATACTGGAGTTTGCCAGTTTGAATCCCACTCTGGCTACTTTCCTGCTAGTTGTAGCACCTATGGGGTGTACTGGAGTTTGCCAGTTTGAATCCAAATCTGACTACTTTCCTGCTAGTTGTAGCACCTATAGGGTATACTGGAGTTTGCCAGTTTGAATCCCACTCTGGCTACTTTCCTGCTAGTTGTAGCACCTATGGGGTACACTGGAGTTTAACAGTTTGAATTCCACTCTAGCTACTTTCCTTCGTCCAAGCCACAATAATTTAGAATGTTTATCAACAGCAAGCTTTTCATTTCACTTGAATGAGCAACTACTCCCTGAAAGAGTGTATCTGTCAGAGTAAAGTGGCTTGCCCAAAGACACAACTGCAAACAGTTCCTCGGCTGCTGGTTTGAATTTGGAAGACTCTTCTGCTGCATTTCAGCATGACAGGTCAATCGGAAATTCCATATCGTTTATTCTTGTAAATAAGGAACATATGATAAATTTGTACCTGCAATGGTGGTGAGGCCAAAGTACAGAACATCTCCCAAGACGTCCAGTTCCTTCCTCCATCGGGCCCACACTCTTGCTCCTTGGATAAAATGATAAAAACCAACAATAGTCCATTTTGCAAATGCATGACATATGGTTTTATGCCAGTCTTAACCTGTTTTAATATCAGGTACTGCCCCGTTGAATGCCTAATGTAAAAAATACAACTTTTACGGATGTAAAAATATAAACCTACAAAACTAAACGTGTGCCTGACGCAACTTTTTCCCCACGCGCTGAAACATGGTGCCGCCCATGGCAGAAGCACGTGACTGCACGCAGTGCCGAACTTACGCACAGGGTGCCGAATTTCCGGACAACACACGGACGTCTTTCAAAGTCACGTGACATTCCCAATACAGGATCGGGATCGATTTAGTTTTAGTATCACAACATGCGCTATGCCCACGTGCTGTGTCGACGGGGGTACCGGGTAGGCCTAAATCAATACTGCATATGTCGAAAAATAATAATCAACTCTTATGGTGCCGAAATTCAGGACGTCTACCCTATATATCTGATATATTGTGCATTTTACCAAGAAACTGGTGTATTAATATTATTTGTTTTTCCTATTTGTCTCCCGAGTCTGATGGCATTTTTAAAAATTAAAAGTCTGCAAATCAACAAATAGGCCTAGAAACCATATATTTTCTCATTTTCAAAACTGATTTTAAAAGTTTTTTTCTCTGGCCTTTTTTTTCGAAGTCCAGGCCCATATTTATTTGCAATGACACACCAGCATTCGTGTTTGCAAAATGCCTATGTACAAAAAAAATGTATGGAACTTGCTTGTGAAACAAATTGAGATCGCAAGGGGGCGCTCTCGTCTATACCTGCAAACGACTGGCAGATGTCTGCTAAAGAACTCCGCAGAAAATTCGCATAGAACTGGTCTTTTTGGTTACTGCGAATGATCTCCGGCTGGCTGGCTGGTTGAAACATCATAATAATACAGGGGAACAGGGAAACAAAGACTTTCTTAGTCTAGTTAAATCATATTGCAAGTTATCGGGAAACTCGATCAAAATGTCGATCCAAGGGCGCAGCCATCTTTTTAATACTTTGCCTCGTGCACAAAGTAGAAAATTATATAGAACAAAATGTAAATTGCAACATCGAGTCGAGTTAAAATAGCACAGAATAAAATGACTCAGCTATGAAGTATTTTATTTATTTTTTGTAAAACAACATTGTTTTCAGTTTTAGCAGTTGAAGTTTCGGCAAATAAAAAAAATACTATTGTGAAATTAGTCTGTTCCTCAATTCCTTTCGACCAGCGCTTTTACCTTGAATACACGATAATATTTCGAGGATGAGCTGGGGACACGATCATCCGGTCAAGCCTTCTTTTTCACAAATTTCAGTGGACAAGTTTCGTCATATCGGGCTGGGATTTTCGTCATTCTTTTCAAGTCCTTGAAATGTTTGAGTCATTTCGCTCAACGCAGAAATCTGAAATAAGGACAATTTAGGCTACTTACGCCGTCTGACAGAGTATTCGAGCAAGATGATCAGAGTTTTGTCGGGAACGTTTGGGTAGGTTTTCAACCTCAGCTTCACTGTCGTGACTCACCGGGGAAACCCCATTTATCACAGCATTACAGCGGGGTTTCCCAAGCGAGCATGATCAACAGATTAGGCTGTTTGTTATTAATGTTTAAAAAAAAAGATGGAAAGATACCTAGCTCTACTGACAATGACTGAGTGGAGCGTTGAATTACGGGTACCCCTCCATTCAAACGCTCCACCGATTTGCCATACTTTGGTGACGGCGTCACAGTAGCATAGTGTACATACCCACGCCAGGACAAAAAGACCCCCAAAAAACCAGTAAAGAGAATACAAATGAGAGAGACAGTTACCCTGGATTGATCTACACATTCATGACATTCTGTGAACCGATCCCTGAATTTTTTTTTGTGCTCTTCTACCGGCACTGCCAGGCACATGTGCATAATATATTTCGGACTTCAACAAGGAAAGAATGTTGCATCCCGATGCCACTTTTTTTCATAATATGTCATCTAAATGGAGGTCAGGCATTGCAAAAATTATGGAAAAAAAACATGAATCTGAGACTGAGAAACATTTCCAATGTTTGTTAGAAAATATTTTGCGATTCTTCTTGACTCTCCATAGACTTTTTACACAACCAACGAAGTGGCATCTGGATACTACATTCTTTCCTTAACAATTTTTAAACTCTGAGGAACCTTTGTCTGGTTCTGCACTTATTGTACTCTGTCTTTGTGACTTTGTATTTAGGGGATTAGTCTGAATGCAATTTCGGACTTCATTCCCTTTAAAAAAAAATCCTCCAGAGCCAAGAATCCAAAAGCAAAGATAAGATATTCTGTAATGAAATGTAGGATTTGATTTAAAACAATAAAGAAAGAAAGAATACTAAAAAACAGAAAAATGAGGGACCTGTTCACCGTACTATTAAACACAAGAAACAAAAAATAAAAAGATTAATCCTAACTCTCTAGCATAATCCTAACTCTCTAGCAATTTACTAGGAACCATTCCCATCCTGGCAAATTCCAACACCATATGGGAAACTGCACACACATATTTCTGACTTTTGATTCTGGAGGTGTGTCAACCCAATGTAAAAGACTGTCAGCTTAATAGGGGTACTGTACCAATCCTGACAGATACCAACAAAACATGCCGTTAAGGTTTGATGGGTTGAGTTCTGTTAGGGCGAAGTTAGAGCTGAAAACTTTTGAAATGTTTTACATGATCATAGTTTCATTTTGAAATGTTCAGCATTTGCTCGTAATTTTGTATGCCCTGATTAGTTTATTGTTTAATTTTGCACAGCTTTGCAACAAGTATGTTTGCTGTTTCACTTGAACAATTTGAAAATGTGATCAAATTATCCAACTCACTGGCACATGTTGTGGAAGTGTAGTCTACAAAAAAAATCATGGCAGAGTCGTTTTTTAATAATCTTCTATATAGCCAACATTGCGGGCGCCAACTAAGGCAGGCTGTCCACAAGAGGGCGCTAAACTCCCAAATCACTTCCGCACCCTCGAGCAGCACCCCAACAGCCGCACTCCAGCTACTGCCCCGCACCAGGCACCTCATCGGCACCCAAGCAGCCAGCTACTCCGGTTTCTCCAGGATGTACCAGTGCGTCCGGCCGCGCGTCCCCATCAACGATGCCAACACGAGGGCGGCATCTACCATGAGTTCGGTGCGGTCGTTGCTCAAGGTCTTCAGGATCAGGTACCTGGTGATCGGCGGGGCGGTCGCCGGTGGAGTCAGCCTTAAAATGGTAAGCTTCCACTTCCCCTATGATGGACACAACTACAGCACTGCTCCTCTTGTTCTTTATTGTTATTATCATTATTAACATGCATTAGAAACATGCATTTTGAGCCATGCTGTTACTTGGGTCAGTATGGGTCGACCCATTGGTTTGTTAAAAGTAAGCCATAGGAAGTGGAAGGAATTTTCTGGTAATGAAACCAAGGATTCCTCAAAAGTGCCCTAGGCACTGTAACTCGCAAAGCCTGAAGGGAACCCTTGGAGAGAAAAGAATGAGAAGAAATTACAGTTTTAGAGGTGGGAGGAAAACCCCAGATTATTTTTGGGAAAACCCACAGAATCAGGCAGGGACTGAAAACCCAATCCACATATTGGCCCAGGTGGGACTCGAACCCGGGTCACAGCGGTGGAAGGCGAGGAAAGTACCGCTACGCCAACTTGACTCTCCTCAGCCATTTCCTGTTTTAGAAGTAATTACTTCACATGGTTTATTAAAAAAAAAAATCTTCCAAATCTTCCACACTTTTCATAGACATATAAACACAAGCATCGATATTGCTGATCCAAAAGGTATCTAAATATTTCTTGTAATTTTTGGATTACAGACGTATAATTCCTGGATCGAGAAACTACCGGACTTGTCCTGGATGGACAAGTACACTCCGGACAGCGGGACCTTCAGACACGCCGTGGCCGAAATGAAGAAACTGGCCGGCCACATTCATCTGCCGGAGAAGGGCTGGCTGAAAGGCACGCTGAAAGGCACGCTGCCTACCAGAGAATCCATGCACAAATGGATGCCGGAGGCCAGAGAAGGTATGTGGCCTCAAAAATATGTGTCAGCTAGGGAGTTTACTAGAGGTTTTTAATCAGGTTTGTCATTAAACCAACTATATCTCACCCTTAAGCTGACAGAAATTTGCCAGAACTTTCCACACAGGCAATATTAGGGCTGGAGTACTTCACAACAATTGACTTGCATATTTCTAACTTTTTGAAAAGGTGGATCATTTAATAGTAGGGTAGCCAAAGAAAGGAAACAAGGTATGGAAAAAGAGATTTGTTACCAGACTTTTCCTTTAAGACCCTTTATTGTGCAGTACTCAAGAAGTGATGGACTGTTTTTTACACATTGCAAGTCTATTTTCTCTATGGGCTCTGTGCACAAGTACCCCCTCAACGGTAAGAGGGGGAGAGTTGGGGGAAGACCACTTGGAGAGACATTCAAACGCATTTGTGACGACGCCTGACGCTCTCGCGAAGGTTGTGCACACTGCGCTGAACACTCACGAACAAGTACGTGACGGGGCTTTGGAAAGTGGCAAAAAGCGCCCTCTCTTGTTCATGCCCGGAGCCCATCGCGTGTTTCCGGAGCCCATCGCGTGCTTTTACTGAATTTTGGATCTCTCAATTTACATAGTTGAAAGTCACAAAGTTTTGACCAACAACTTGGACAAACACACTGTTTATTATTGTACATTTAATTTATTTGTATGAGTCCCACCTTTGTTATGCACTTTGCATGGCAAACCACATGTCTTGTACGCTGCTGCATGCAAAATCCCAGCTGTATTTTATGAAAACTCCCCCCCCAAAAAAAAACAAAATAAAAGGGATTTTTTTCTCTGCCTTCAAATGGTATTGAATTTCATTTTGACGATGTTGTGTCTCCAACTTTCATTTAAAGAAGCTTTCATTGTTGTTAGTTATAATGCTGCTTGCTTTGTTAGTTTGTGTTGATTTTATGTCACCTTTTTGGTTTTACTAGAAAAAAAAAATCCCACATAGAGCAAGAAAGTGACAAATTCATACTCACAAAAAGTATCAAAATACGTGCTGGGATTAGTTTTTGGATTAAAATTGTATGGACTCGGACTCAGAATAGTTTGTGGATAAGGTATGCCTTTTCGAACTGCATGTGAAAACTAAAAATTTGCATTTTTCCATATTCATACTTTTATATTTTTCAATATTCCACACTTCTGTTGCCCAATTTTTCACTGATTTTTTTCTGGAATGTCCCTTTTCACAAAAAAACCCACAAACTTTGCATTAAAAAAACTAGTTAATTTCAACACAAGCTTTGTACCAGGCGAATTGCAGACTTTCCAATATATTGCTTTCTCCTTGGTTCCTGTTGGGCGGCAGGCCCACAAATTTTCCCAAACGACATCTGACAATATCAAAAGAGGGCGCGCTCTCACTGCGTTATGCATATTCATGATGTCCTGGGCTTTAAAGATTAAGTTATATAACAAGGAATAATGGTATTTAAATCACCAACGATTGGCAGCTGATTCGTGGACTGGTTGGAAGTAGTCCTGACTTCTAATCCGGTGATCCGAGTTCGAATCTCAGTGAACACTTTTCACTTATTCTCATTTTACCTTTTAAATAACTAAAGTGAGGAAAGAACATTTCTCACAAGACGTAAAGCCTATCTTGGGTTGTGTTGTAGAGAACAAAGCATTTGATATGCATGTAATGGACCAATCAGAAGATGGGAAACAGATGTCGTTTGAGAAAAAACAATTCGCAGGAGGCCCTTCCTTTTCCACGGCTCAATCAGCCTGCCAATTAGCACTAGTCCCCTGCAGGATTCGAACCTCTGTTCCCCCATCCCAAGTCCTGCCTGCTACCAACTACACCTCGCTCTCAAACTCACACTGATTGAAAACCATGCTAGCTCCCTTCCCTAACTTTTGCTTTCATTTTTTTTCTTCATTTTCCCACATCTTATTTGTTTATCCTACATTAGATGCACTGTTGTTTGAGCACCAGGGGTCCCAGGGTGAAGGCAGAGAAAATATCTCAAAGACTTTACAATGGGCAGGTGTGTACATGTACCTCAAACAATTTTAATTGATTTTGAATTTTCTTGGACATGAACCCGAGACTGCTGTTCCAGTGCTGTGCCATCTAGGACATCCACGCCAAATCAGTTGACTAGTCTTTAACCCTTTTTCACACTAGAGCCTCTCAACCCACATTGAACACAACCCTGGGTGAACCTAGTGCCGCCCCGGGTTGAGTTTTTGATTTTTCAGTCCCGCGTTCAACCTGCATCGTTTCACTCTTGTTTCATGCAAACCAAGCTTCATACGCTCGGTTGCTACTGTTTTGAACCCTGGCGAGAGTTTCAACCCAGGTCGAAAATCTCAACCCTGGTCTGGAGTAGGGTTGAGTTCAACCCGGAGCGAAATCAATCTCAGGGTGGATAAAGGGTTGGCGCAGGGTTGACAATTTTGAATTGTGAAAAGCTGCATGTTTTCAACCATGTGTCAACCCAGAGATTTGTCTAGTGTGAAATTGAAAAGGCCTTTTCTTGTCTGTTTTAAAGATAATTCACTGTTGGTTTGACCGAGAACATTGAGTCTTTCGGTAAAACACTGGAACTGCAGTCTAAAGGTCTAGGGTTCAGATCCCACTTCAGCCAAATTTTTGATACCTACCCATTCACTAATATAAATCCCTATTGTGAAAATACAAGTGTTCTGTTACGATTTGTTAACACTCTTTTTGCCGTGTTATTTGTAGTCACAATTGATTTGGTTTCTTTCACTGCATGAGTTACCATAACTTATCAAGAGCTAAAATTGATATTCAGCAATTTGTGTAAACATGCATGTATATCTCTACAGAGTTAGTTCTTTAGCGCTTAAGCTTTGTCATTGGCATTTGAAAAAAGTCCCTGCATGCTCCACTGCCAGACAGAAAGTCATGCGCAAAACCGTAAAAGCAAATTGTCATAAAATTAATAAAACCATAAGTTGAGCTTTCTCTTCATGCAAGAAAAACACAACTTCATAGCAATTTCCGATTTTGTTTTGATAAAAATGTATCACTTGCAAGGTCCCAACTTGTTTGATTATATGTTCTTTGTCACTTTCTGTCTGTTGCTGTTATGTTGCATGGCCTTGCACCTTTTGAGTTCCAGTTGTCATTTGTCGGTGTGCAAATAAAGACGTATCCTCCACAGATTAAAATAATTGTATGTAGAACAGTGTGAGTGAATCTTTTAGACGAACATGAATCAGTTGAAGTTCATATTGTCCTTGAGATTCACGGAGAACATAGATGTTTTTGCAACTTCAGTTTCAATGTTATTTCTCCATCTCAGGAAAAGAAGGAAAGAGTTTCTTCACCTCATTTCAAGCCGACTCATCGGAAACAGAGGAGAAATCCAGTCTACCCAGTACACCGCTTGGGGTGAGTCAATGAAATGATAGCACTACCTGCTGAAAGTAGAGAGCTAAATTTATCCCTAACCCTCCTCAATCCTCCAAAATCCTCCAAAATCCTCCAAAATCCTACAGGCGGTTCTAGAGGATTTTGGAGGATTGAGGCTGAATGGCAAGAAAGTGTCGGTTGATTTTGGAGAATGCATTGGCTCGAGTTTGTAGGCTGTACCCAGCATTGTTTATGTTCAGCCATGCATAATTGAGCCCTGCATTATGCTCGATATCATCCGCACTGCTTCTGAATGTCATCGACACTGCCTCAACCCATTAACAGTGATTGAGGATATTGAAGGATTGAGGCAACTGTCACCCCTCCACTGATCAAATTCAAAGAAGTAACGGATGATTTTGGAGGATTAAGGCTGAATCCAATTTTTACAAGGTGGCAATTGGAGGATTTTGCAGGATTGAGGATGGTTCCTAGCCAAAAGGGCCTGGGGGTTAGGGTTAAATTGTTCTTCCACAATACATGTACAGATAAATTGTAGTCTTTTAACAAAAAAAAATGCTTTTTGCATGTTTAGAATTCTTCCTCAACTTAGCTATTAACACTTTTATTCCTTCAACTAGGTTATAATGGGTAAGGTTTGCCATTGAGTTACATTTTGGTCAAATCTTGATTTTGATATTTCTTGATATTTCTTGAACTCTGGATGTTCGAGTCCCTGCAAGTCCATCCCAAGTCCATCACAAGTCCTTCTGTCTCAAGTCAAGTCACTAGCTATTCAAATGAACTGCGACATAAGCATTCCTTTGTCATTGTTCATCTTGTTACTTGTGACTGGCTTCAAGAAAGGACTTGAGAAAGATTTGAATACAACACATTTTGGGTAATACTAGAAACTAAATATATTCAGTGACATACCACAGTTATATCCCACTTTGTTGATACAGTGTCAATTTTTCTCCTCATATTTATCATTTTTTCTCGTACATTTTACAATTTCAGCCAAGTGATAAAGATAAGTTGGAGAAGGCAAAAGAAGAATTTCTAGAAGCTCAGGTGAGCATTTCAATAATTGTACCAGGACAGAGATCAAGTAATATTTGCTTTTTTTTAAACCAATTTAGAGGGTTTTTTTATCATCTGTTTAATGGTGGGTTTTTGGTCGTAGAAACACAAGGTCGATCGTATCTCGGAAGCTGCGGGCAAACGAATGTGTCTTTATGCATGAGTCACGTGATTGTGCCATGTAATTTCTGGAAGGAGTAGCGTTTTGAGTAAAATATCAGGTGTTGACCCCACTGACCCCATGATGGCCTTTGACCCCAGTTTGGTCATGTGACATGTTGGGGCTGGGCTTTTGATACTTTTGACAAAGTTTGGTTGAAATCGGTCAAAATATGAAGGAGTAATAGACAATGTCAACGTTTGTTACTAATGGAGAGACATGATGATTTGTTAAGCTTCTATCCCACAGCTAATAAAAATATATACACCTTCTCTAAATCAATCCTTTCTGTTCTTGTTTTTAGTTGAGATACCAGCGTGAGATTGAGCGTCTTGAGAGGGACAATAAACGGCTGAAGAAATCTCTCCTCCTGAGGGGCGATAAACATGCCATGACACCCAAGGAGAAGGTATAAACAGCATTGACGTTCAGTAGATATGGATGTCCGTACGTGCTATGGCAACTATTTCGCAATGATGAAGGAGTGCACAATGACCCCCTCAATTTATTATTCTGTAAATGAGGCATTGTGTGGGAACTGTGGAGGGGTATATAAGCTACGCTAAATAGTGTGCCTAAGTGGTTCATAATTTGATGGTTTTTTTTAAACCCTCAAATTTCGAAAAAAGAAATTGTAGTCTTGATGAAATTCTATTGCACAAAGATATTCCAAAATTTTGTTTCCCATGTCATCGTTTCAGAATAATTTGAAGAGTGTTTCCTATTTCCGTTTGTGTAAACCTTTTAAGTTTTGTGGGAACAGTATTCTTGTAAAAAAGCCCTTCGTTCATATAATTAGTGTGGATGTTTTGTTTTATCTCACACTAAGAGCTAAAACATTTTGAATGTTTTGAGATCTACATGTCTGCCTATGACGTTGCAAACGTGCACATTGAGTCAATATCGATTCATCACTTGATCTCATTTAGTTCAATTTCAATTTTTTTTTATTTCAGAAATCGTTGATTGACATGTACTCTGAGGTTCTGGATGAGTTGGCCGGTGCTGACGATTCTTACCAGATGCAGGACCATCTACCAAGGGTAATCTTACCCAAGTTTAGAAAGTAGCATTTTCTTCTTAAAAAACAGCTCCTTAAACTTCCAAGCCTGCTGTACGAGACTTCTTGCACTCGCCAGTGGCGTAACAAAGTGGAGAGCCTGTGCCCGCCCCCCCCCCTTCCCTTTGTGTCCCCCTCTCAGAATTTAGGGAAGGCAAAAGAGCTATTCCTGTTAAGTCAGGGTTCGACCTTATAGGTAACCCACTAGCCAAATGTGAGTCAAAACGGCGGCGGGCTTGTCAAAACCATTCTCTATTAAGTAGACCACCTAGTGAGTCAAAAGTATTGAGATAAGGTATGAAACTTTTCCGCTTAGCTTCTTTTTTTTTTAAAAAGAGGTCGGTGAAAAAAAAAAAATCTGATACTGACGCCCATTTATCATGCCAAATATTGCACCGAAATCGCTAGTGTAACAAAATTAATGTAGAAAGAAAAAAAAAAAAATTGCTAAGAAACACCAAAAATTTTGTTGCGGACTAGTGAAAAGACCCGTGGGCTAGTTAAGAGTCTGGTTCACTAGTCCGGCTGGCTGGTGAAGGAATAAGTTAAGGGCGAACCATGTGTTAAGTACCCCTCTCCAGAAAATGAGGCCCCCTATGTGCCCCCTGCACACTGGACCCAAGTTTCTCCACTGCCACGAGCACTTGCAATGCATTATATTTGTTCCTTGATGAAAGCCATAAAACCAGACAGTGCTCCAGCAGTTTGGGGCAGTGCAAAGACTTATGAGTTTCACCCTGCCTCTCTGGCTGGCAATCTCAACAAGGTCAGCCCAGCAGTCAAAATAAATCAAGTGACTGTTTTTAACAGTTGAGTGTTCCCTGTTCATTAAGTATGATTAACTGGCTGTGATTATTGTGATACCTGATGCAGCTATGCTTTGACTGTAAAAGATTGATAAGCCAGCTGTGCCTACCAGTCACCTGCTTGTGTCTGTTGATGGCATTTGACTGTCACAGTGCCTACGAGAAATATGGTCTGACTGTTGGTGACTTGCCTGTGTAAAAAGCACAGCAGGGGAACAGGATTGAACTTTTGACTGTCCCCATCAAATAAAAGGAGGGTTAATGATGATTATTGTTTGTAACAGGTTGTTGTCGTTGGTGATCAGAGTGCCGGAAAGACAAGCGTCCTCGAGATGATTGCCCAAGCTAGGATATTCCCAAGGTAGAATTGTTTGTTTCTTTCATCAAAAGTTTTAAATTTTCCAACAAAATCTTGCATCCAGGATTTGACAGGTAAACGGCCTATTATAAAAATTTAACTGGGAAAATTTCAAGCAAAAATCCAATGGTATTTAAACATGACTTTTTCAATTTGTGCAACACTTTAGAGTAAGTAAAGCAATGGCACATTTGTAACAATAAATCCTTCACATGCACAATTTTCTTTTTAAGTTAGTCAGGCCGAAAAAAAATTGTGCGTTTACGGTAACCTGACCTACCTGGATTTTTTTGCAGCCAAATTGCTGACCTCAAACTTTTTATTGCCTCATCCAGCCAAAAACTTAAAATAAAGTATATTTTGAAAATGAAAAAGGCTTCCTTAGGCCAAAAAAAAAAAGTCTCCGGTTTCTGGTATGCGCGCGCGTCGCCGTAGCCATGCGCGTCGGCAAAATGAAAAAGTTTTTTTTTTCAATACAAGATGATGTCTCAAAACCGCCAAACTCACTGGTTCGACTGGAATTCTGCTGCTGCACAATTTTAACGTGTTTTTAGATGGGGTTATGATCGAGAATAAGCTTTATGTGGCCTCCTTGGACTCCCATATATTTGCACTAAGTTTAGTCGGGCACCATTTGCAGTCATCAGCCGACATTTGAAGCGAAAAAAAAAAAAAAAACAGGTAAAAAAAAAAAAAAAGCCGCGTCGCCGCACCACTTTTTGGGCAAGCTCCATACCAGAAACCGGAGACTTTTTTTTTTTGGCCTTATGCAGGTTTTCTTGTATGTTGGTTAATTGTGAATTAAACAGGTTAATGTAAACAGAATACTGTTAAAAGATATCCTCATGTATTCACAGTAAGTGTAAGAGACTGACAGACAAACATATAAAAATTACAAAATAAAATAATTTTCCTACCTGCCTTCCTACCTACCTGGAAATGTTTTAGGATGTTACCGTAAACAAATAATTTTTTCTCGGTCTCATGAAAGAGCTTTATTTCTATGCTACCTGTACCTACCGAACACAGCTACCCACGACTTAGTTATATGAGACACCAGATCTGCTGAAATCTTTGAATTATTGGAAGTTTTTTGGTGGATATTTTCAGAGGTTCTGGTGAGATGATGACTAGGTCGCCGGTCAAGGTCACACTGAGTGAGGGACCACAGCACGTGGCGCAGTTCAAAGACAGTAACAGAGAGTTTGATTTGACCAAGGAATCAGAGGTATATTATCCAGTATGATGCTGCTAAAAAAAAACCTGCCAATATGAACTGTGTCTTCAATTTTGGGTTTTGCCCTTCACCGATGTACATTATAAACACTGTATATTGAGTGTTGTCTCAAGTGATTGTGAGAAAAAAACAGTTGGGTTGGACTCGAACCCATGACCTCCTGCTTAATAGTTCAGACGTCTTACCACTCGACCACCGAGCTTGCCGGGGTCAGCTGGCTGGTTCGAATCAGATATAGCAGCGGGTACCGCAACCAAACTATATATAAGGTGGAATACTATTTTTTGTAGTAGTTTTGCAGTAGTAGCAACTTCTTCTCTGCAAAATAGAGGCTTGCTTTACTGCCACCAGGGAAAGTAACCAGAATACATTAAAATAAGGAAGATTATTTTTGTTCTTTTTCCTCAAAACCAACATCTAACCTAAGAAGTGTATTTAATTCTACAAATCATTTGACTGTTATAAATCTCTCGACTTGGAGTTCATTTTATTCTAACTTTGTGTTGTTTTCTTTTTTGCAGCTGAAGGCGTTGAGACAGGAAATAGAACTGAGAATGAAAAACAGTGTGCAACAAGGACAGACCATCAGCACCGATGTAAGAATTGTTTTTTAATTGTTGACTTTTTCTGAACTCGGGCGACAAATTTCATTGTGCAAAAAGTTATGCACCGAAATTTGGCCAACTTTAATTATAAATTCATGGCCTTGTCATAATGCTTGCGCCACATATAATATTTCTGTTGTTTTTTAAACTTCATACAGTATATGTAAACATCATTTGCACTTGCCTTCATTATTCTTGGGGTAACATTTTTTTTTCCTTGGCAATATTTTGGGTCTTGCGCTAACGCGATACTGGCTATATATTTGAATTGCACATGGAATGACATATAAGATCCCATAGACACAGCGTTCTCTGGTGTCGGGAAATATGAAAACTTTCCATCTGTGAACTTTTTTATGTCCAGGTGATTTCTCTGAGTGTCCGCGGGCCTGGCATCCAACGAATGGTCCTGGTGGATCTGCCCGGTATTATCAGTGTAAGTCAAATGATCTGTGAAGCCCTGTCCCTTGATGTTCTGACCCGTCACGGCCTTCATTGCACAATCAAATGTCCGACAAAAATACGATATGCATCTGTTGGAATATGCAGTGTTGCATTGGGGAGACGCACATGTTGTTGCAGGTATTACAGCAAAATAAAGAACTATCCATTACAGAGATGGATGTAACCTTGCATGGTTCTACATAAACCTAAGAATTGTGTGTAACAGGGTCCCCACCAAAATCTTGAAATGAATTTCCGTGACATTTCCACGACTTTTCCGGGATAAAAGTAAAGCTTTCCATGACCAATTCCTATGCTGTTTTTGCCATCTTTGGAGCCTATTGCTCTGGAGGCAAGAGACATGTACCACTCCCTTTCAGCCTTCTAGTTTGACACAAGACCACTGAGCGCCACAAAAGCATCACAATGGTGCGTGCACTGGACATGCAACAACTATAGAGTGGTATGCATAAAGAGGAAGTGTAGTAAACTGGAAAGTCAACTGGAAGACTGCCAAAGAGTGTGCAGGATTCCATGACTTTTTTTCTTGGAATATCGACTTTCCATGACTCCTTGTAAAATCACAAATCTCCATGACTTTTCCATGACTTTTCTTGATAGCTTTAAATTCCAGGATTTTCCAGGATTTTTTTCCAGGATTGTGTGAACCCTGGTGTAATCGTCCATATTTCTTTCACTGACAGACTGTAACCACAGGAATGGCAGCGGATACGAAGGACAGCATCCAGAAACTGAGCAAGATGTACATGAACAACCCTAACGCAATCATACTGTGTATACAAGGTAAACAAGTAAATTGATCCCTTCCTTCACTAAAGAGTAAAACTTTTATTTTAAAGTTGAACAAAGGAATTGGCTGGAGTAGCTTTGAACCTGTGACCTCCGGATTGCCGTTCCGGTGCTCTACCAACTGAGCTATCCAGCCCTTGGTTGGCGGTTACCCATTTTGTCAATGTCTTTGATCGAGGGCCACAAGTCAGAAACCAAAACAGGATAAAGCGTGAGTGATGACTATCAGAAACCTCTATGAATCCAAGTAATTACTGAATGAAAGAGTGGTTTCTCAAAGTTGTTTCTGTTTCGGGGTTTTATTAGCACTTGAATCATATTTGTTACTCACACACGCACACAAAATACTTGTTTTAAAAAAGTTAAATGTGCTCTCTACAGAAGGGTTCTTTCATATTAAGCTCTGTAGACGATGCCCCTAACTTCTCCACCCTTTGTGCTTGAGCCACTGGTTAACAATGTAATCCCCTCCCCACGATGACAGATGGTGCAATAGACGCTGAGAGGAGTATAGTGACGGACATCGTCAGCGACGTGGACCCCCAGGGTAAGAGGACGATCTTTGTCCTGACCAAGGTGGATCTTGCCGAGAGAAACGCGGCCAACCCAAGCAGGGTGAGTGGCCAATCAATGTTTCTTTTTTTTCTAGCGGGCTGTTGGTTATTCAAGTATCACAATCAAGTCCATCACAAGTTCGGTCAAAAGTAAATCACAGTACCTTCATTAGTCCAGACAGAAGTTAGGGCCCGTCTGAATTCATAATCTGGAACGAGTTCCGGACAAGTTGCGGACATTGTATCGGGTATAACTTGCAGGATTCTGAACAACTTCCCTGCGATCTTCCAGCAATGAAGTTATCAGTTATCAGTTGTTAATTGACCCTAACCGAACTCAATCCATCAAAGTTCAACAGCAGGTTTGTGTTTAAATCTGTTGGGATAGGTACAGTACCCCAAAACTGATGGTCTTTTACACTGGGGTTGGCATACCTCCAGAAACTAAGTCCAACAGTGTGTGTACAATTTCCCATGTTGGTGATGGAATTTGCAAGAATGGGTATGGTTCCTAGTAAATTAGGCTGGGGAGTTAGGGTTAAGGAATAACAGTGTGAGGACCTGGTCTTCACTGCGTGGTAATGACCGGGTCAGGGGGATGGCCGCTGTTAACGGACCGAGCCGGTCTTTATGTCACATGTTAATACACCTCCATGTGATCGAGTCCAAACCAATCAGAAGCTATCAACCCTCCAAGGTATTTATTAATGAAATTTAGCGACATGTCCAGGACAAATGGATATTTTATACTTGGTTTTTCCTCCCATCTCCAAAAACTAAACATTTCATTGTTTACTTGATTATCTTCCGTTAGAAAGGTTCTGTGAGCCACAGTACCATGGGCAAGAAGTCACTAATTGCATGTAACTGTCAAAAGTGTTTGATTAAAATGTTGGGTTTTTGTAAGATTGTCCAAAATTTCATAGTCTAATTCTTTAAAAGAAAAATGAGATAGCATTTTCGATTTTAGTCCTGTCTGGTCATATGCTTCAAACCTACCGTTCAACATTGATCAACATAAGTCTTAATTATTATAAGATGGAATTTTTGCGTCGGGGTGATATAAATCAAATTATAGGTTTTGCCCTTCACTGACGTTTAAACACTGTATACTCAGTGTGTTACCTCCTGAGAGAAAGTTGGAAAAATCAATAGGGTGGGACTCGAACCCACGACCTCCTGCTTTCTTAATTGTTATATCTCATGCTATTAATCCACAGATCAAGCAAATACTCGAAGGGAAGCTGTTCCCAATGAAGGCTCTTGGATATTTCGCTGTTGTCACTGGAAAAGGTAGGTCATCATAAAAGTATGAAACTGTGCTCAGGATCAAAGGTACAGCTTATCTTTTTTCTTAAAGCTTCTGTTTTGGACACCAACTTGACGGAAAATACTTTAAACAAATTAGCATACAGGCACCAAAGTTCTTCTTAAAATGAGTCATATCTGAGTAAGGAAAGTCAGTTTCGATCTTTGTTTTTCTCCTTTCAAATTTCCAGGCAATACCAGTGACAGCATAGACACCATCCGCAAATATGAGGAGCAGTTTTTCAGGGGATCGGCACTCTTCAAGTAAGTTACCGATGTACTGTCCAGGGCAATTCCGTAAATTGGGACGTACATGTCCGACACTTTAGTGAGCTGCTGTGAAAAGTGAATGTGATCCATCACTGATGCTTGTCATATAATGAGTAGAAAACAATTACAGACCAAACTAAGGTAGCGCCACCTTTAACCCTTACTCTCTGAGGGTAGTTTACTGCATGTCAGTTGGTTATGCCAATGCCCTCCAGCTGCAGTTTATTGGAGGATACTTTGATGTAGCAGTGAAGGCTCCAATTGGCAGGAGTTGGAGGCCCTGGAGGGTGCCTGATACTGACCAGATGGGGGCACTTGATTGTTATCAGAGGACTCTCATTGTTCTCTGTGGCATGTATTGGAGTGCCTGTCCAGTTACCCTTGAAATGACATGGCAGATATTGGAGGGCCATGCAAAAAACATAGGAGATTTTCTTGAGGCACATATTGGCATGCGTTGGAGGGTCAAGTAGGGTAAGGGTTAATGACCTTGTACATCATGTGGTCAGACGTACGAAGAAATTTGGATTTTATAGATTTTTCCTCCATGCTATTTTTCAGTTTCACTCCCTGAAATAGGTTTTATTCTTAAATTGCTATTTTTTTCCAGTGATACAAAAGTCATTTACTTTTGAATGACACATTGAAGCTAAAAATCGGACCATGTTTATTCATGGTAATTACTTTACAGATTTTGAATTATTTACTGCCAGACAATAATTCAGTTCTCGCATTGTAGACTGGTTCCATGACCTTATAAGCATAAACATTCTTAGGGACCAGAACCAGTCTACTCACAGAGTTGATCTCTTTGTGTGCAAAAGCAACTTAAAATAACAACCTTGTTTTCAGAGGGTTGTAAAAGACGTCTACAAAAGAGTTGACGATTTTTATGTCAATTTTGTTTTGCATAATAACTCTATCTCGATTCAAAAACACTCCCGTGCACATTATTGTATTCAGACGTCTGAATCCTTACATTTAGAAAAAAATACTTTTTCTGTTCCTGCCAAAACCATACCATATCTGGCTTCAGACAAGTACAGGTTTAGCAATTCCAGTTGGTGATTTGAAATTTTGTTTCTGTCCGCGTCAGGTCTGGTACCCTGAAGCCCAGTCAGATGACTACGCAGAACCTGAGCTTTGCAGTGTCTGACTGCTTCTGGAAGATGGTTCAGGAGTCGGTTACGCAGCAGGCCGACATCTACAAAGGTAGGGACAATTTACTGGTCAATTTGAAACTCCGCATGTCTACAGAATCAAGATTTGTCCACAGTACGGAATCAACTAAAAAACTGTGAATGCATGAAATGTCGGATTTTGAAATTGCAGGCTTTTCTAAGAGGAAAACATTTGCGCTCGTATTCCAACATAACAACTTCTGTTGATGTTTATCTCCAATATGGCCAATTAAATTTTTCTTGTTTTTTGCATCTCTGTTTTTGGTCAACAGCTACTAGATTTAATCTAGAAACAGAATGGAAGAACAACTTTGCAAGGCTACGAGAACTGGACAGGGTAAGAAGCACTGTTTAAACTGTCAGTTACTGAAGCTATCCAAACCGTCCTGCCTATCCGGTTCGTTAGTAAAAACGTCATACACGCATGCGCACCACTGATTACTAGCACCCATTGGATAAACACTCAAGTTGCGTTAGCTTCCGGTTCCAATGGTTCCAATGCTACTGAATGGGCAGTGGGCGTGGTTTAAACTGAACTGACGTCACACTAACTAACCGGATTACTCCCTGTAGTGCCTGAACCCCCCCCCCGACCCAAGCACACATTGGTTTTATGGATTCATCGGTGAATCAGCACAATGTAATACAATGTAATACAGATGCTAAAAAATCAGTTAAAGTTACAGTGTGTGGTGTGCAGAAGAAATTAAGCATGTGAAAAACTAGGCAGTGACGTCATTTTGGGGAGACATACATGTATACCCATGTTTTCATGTTTTCAACGTAAGAACGACATCCACAGCAGTTTTGGGGAACGATGGTTCCCCACATGAGTGCTTTGAATGCAGAGACTCCCAAAGTTCTTTACTAATTTTCCCCCCGTTTTTCTCTCTTTTGAAGGACGAACTATTTGAGAAAGCCAAGGGTGAGATACTGGATGAGGTGCTGTGCCTGAGTGAGATCCAGCCTAAAGTCTGGTGAGTCACAATTCTAACGTGGACTCTAATGCCATCAGCCCAAACTGAAGCCCAGGTTTCAAGAAGGGGAGTATATAGACTCCTTACCCATCTTGGCCCATATTACAATCCCACTCGCAGCAGGTTCATGGCGTGCAGTTACTTAACCACTTCGCGCCGGGATTATTTTTGCCGAAAATTTTGATTTTCTCGAAAGGCAACATTTTCCGGCCAACTTCTGATATACAGCCAAATGCCACAAATAATGCATCGCAAGAGTCATTTCAACAGTATTTGTACAATATTTCTTGGCGAAACTTCATATTTTTCAACACTCCGGGGTGTGCAACGGAACGTAAATTGTACACCAATAGGCCGTGCACTGCAGCCAATTCAAGATCAACACACTGTCTGCCTCCGCAGCCCTCACGGACTTTGTATGTGTGTACAAAAGGCACGAGGGATTAGCGTGTTTAGACGTCACCCGGAGGCGAGTCCAGGCAAATCTTGACGTTTTGGAAAACACCCGTCAGCCTTTGCCTGTGTACAAAAACAGCAAGTGCGTGTTATTACGTCTTCCGACGCAAACTGGCTAACCACCCTTATAAACTGTATGTACATATTTGCAAACCGTTCATTGGAACTTTAACCGTACATCAAACCCTCGGTGGTTTTGTAGGATTTGTTGGGCAGGGGGAGGCTCAACAGTTTTCTTTGACTAGAAAATAAATAACCTTTTAGGTAAAGGAATGTAATGTAAAATGCACTGTGGGTAACTTTTATTTGTGTCTCTTACAGCAGATGTTCTGCATTGTGAATTGCTTCGATGTAGTTTGTCCGTTTACGAGATTCAAGTGATTGCGATTTAACCCTAACTCCCTCAGCATTTTTGCTAGGATGCAACCTCAATCCTGCAAAATCCTCCAACTACCTCCATGTAAAAATAACATAGCACCTTAATCCTGCAAAATATCCATTATTTCTTGACTGTGGTCCTTGGAGGGGTGACCACTGCCTCAATCCTGCAAAATCCTCCAGCAATAACTGTCAATATGTTGAGGCAGAGTCCGTGACATCCTGGAGCAGTGCGGAGGATGTCAAGTATAATCTAGGCCTAAATTTAAGCACGGCTGACCATAAACAACACAAGGTCCGAGCCAAGACCTTGACACAGTGCATCCTCCAAAATCAGCAATGCACTTTTGCCATGTAGCCTCAACCCTGCAAATTCCTCCAATTTGCAAAGAGGATTTGGGAGGATTTGGGATGGTTAGGGTTAAAAAAAAATATGCTTTCGTTAATATCTTTCTCTTATTTGGTTGGTTTGTAGGGAAGAGGCATTGTCTAAAGTTCTATGGGAGCGGATGTCTGGCTACGTGTTTGAGAATATCTACCTTCCTGCCGCCCAGTCACCGGATGCTGGGTAAGATAAAGACCTCTCTCAGTTAAAGCTGGAGTCCATCATTTGCAGCTATCCAAAAAGTAACTGACGTAATTCTTGTTGAAAAACATACTTGGTTGAAAGATAGTAAGGGGACTAAACTCCCTGTGAAATTATTCTTTCTGGAAAGGTGTCATTTTGCAGAAATCAACAAAAGAAGGCCTTTTCAACGGTGCTTCTTAAGACGCACCGTAGGAAATTTAAATTAGTAGTTTTGTTTTGCTTTGCGGCAAAGTGCGAACAAGCATTGGCACGACCCACACGCACACGCGGTTGCTATAATTCGTTGGATCAGTGCGCAACATCGCGTAGCTGCAATCGGCTCAGTGAGAACGTGTCTCGGACGCTGAATTCAGGCCCAATTCAAAACATGATTCAACAACTTTTGATTTGAAATCAAGATCGTAGAACGCTGTTTTTCTCGGAATATACAGCTGAAGCTGAGCTGAAACTTCATCAGGTTAGTTGTTCAGTACCCTTCTTTAGATTTTGAGCATGTTTGTTGCTTCAAACAAACAAAATGCACAAATTACAAATGATGGACTATACCTTTAATGAAGACAGGCAATGCCGTCAGAAGGCTCTGAAATTATATTCATAAATACCTGAGACAGTTTACCCATTGGTATTGGCTGAGAGCCTAAATTTATTTGTGTCGCCTAAAAGAAGTTTTGGGAGACGATAATCAGTGTGCGGCAAACGTGGTCGAATGTGGCGGTGGAAAATCATCTGATTGTTATCAACACGCGCACCGCCATTTTGAAGACGTCACATGATCACGTCTGTGCCGAGGAATCGTGGTCCTGCCGTAGGTGCTGTGAGCACGTTGCGATTATTTTGTGTTGCAATGCCGCTTGTTCCACGAGAATCACACAATTTCTCAGTTTTGTGACCTGAGCATTACTTTTCTGCTTGATGGCGACGGTTCTGTCGCGGCGCAAGCAAATCGCAGGTCGGACTGAGGCGGGCCTTAGATTTCATCATCTGATTTCATCAGTTCATTGGATAAGCCTACTTGTTACTTTAATACTGGCCTAACACACAGATTAGCTCTGATGCAACATGCATGTCATCAATGTGAACACGCCTTAATGTTTGAATTAACATTAATACAAAATGGTCAGACGCGGATCCAGATGAGGGGGGGGGGGGGGGGGGGGTTGTGGGTCGAAACCCCCCAGCTCTGTCTCAATTTTTGTTTCATAGAAATGTATTTAGAATAATGTGAACCCCCCCCCCCCCCCTTCCCCGCTCTGACACCCAATAAAATTATGACAATTATACCGGTAATAATGTCCGCCTGTGCACAACATTCGGACTGAGCCAGCTGGGGTACGGGGGTATGTGTACTCTATTCTGTAATATAGTTCATGATCGTCGGATATGAACAGCGCTCCAATTGAAAGGTCCCCCCCCCCCCCCCCAATTGATTTTACGGAGGTCAAGTGTCCGAGAAAAAACCTGTCTACAATTCAGCATTGATTTGGTGATGAATCCCCCCGGCACAAATTCCTGATGAGTATCTCATCAAGAATCTTTAAATTACAAGTGGTGTATGTGATTATTGTCTTACAGGACCTTCAATACTACGGTCGACATCAAACTCAAACAGTGGGCCGATCAGCAACTCCCCAAGAAAAGCGTTGATGTGAGTAGAGACGTTCATTATAACACAAGTGGAAGGATACAGTACTGAAAACAATTCGTGGGTGTTTAGGCCACACACAAAAAAGTCTCCGGTTTCTGGTATGCGCGCGCGTCGCCGTAGCCATGTGCGTCGGCAAAATGAAAATTTTTTTTTTTTCAATAAAAGATGAGGTCTCAAAACCGCCAAACTCACTGGTTCGACTGGAATCCTGCTGCTGCACAGTTTTAACATGTTTTTAGTAGGGCTGTGCCGAATATTCGGATATTCGGTTATTCGATCGATAAACGAATATTCGAATATTTATTTTCGAATAAGAATATTCGGTGGTGATATGCAATGAAATAAAAAGGTGGAAAAAACTCCTTTTTTTTTACAACAAAAGTGTATTCTCAAAGTTAAGTTTCAAGTTGCTGCCAAAAACCCCCATAAAAGTAGCTTGTATATATGCCAAGCAATAATGCCATACATATATTACTTTTGCTTTGGGAGTGCTTGCAGTAAAGCCAACCCATTTTTTTAACGCCGGACTGCAACACCAATCGCTGATTCTTCCGACAAGATAAACAAGACATTTTGTCTTTCATGTCTTCACAAAACACTTCCTGACACCTTTTCATATCAAACTTCTAGCATGAGTAGTAACGTTTCCGCTGTCCGTATTTTTGTTTGTTGTTGTCCTACTTACAATCCCTACTTTCAAAAGAAAACCGCCGCTGTTTTTCCCCGATGCGATCCTGGCAAGTTTCCCCGCGCGTTGGTGTTACATGTACATGTGTGCAGCATAGGAAAATGCAGCGTGGCATTGGAGAGGAGCACGTGTTAATTTGCCCACGTGCGCAGTGGGAGGGGCTTACTGGATCGGCTATTGACATCGCGAAAATGGCATGCCAACATCGATGTAGAAGACCTCTGCAATCTCATGCAAAGAACTTGATTTCTTTTTTCTGTGTGGGCCTTTGTATTTTCCGTTTTCATGTACTTATTTTGAGGACGTACTGCTCGCACAGGGTCGCACAAGAAGCGGTACATTACACTGATACAGCGAAGCCAATTCCCCCCAAAGTTTTCCATCGCCTGTTCAATCGTGTCGAATCAATCGTGTCGAATGCACGTGGTTATAGGGAATCGCCTTGCATGCAGTATGCTGCTCACAGCACGTGGCGGTGTTGTAGAAAACTTGTCATGAACCCCAACATTACATTAAAACGTTTTGAAAACCTTGGTTCATTTACGTTACGGACTCTGGGATTTTTCTAAAAGAATTTCTTGTTTACTTTTAGGGGTAAATTTATTATGGCTGTTAGATGCCTCCGTAATTATATACATGTACATGTACAAAATAATCTAGTTCTCTCAACTGATCAGAGCACCCTTTTATCGAACACATTTTCGTTCGCTGTCCGTCAGCTTTGTTCGCTGGGTTAGTCTGCTAATTGCACCCAATATTTGCACAAATAAAACATACATAAACACTTCAAAAACTAGTTCAGCAATTATACTTTCAGTAATAATAGCGGGAACCTCTGGCTTATGTCCTCCAAGTTGAGCAAAACGCAAGAAAAAGGGCAGACAACAGAGAGGATTTCAAACTCAAAAGAGCTCTCATTTATTTCGCCAGACAGACTTTGCGGTCAACTCACCGCACCGTACCCCTGATTCCCAGCATAGAAAACCACAGCTAGATAAAATGTATCAAAATGTTACAAGTTGGAATATCCAAACCTTTTAGTGGCCTATTTGTTAGAAAGTTATCTCCAGAGCACGCACTTAGCCAGACAAAAGAACCGGGTCAGCGCACCTGTGCCCTAATTAGCCCGCCAACAATGCGCCCGCCGGAGCTCGGCTGGCGATTTTTTTTTTTTTTTTTTTGCTGAAATGTCACCCTTCGTGTTTTGGGTACACAGCTTATAATACATCCCCTGTGGGCAAACAAGGAAATACTGCTTTGCACGTGTCAAGCTGGGGCGTGTGTATGCCGCGCCCACGCCCATTATTTGCATAAACTTAAATATGCATTTACAATTCAAAGACCCATATTTCATTGAATAAAGACATTAAATATCATAGGTTTTTTTCTTGGAGTTTTTGGTTGTTGAGAATAAATTTATTTAAAATGATTTAAAATCATTTCCTCAATTCTTGGTGACAAAAAGTGCGAGTTATTATTATAAAAGTGATTTTTTATCCTCAATACTGTGACTAGGAAGTACACCGTTTTGTAGACTTCAAGAAGCTTCCAGTAATAGATATGCTCGGTTCCTGTTTGCGAGTTAAGGGTCGGAGAGTCACAATAGCTGACGCCACCCGCCGTGTTTGGGGTTCACGGCTTAATATGTCCCCCATGCAAACAAGGAATCCTTCACTCTAGCTTCTCTGGTTATTGTTAATCTTTAAATTACTGACGACTGAAGAACAACTGATTGTTGTCAAATACCTGACTTACCTGTGAAGAAATCATGCATGGCATGCTGACGTGCGCACGTACGTTGACTATACATGTACATGTATGGCATATTTTTGCTTTTGAGGGAATTTGGAATGGCCAAATAACCGAATATTCGAATATTCGATCGATTGGAAGGTCGAATATTCGAATATTCAATTATTCGAATTGACTCAGCCCTAGTTTTTAGATGGGGTTATGATCGAGAATAAGCTTTATGTGGTCTCTCTGGACTCCCATTATATTTGCACTAAGTTTAGTCGGGCACCATTTGCAGTCATCAGCCGACATTTGAAGCAAAAAAAACAGGTAAAAAAAAAAAAAAATCCGCGTCGCCGTACCACTTTTTGGGCAAGCTCCATACCAGAAACCGGAGACTTTTTTTTTTTGGCCTAATAAGACTCTTGAGATTCTCCCAAGTGGAGAAGCACTTGAAAAATGCAACATCACAATCTTTTGAAGAATACTTTCAGAGAGTAGCCATCCACAATGCTTCTTTGAACCTTCCACAGGTTACTGTTTTGTAAACTTTTGAGCAATTTTTGTCGAGTTGGATTTTTGGGTCAAAAACTGACTTTTTCGATGATGCCGGCTATGGAAAACGTTGAAGTTTTGGGGCATTTTGTAAAAAGTCAAAACGTTTTGTTTTCTCACTGGATTCTGAATGTAATGAGTTGAACTCTTCAGGGAATTCAATTCTTGCCTCTAGGCACCTCGTGTCAATTTTTGGACAAGTTGGATTTTTGGGTCAAAAACGGACTTTTTCGATGATGCCGGCTATGGAAAACGTTGAAGTTTTGGGGGCATTTTGTAAAAAGCCAAACAGTTTTGTTTTCTCACTAGATACTGAATGTAATGAGTTGAACTCTTCAGGGAATTCAATTCTGGCCTCTAGGCACCTCGTGTAAACTTTTGAGCAATTTTTGTCCAGTCCGATTTTTGGGTCAAAAACTGACTTTTTCGATGATGCCGGGTCTGCAACACAGATTTTACAGAAATAGTAAGAAAATCGTGGAATAACAGTGATTCTAGGGGAAAAGAATTGGCATCTTTCATTTTCACGAATACAAAACTAGAAAATTTCAAGGTTTTCCCAGTATTTTACTTGTTTTTACGTCCGGCGACGTAAAAACTTTAAACAGCCATAACTTGTCAATGGAATGTCTGATTGAAGTGCAACAAATAATATTATAAGGGCCATTTTATTGTCTTTTCTAATACCAACAAACACTCATTTCAACGTCTGCCCAGTTCCGTCTCGTTTTGCCAGAACGCTTTACATATGTCAGTGAAGGGCAAAACCTGATATAAAACCAGTTCGCGCCGGGATTATTTTGACATTGACAGGACCCATGCGCAGGATTGTTTTTTACGAACCTCGATGCCAGACGGGTTCAGGCCGTCATCTTCAGGCAGCACACAGATATTTCCGCCCATGCTCGTTGCGAACGAGAAGAAGATTTGGGAAAAATCTGCGCCCTTTTTTTGAGAGAGACCATGCAATCTCTATGTCTGTCCGTATGTATTATCCATCCGTCCGTACGTATGTGGTATTCTGGTTAAAGTTTCGAAAAATTGGTCTCATTTCAAAAGTTGAAGTCCAGAGAAGAAGATATTTCCGGCCTTGCTCGTTGCGTGCTTGTCCTCCATCCGACGCGAACTGGTTAAACATTACTTCTCCCCAATGCAAAAAGTCCAACGTTCAATATTTTGAGTCGTACATTTCAAGGATCACCATACCTTTTGTTCTCAGGTTGCTCTGGAGACACTGGTGGAGGAGTTCTCCAAACTTGTAGACATGGACAAGGCCAAGGGTAGTCACGATCCTCTCTTCAACGACGTCAAGTCGGCCGTCAAGCAAGAAGGCATCAACAGGCACAAGTGGCAGGAACAGGCTGCCGATAGTCTGGTATGCTGCCTAGCACAACAAAAATGCTTTAAAAAAATTCTTAATTTGGGGGGAAAATCGGCAAAATATTCTGGAAGTGAGACTTTCTCCAGCAGGCTGCTGATAGTCTGGTATACTGCCCAGCGCAACAAACATGCAAGAAAATTTCTTGATTTGGGAAAAATCTGCGGCCTTTTTTTGCCTTGCCTGAGCGAAGTTCAGGAAAGAGACCATGCAATCTCTATGTCTGTCCGTATGTATTATCTGTCCGTCTGTACGTATGTGGTATTCTGGTTAAAGTTTCGAAAAATTGGTCTCATTTCAAAAGTTGAAGTCCAATTAGAACCAAACTTGGTTCATAGATGCAACATGGCAACCTTCATATGAAAATGCTGTCAAAGGTCACATACCAAGGTCAAAGGTCATCTGAGGTCCACTTGTCAAATAGACTGAAAAAGTTTTAAAAAGGTGAAAAAGAAAACAGGCGAGACGCGTGGTTCGAGAACCTTGGTGGTTATCCTCCTGAATATTCCACGCGGAAGTCTAACAAGGAGGCCTTGTGGAACTGGAACTAAATTAAATCCTTAAAGGTGTTGTGGTTTGGGGCGTCTGTGGTGTCTTGAGGGAGCTTGTTCCATTTCCGGATAGTTCGGGGTAGGAATGACTGCATATTGATGTCTGTCCTTGCTGCAATTTCTGTGAACTGGTGGTTGTGAAGTCTACGAGCCCGTGCTGTTTGAAGTAAGTGTTACTGGAGATTTATACTTTCCATTGACTAGCGATACAGTTTGTTCATTAGTTACCTTGTGGATCTTTGCAGAGAGTAATGCAAGTCAATGCTTTGGAGGATCGGTCGGTTCATGATAAGCATGAATGGGACTCGGCCATCAGCTTCATGGACAGCGTACTCAGGATCAGACTACAAGAAAGTAAGTGGGGAATGTTACATTTACCATTAAAGACATCAGCAAAATATGTTTGGTTTGGCATCAAAGGAATAATTACTCTTAAGGCCAAAAAAAAAAGTCTCCAGTTTCTGGTATGGAGCTTGCCCAAAAAGTGGTGCGGCGACGTGGCTTTTTTTTTTTTTTTTCCTGTTTTTTGCTTCAAATGTCGGCTGATGACTGCAAATGGTGCCCGACTAAACTTAGTGCAAATATATGGGAGTCCAGAGAGGCCACGTAAAGCTTATTCTCGATCATAACCCCATCTAAAAACACGTTAAAATTGTGCAGCAGCAGGATTCCAGTCAAACCAGTGAGTTTGGCGGTTTTGAGACATCATCTTTTATTGAAAAATTTTTTTTTCATTTTGCCGACGCGCATGGCTACGGCGACGCGCGCGCATACCAGAAACCGGAAACTTTTGGGGGGGGGGGCCTAAACTGGAGAATTTTTTTTTCAAGTCTTGAAAAATTTATAACGTATATGGAAACTGTTGTGATTATTAATGCATTCATTGACTACGTTTTCAAGAGATGTTACATGACACATGCTTGTTTGTTTCCCTTTAGCTGATAGTCTTATTCAAGAGCTGATGGGACCAGGTACCACTACGCGCTGGCTGTACTGGAAGTCACTTACCGCTGAACAGGTTGGATACTAGACTAATGACTAAGGCTATGTCAAAATGGGGCACTGTTGTCTATGGCTACGGCTATTCACCTTAGTGCACCAATGGCAAAAGCGGTAGCCATAGTCACACAATTCTCAAATTCAAGTAAGGCTACGTCTGAAGCTGGTATTGTTTTGTCTATGGCTACGGCTATTAACCTTAGTGCACCAATGGCAAAAGCCATAGTCACAGTTACACAATTTTCAATTTTAAGTAAGGCTACGTATGTCTGAAGCTGGTATTGTTTTGTCTATGGCTACGGCTATTAACCTTAGTGCACCAATGGCAAAAGCCACAGTCACAGTTACACGATTTTCAAATTTTAAGTAAGGCTACGTCTGAAGCTGGCATTGTTGTCTATGGCTACGGCTATTAACCTTAGTGCACCAATGGCAAAAGCCATAGTCACAGTTACACGATTTTCAATTTTAAGTAAGGCTACGTACCTCTGAAGCTGGTATTGTTGTCTGTGGCTACAGCTATTCACCTTAGTGCACCAATGGCAAAAGCCATAGCCACAGCCACACAAATTTCAAATTCAAGTAAGGCTATGTCTGAAGCTGGTATTGTTTTGTCAATGGCTACGGCTATTCACCTTAGTGCACCAATGGCCAAAGCCATAGCCACAGCCACACAAATTTCAAATTCAAGTAAGGCTATGTCTGAAGCTGGTATTGTTTTGTCTATGGCTACGGCTATTCACCTTAGTGCACCAATGGCAAAAGCCATAGTCACAGTTACACGATTTTCAATTTTAAGTAAGGCTACGTACGTCTGAAGCTGGTATTGTTTTGTCAATGGCTACGGCTATTCACCTTAGTGCACCAATGGCAAAAGCCGTAGCCACAGCCACATGATTCTCAAATTCAAGTAAGGCTACGTCTGAAGCTGGTATTGTTTTGTCTATGGCTACGGCTATTAACCTTAGTGCACCAATGGCAAAAGCCACAGCCATAGTCACACAATTTTCAAATTTTAAGTAAGGCTACGTCTGTGACTGGTATTGTCTATGGCTACGGCTATTCACCTTAGTGCACCAATGGCAAAAGCCACAGCCATAGTTACACAATTTTCAAATTTTAAGTAAGGCTACGTCTGTGACTGGTATTGTCTATGGCTACTGCTATTCACCTTAGTGCACCAATGGCAAAAGCCACAGCCATAGTTACACGATTTTCAAATTTTAAAGTAAGGCTACATGTGCGTCTGAAGCTGGTATTGTTGTCTTTGGCTACGGCTATTCACCTTAGTGCACCAATGGCAAAAGAGGTAGCCACAGCCACACAAATTTCACTGTAGCATGCTATTGGCAAAAACTACCCAAATCAGACAAGGGCTCATCATCAATATAAACTGTGAGGTGTTCTGGCAGTAGTGGAGAAAAATGCCAAAACCCAAATGAGTTTTTTTGTTCCTTTGATTTTCAGATTTATTGATATTTTTCATTTTCACGAACACGAATTCGAAAATGTGAAGGCCTTTTTCTTATTATTTTACTTTTTGGTACCTCGATAAATGCACACTTTAGACGTCCATACCCTGTCAACAGAATGGCCGTTTGAAGTGCAACAAACAATATTGTAAGGAGAATTTTATTCTCTTTCCTAATATCCTCAAACCCTTGAAGTGTTGAAGTTGAAGTTGAAGTGCAACAAACAATATTGTAAGGAGAATTTTATTCTCTTTCCTAATATCCTCAAACCCTTATTTCAACCTCTGCCCAGTTCTGTCTCATTTTGCCAGAACGCCGCACATATCCTACTGGAGGGAAGTCCAATTGAGGTCTGTAATTGAGGTTTTGACATCAGTTATTCGTCAAACTAAAACACGCCTGCTTTTTGTTCATTACAGAATAATAGGAGACAGGCCAGGGAGGAACTGGAGAAACTACTGCAAGCTTCAGAGGTAAATAAACATTTAAGCGTTTAGTTAAAACTGAACTACCGCAAATTTTGAAGAAAAAAAATCAAACAATTTGGATCAGGACGGTGCACTGCAGCCCAGCGATGGTTCCTTCACTTGGGCCTTGAAGTCCCAATTCTGCAAACAAAATTGTAGCATGTAGAAGGGAGACCCAACTCCTTTGGAGAAAATTTTGTATCGGTCAAAGAGTCGAAAAATTTGAAGAACCCATCCGCCATCTTAAGAAAAAACGGTGGGGAGGCCATCTCCTTCATTTTTTCAAACAGCAGAGACGAGAAAGGTGGTTTTTTTACTCGGCTTGATATATATATATATATTTATTATTGATAATTGGAACTTAAATTTCTTGAGAAAAATGTACATATCTCTTTGATATGTTTCCAAATCCTGGATATTTTCTTTTGCTTTGGGATTGCTGCGATGGATGTTGATTGGCTATTCTTGACCTTTGACCCTACCTCACAGAAGCACCAACCCGTGCTGTCCAGTGACGAGGTGACAGCCGTCAGGAAGAACCTAGAAACGAAGGCGGTGTCCGTCGACAGTGAATTTGTAAGTATTGATATTTCGACATTCTGTCATGAGATTCTTGTTCAAACTGGTTTGACCAATTTAGCACTGTGTGCTGAAGAAATGGATCCCTATACCCAATTAAAACCAGCTTGTTCAGCTAAATATAAAAGTATCGCTTAGGCCAAAAATAAAAAGTCTCCGGTTTCTGGTATGCGCGCGCGTTGCCGTAGCCATGCGCGTCGGCAAAATGAAACAGTTTTTTTTTCAATAAAAGATGATGTCTCAAAACCGTCAAACTCACTGGTTTGACTGGAATCCTGCTGCTGCACAATTTCAACGTGTTTTTAGATGGGGTTATGGTCGAGAATAAGCTTTATGTGGCCTCTCCGCACTCCCATATATTTGCACTAAGTTTAGTCGGGCACCATTTGCAGTCATCAGCCGACATTTGAAGCAAAAAAGACAGGTAAACAAAACAAAAAAGCCGCGTCGCTGCACCACTTTTTGGGGAAGCTCCATACCAGAAACCGGAGACTTTTTTTTTGTTGGCCTTACTGTACTTGTATCACAACTTATCTTCAAGTAAACTTGAATCCTCGATCCTGATTGTTCGATCCATGGCAACAACAGTGTGATATGAGGCTGTATTGCACGGTCCATATCGCACCCTGCGTATTGCGCTATTCCAAGATGCGAGCGACATTCCAGCTGCATGCGCTAAACCGCTAAAAGGTTCGTGTGAAGCGATGATCCAACTTTACTGCGCGTCAAGTTTGCTTGAAGATAAATTCGTTATCACGCTCGCGCTCGTGGAACACGGAAAATGTAGTGCGTCTGTGTCCCACATACCACTCGGCCGGACACAGACACACTACATTATTCCGTGTTCCACTCGCGCTCGCTGGATAACTAATATTATTTTTTGTCTGTTGTCAGATACGGGAGACGTGGCACCCGCTTTACCGCAAGTACTTCCTGCAGAAGGCCATCAACAAGGCCCAGGAATGCCGGAGAGGATTCTTCCATTATCAGAGGGGGTTCAGCGATACAGGGGTGAGCAGCTTGAAATAAAAAATGCTTCTCTTTCAAAAGAATTCAAAATTCATATAAGGGGTGACATTTGTCAGCATTTGTTCTGATTTGAGGATTCTTTTTGGTCGGGAGTTGTCATGATTTCAGGATTTTTAAGGAAATAATTTTGAAATCTCAAAATCCTGAAGTTTTACCGTAAACGTATTTTTACCTATAAAAGTTTATATAAACAAATGAAATTGGTATTTTGAGGTTGCTTAATAGGAAATTTACATGTATGTACCATAGACCATATGTTACTCTGAGGCCCTCTGTGACCCTAAAACCCTCTGTCGATTATTTTAAGGTATTATTTTGGAATTTTTAAGTTCTCTCAATCTCGCCCCTGTCACATAGGGCCATTTCAACATACTGTGCCTCTTTTTAACCCTGTGTCAGACCCACATGGACTTTAAGTCTGTTTATGTGGAGGAGGCTGTTTTTGCCTAATACTTATGCGAGTCTTGGGGTTTTTTTTCAGGCTAAATTGCCAGTGAAGCAAGTTTGTTAGTACTCGCCCAATTCTTTGAATAACAACGCAGCTACATGGCCTTGAGACTATTCAAATACTACCTCTCAGTTTTGACTAATAATCCCGAAACTATGTTTAGTTTTGATTTCATTTTTTTTCGATCAGATGGAATGTCACGATATCGTTCTATTCTGGAGGATACAGAAGACACTGCAACTCACCAGTAACGTGCTGCGACAGCAGATCATGAACACCGAAGGTATGTCAGGGAATACACTCAACTTTATTTTATTTTATTTCTTTCTGGTAATGAAACCAAGGATTCCTCAAAAGTACCCTAAGCACTGTAGCTCAAAAGCCTGGAGAAACCTGTAGAGAGAAGACAATGAGAAGAAATTACAGTTTTAGAGGTGGGAGGAAAAGCCCAGAGGAATATTCTGAGGAAAACCCACGGAATCAGGTAGGGACTGAAAACCAATCCACATATTGGCCCAGGCGGGATTCGAACCCGGGTCACAGCGGTGGAAGGCGAGGAAAGTACCACTACGCCAACCTGACTCCCCTGGCGAGCCAGAACTCAAGATCTTGTTGGTAGTTCTGCGGGTTGTGGGTTCTAGTCCTGCCAGGGGTTGTGGTGCGTGTGTCCTTGGGCAAGGCACTTTTCACTAATTGCTTCTCTCCACCCAGGAGTAAATGGGTACCTGTGAGAGATGAGATGGTTATTGTGTTTGATATAGCTAGTTGCACTTCGATATGGAAGCGTGAAGCTGTATACTCCCCAGGGAGCTGACATGGTCTTTAAAATGTTTTATAGGCCTGACAAGAAGGAGTAATATTGATGCAGTGCATTGAGTGCCACTACAGTGGAACATCACTATAACGAATATGTATCGCGGGATCCACAGAAATTGTTCATAATAACAATCGTTCGGTATAGCGATTTTAAGCTGCCGGTGGTCCGGTACACACTTTTCAATAATTAGCGCCCTTCAGAACTTCACCCTGCACGCCCTGGTTGTTACTGAAAGATGACTTTGAACATGTGCCGACTATTGAATTATGCAATTACACAGTTTTTGAGCTTACTACCTACAGCAATGGGTGGCTTTCCCCTTCTATTCCGTGGGGAAATAATCGCAACTTGTTGCTCTTCAGTTTGACATATTTCAACAACAATGTTTGGTTCATTCCCAACAAAAATTGGGAGCCAAGGACGATGTTCAGTATAGCCAAATGTTAGGTATAGTGGTGTTCAGTATAGCGATGTTCCACTGTATTTGCCGATTTTTATCCACTTTTATAACCACACTTCAGCACAAAATATCCATGAGCTTGAAAAACAGCCTATCCTTGTTTCAAGCACAAGTAGATCTAAAATTTACAACTCTGCTTTCACTTTGCTATACAAAAAACAGCAAGGCGGCTTGAGATGGAGGTTAAGCAAGTCCTGGAAGATTTCGGCGATGACTCGGAACTCAAGACTCGACTACTCACAGGCAGAAGGGTGGACCTCGCTGAGGAACTCAGTAAGTCCAACTTTCTTGTTCTTCTTTCATTCTTTCTGGTTTTTATATATATTTTGTGAATGTTTTCGTTTTCCTAACCAGCAGCCTCCTGAATGCTTTATTTGTGCTCTACCAAGTGAAACTTTGTAGAGCGCTGAATGTTTACTACTTTAATAACCCACTACAGCAGTTGAAAAAAATGACTGAGGCAGGATTCTAACCTGCAACCTCCTGAATACCACTCTGGTGCTCTACCAACAAAGAGTTTGTAGAGTGCTAAAAGTTGAGTTGCCTAACCCACTACAGTAGTTGAATAATGAAAAATTGACTGAGACAGGATTTGAACCTGCAACCTCCAGAATACCACTCTGGTACTCTACCAACTAAGAGTTTGTAGAGTGCTAAAAGTTGAATTGCCTAACCCACTACAGTAGTTGAATTAAGAAAAATTGACTGAGGTAGGATTCGAACCTGCAACCTCCGGAATACCACTCTGGTGCTCCACCAACTAAGACTTTGTAGAGTGCTAAAAGTTTAATTGCCAAGTAACCCACTACAGTAGTTAAATTAAGAAAAATTGACTGAGAGAGGATTTGAACCTGCAACCTCCGGAATACTGATGAAGATTTGCTAGACTAATAACCCAGTACAGCAGTTGAATAATGAAAAATTGACTGAGTCAGGATTCGAACCTGCAACCTTCAGAAGACCACACTGGCACTCTACCAACTAAGAGTTTGTAGAGTGCTAAAAGTTTAATTGCCTAACCCACTACAGTAGTTAAATTAAGAAAAATTGACTGAGAGAGGATTTGAACCTGCAACCTCCGGAATACCACTCTGGTGCTCTACCAACTAAGAGTTTGTAGAGTGCTAAAAGTGAAATTGCCTAACCCACTACAGTAGTTAAATTAAGAAAAATTGACTGAGAGAGGATTTGAACCTGCAACCTCCGGAATACTGATGAAGATTTGCTAGGCTAATAACCCAATACAGCGGTTGAATAATGAAAAATTGACTGAGTCAGGATTCGAACCTGCAACCTCCGGAATACCACTCTGGTGCTCTAGCAACTAAGAGTTTGTGGAGTGCTAAAAGTTGAATTGCCTAACCCACTACAATAAGAAAAATTGACGGAGGCAGGATTCTAACCTGCAACCTCCGGAATACCACTCTGGTGCTCTACCAACAAAGAGTTTGTAGAGTGCTAAAAGTTTAATTGCCTAACCCTCTACAGTAGTTGAATTAAAAAAATTGACTGAGACAGGATTCTAACCTGCAACCTCCGGAATACCGATGAAGATTTGCTAGGCTAATAACCCAATACAGCAGTTGAATAATGAAAAATTGAATGAGTCCGGATTCTAACCTACAACCTCCGGAAGACCACACTGGTACTCTACCAACTAAGAATTTGTAGAGCGCGAAAGTTTACTGGACCCGATTTCAGGAAGCGCTGCGATGTGTCGCAACTCGAGTTGCGACGCAGAACATGTCGCAACTTGCAATGTGTTGTATGATAGTGATACATTTAACTTAACTTACGATAAGTCGAATACGTCGTAAGTTCCTTGAAAAATGGCTTTAAAATGTTGCAAGTTTGGACATGTCTGGTGGTCATTGCAAAATAAGAACGTCCTTTTCTTAGCCAGTTTTATGCCATAAAAATTACATAAACGAGATTATAATACCGAGACAATGCGTGTGAAGTTGTAAGTGGAAAATACATCAAACTAAATATGAATTAGCCTCGAAAATTGCAGTTGGAATTTCAAAGTAGCTAACAGTCCACCGTGAGCGTGTTTTCCTTTAAAACTGCAGCATACGTCCGCCATTTTATTTTACGTTTTAAAAACTTTTCGAGATGAGATCAGACGACTCTTTGCTGAATATCAGACGACTATTGCTATAAATACACCTTTGACACATCGCACTGATGACATGTTTTGTGAAATGAATCGCAGGATGCTACGACGCATCGTAGGGATACGACGCGTCGCAGCTCTGCAACTATGTCCGATGCATCGTACGTTACAAAGAGTTTTCATAAAAATCGGTTGCCGGTCTTATAACCCACTTTCGTAACTTGTGCAAAAAGTTCAGAACCTCATGCTTTCCAGTCGATTCAACCACTGTATTCATTGCCACACAAAGATTTGTGAAATGCTTCAGAAATGAAAGGGAAAAAAAAATGGAATCAAAATATTTCCAGAGATTTTTATCTCACCGCCCGATCTTATCTGATTTGGACAAGTTTTGTTGGGACGCTAGTCGTCTGTTACTGTAGCCAAGCCTTTGTGCAGTCGGTTGCAAAATCAAATTTTCTGTATTTTTCCCTGGGGCGTTTTGTTGTGTTACAGAAGTTGTGAATGTACAGTAGTGAAGGAAATTAGTGCCATATGACCTACTTTCTTTCTATCTTTCGGTCCAAAAATTGTAGGAGGTCACAATAACCCCCCCCCCCCTCTCCTCCCCACCCCCACTCCCTCCTCCCCACCCCCACCCCAAAGAAAAAAGTTATAAGTGAGATAGAATTGCTGGAGCCATTCGATGTATAGAAACTGTGTCAAATGCCAATGAAATGAAATGAACAAAATCTATAAATATCTATAAACAGAACTGTAGACGTACATTGTAAGTTATTACAAATGTTGTCGTTTTTTTTTACACTGTTACCTTTGATATTTTTTGACAGTTTTGCCCTTGGCACATTTCATGCAGTGTACGTAGTTAACATTTATTTGTATTTTACTGAAATGAGTTATTTCCTTTTGCATGAATTCTGACATTTACAAACGTACCGGTATTGATAAAAAGTATTCCCATTTCAGTAGGGCCTGCATAAGAATTCGGAATATGTGTAAATACAAAAGATCTATTTTGTTTTCATTGCTTCTCCCCAGTCTACAACAAAATATTCGTAGTTATGACAGATTGCAAAATGGCAAGCTAGCGGTAGCTGGGTTTATTCCAATCGAATCAGGAGTAACACCTGTACTTTTGGGGTTGTGTGAAGAAACTAGCCAACAATTACAACAAGAAAGGAAACATAACTGGCATATTTCGATGATAGCTTGAATAAAAGATGTGTATACTGTATGTCCGTGTACTACCTTGCAATGAATAGAATAATCGGAAAGTTTCGGTAGAATTAATCAAAAACTAATTTGAAGTAGATTTTTATCAGTCTTTGATACTGTTCTTTTTCTATACTTTGTTGGAAAGAGAACTTTGTATAGGCCAACAATTACAATTAGAAAGGAAACATAACTGGCATATTTTTGATGATTGCTTGAATAAAAGACGTGCATATGTCTGTGTACTTGGACCTTGCGATGAATAGAATTTATCATCGGAAGATTTCTGTAAAATGAATTTTAAAAAATAGTTTGAAGTTGATTTTTATCAGTCTTTTATACTGTTCTATGTCTAGATTTTGTTGGAAAGAGTACCAGTACTTTGTACACGTATATGCCGTAATTCAAAGAAATACCTTGCATTAACAATACCCATGTGCTCCCAACACACTTGTAAAATTCATGTCAGCCACCGCGCGTCAAGTCGTAAAGGCACCATGATTGTTTCAGTTCACGGAAAAACTGACGTGATTGCACATGTGTACCCCCTGTGACCAGTCCTGCATTCTGTGTTCCCTGTAGAATATCTCCAAGAATTTTGACATTTAGCAAGAATTTCGGCAACTGTTTTTAGTGGAATGTTTGTTTTAAATTCAGTTAAATTCAATTCAAGTCCATTATGACCGCGCGGATGATAATCTGCATGTGGTATTTGGGGAAAAAATTGTAAAATGTTTCACAGTGTCTGTTTATTGGTCGAATAGGCAGGCTCCAGCGACGAAATAATCTTGAGCACTTTCAAAATAGAAAAACGCGTAATTCCCATAATTATCTACATTGTAGTACAGTGTATCAAAAAAAGGCTTAATTTGGAAGAATTTCATGAATGAACTATGGCCTTTTTGTGTGCATGATGTAGGCTACATGTAACGGTACCAAATTACAATGTTCTGCAAATGAACTATTAGTTCCCGCAGTGTTCACAAACCTGAATGCAACAGTTTTTCCTTTTTGTTTGTTTGTTTAAATTTGTTTTTTATTTAAAATGATGCAAAAGATATGGTGGGCAGGACATGTTGTTTCACATTTAGCCTCTCTTTTGAACTGTGAACTTCACTCTTAATCTTAAACACCATTGAAGAAGAAATGTGTCCAAAAATTGCTTTCTGTGTGTAACGTTCCAACTGTCTTGAATTCAGGTTTTTTGTGAGTTTCTCTCTGTCCCCGGTACAGCTGGACAAATTTCTGTCATTGTAGAAAGCTGGTAACGGAAGCTTGAACCTTCCCAAATCCATCAAAATCCTTCCCACCAGTTTGGGGGATTTTGGTAGGCAAGCCATGAGGTCCAAGTCCATCAAAATCCACCTATAGCAGGGTGGATTTGTGGTGGATTTCAGCGGATTTGGTCCTGAAGCATTATGTGAAGCAGAGTCAGTGATGGATTTTGGTGGACTTGGTACTGTTCTTAGTAAAACTCAATAGGGAGTTAAGGTTAATGAACACTTAAAACTGAGGGGAAAAAATCGAAGTTCCGCACTTGACTCGGGCACTTTCTCAGAAAAACATTGCCTCACAGATGTCCTTAGCACTTAAAATTTGTTTTCCCTTCAAGTGCTATTTTGTTTTTCAAAATTGGTGGTGTGCTTTTCTTGGTATTTGACATCCATCACCATGGAAACCTGCTGTCATAGATTCCATTAGAGAATTTATTTTCATTTCTAAGAGAGAGAAAGAGAGAAATAATACTACAATTGGGGGTAAAAGAAAAAAATCCTGTTGTCATCATTTAAGATTCCACGACATATCTGGGCCAGGCCTTGGGGGCCCACCCCGCTTTACTCCTTCCGGAAGACCGGAAACTTGGCCTCTACAATTCCGGCCAGGTTTGGCTGGCACCCGCTTCAATTTTCTTTGTGTTGTTGTCCGAGTTGTCAGCAGACATTAGAGCTTTTGCCCGCTTGAGGCAGAGAAGGTGGCAGTCGCTAAAAAAAAAAAGGTTGTTTTTCTGGATAGGACTTT